AAGACGTCGTCCTAATCGCCCATTCCTACGGCGGCCTTGTGATCTCCAACGCAGCCGAGGGCCTTGGGAAGAAAGAACGTGCCGAGCAGGGTCTACAGGGGGGCATTGTGCTCCTGGCTTATATGACTGCGTTTTTGGTGCCCCGGGGAGAGAGTCTTTTTGGGGTGTTGGGGGAGTATAGGCCGGCGAATATGGTGTTGGAGGTGCGTTCTCTTTTTCTCTTTTCTCTTTTGCTTTTGGTGTTTCTTTTTTGGTTTCTTTGTTGTTGATTCCTTCTGGTATTTCGTACATGGTGGTTAATGGGGTATTCTATCTATATAGGGCTCGTATTGCCGTGCAACCTCTGCGAAAGAATCTTTCTACCATGACCTCTCACCCGAGATGCTGGTGGAAGCGGAGGCGCAGCTAACGCATAGTTGTATTGGGGCGTATACCGAGAGTATCACTTACGAGCCCTGGCGGGATATCCCATGTGCTTATATTTTCTGTGAGGAGGATCGGGCGCTGGGGCTCCCGGTGCAGGAGATGTTGGTTGAAATGATGAGGGCGAGTGCGCCTTTTCCGGTCCGGACGGGCAGGTTGAGGGCTTCGCATTCGCCGTTTTATAGTATGCCTGTGGAGACGGCGGAGGTTATCGTGGGGTTTGTTAGAGAGGCGGAGGGGGTATAAGGAGCTTATCTTGTTGTTCTTTGGATGGGTTTATGTGTGGGTTGGATTGACTATGCTGGTGGTGCTTTTAGGCGGGGATGAACTTGGCTTATTTACGTATGAATTGTTTGCGCTTCAATTTAAGGATAGGTTTATGTTTGTATTCTTGTTGGTTCAAGGGGATCTGCTTAAACAGTCAACTAATGTCTCGAGTACATAGATTCAGAATACTGGATGATGGTCAGCCACTAAGTGCTTGTCAGTTTAACTGTCACTAGCAAACAGGATCAGTCAGTCAGCAAAAACAACTGAGGATATCATCTGAACAAATCCAGGAAGACTTGGTATAAATCAGAAATAAAAGCTCCGAGATGCAGTCAACTACAGAAATCAACCCAACGCCATCCGCAAATGAGCATCCAATGCGGGGACAAATGGTCCATGTCATCATCATAACAAATAAAGAGGCTACAAATCACGAAGCAGGCTACCCTCGGCAAAGGGGTTCTCGGGCGACATGTCCAGCATCGGCTTCGAAGCGTTCCGGTCGCCAGTGGCTACTCCATGGCCTTTTGGCTGCCCCGGCACAGCCGCGACCTGTGCAGAACGAGCTAAAAGGCTGTTCGGTATGAACGGTTCCTCGCGAGATTGCGAAGGGTCCACAGGAGTTATCGGAGACGTAGGCGCAGTGCGTGAGTACTGGTGGCGCTGCTGGCTACTGGTGCTGCGGTTGGTATTGGAGCGCTTTCGAGTCCGAACGTCTGTGGTGGGCGACGGTAGCTCCGGTCGTCTCCAGGTCGTCGCGGGTGGAATGGCAATCCCACCAGGGACCTCCGGTCCCGTCGCAGCTTCCACAAGTGGCTTTCCAGCTTCAACCGCGACCCCTCGTCCTTTACGAGTATGCTGCGGAGGCTCCTGATAGACAGGAGTCAGATCGACAAGCGGCTTGGTCTTCACGGACTGCGACCGTTTGACAATGGCATTGGGGTCCGGCGCGTGCGTCGACGTCATTGTGTTAGAGCGGCTATTAGCGCGACTACCTTGGCCAGCAAATTGACGACGCGTATCCACAGCACCGATAAGGCCATTGGTGAATGGTTCTTCCGTAGCCTTTTTCTCCTTTTCTTCCCTCTCCTTCATCGCACGTTGGCGTTGAGTATAGGTTCGACCCAGAAGACCGTCGGAGGTGAAAGGAGACTCATCCGACGACTGCGCAGCGGACAAATCACTTTCATCAGAGAACATTTTTGGAAACGATGAGGGTGGCGGCGCGTGCTCTCGTGTGCTCTTCTTCCTGGAGAATAGTTCCTTAGTCTTGGACACCTTTACACGATCGATCGGCGAGTCGCTATTCTCCGCGCCAGAGTTGAGAGGGGAATCCAAGTTGAGCAAAGGCTTGAAGGGCTTCTTGTGACCAGGCAAGGCATCGCCTGCGTCCACGGGGGAATCGGCCTGGTCCGCTGGGCGGCCTGCGCCGAGCTTTGTCACCAGATACCAACTGCGCCAGGACTGCACCGTTCGGTACCACGTATCAGCAACTGCTTTATCATTGGTGGAAAAGAAATGGACAAAATTCTCCGTCGTCAGGAACATGTTAGATTTCTGCTGGCTTTTGATCGCCTGACAGATCTTCTTTGGCGGTTTCACATTGTTCGAGAGGTAGCTGGACGTGGGTGAGTAGATATCAAAGTCAGACAGATGGCACACGTTCACTGAATCCTGGCCTTGCTCTTTCTTAGACAAAGTGATCTGTCCGTCCGCCCGCAAGGTAACGTAGCGCTTGTCCCATTTTCGCGGACGCTGGGAGTAATACATGTGGAGCGTCACATCCGTAGGTTGCTCACTCGGAGCGTGTCGCGGGTCCAATAAAGAGAGCGCGTCGATGCTGGCTGCGGGTACAATGATCAACGAGTTCTCCTGGTCATGGGCCCATGAGTTCATGACGTCCCGGACGCACTCGTATGTACGCAGGGGCCGCTCCAGTCCGAGTTCCCCAAACGACTCCATCATAATAAACTTGGGTGGGTCAATCTCGCCCGCCAGACAGTCTGCGGCTAGGAACAATAGGTCTTGAGCTGTTGTGGATGGGGTAACCCGAAGATTCAGGGACGTCTTCCTATACTGGACAACAACCCTGCGCTCACCGGCATTGACGGCGGAGACAGGCGCGTCAATCCCGGGGAAATGATTTCCTACACTGGTATCGATCGCTGTGACCTCCTTGTTCGCTTTGTCCGTAGAGCGCGAAGGCATGGGCATTTCCTTGTTCGAAAGACGTTTCGAGTCGTGGCTAGCACGCCGGCTTGCGGGACCTTCGGCATTCCTACGCGGAGGCCGCTCCTCTGGCCTTCTGACGTCTCTCTCCCGCGTCGTGTGTCTCCGATGTGGAGCCGGTACTGAGGGCTTCCTATCCTCTCCCGTCAAGCGATTCATCGCTTCCTGTCGATGTTTTTGACGCACATCCTCGTCCTCCTCGCTGTCGGTCAGGAACGGGTTCACCTCCGTTTCTTGAACGTTGAACGCTCTCCGTCGGTTCTCAGCTCTTGCCGACATCGCATTGTACGACGCATCGACCGGTTTGGCATCCTCTGGGCTGCCGCGTGAGGCTTGCTGGACTGCACCACCATTCGCGTCCGCGTGTGGCTTAGCTCGGTGGGCCAGGACACGGTCTCCCGGAACCGGTAGTGGAGGCGCGTTAGACGATGATTCCGTCGCCGCCCTCTGACGCCGGTAGCGCGACATGCTCCTCTTGATCGCAGGATTCGTCCCATTCACCGCAGCTCCGCCCTCCTGCAGCCCGGGTCGCGACGCGCTAGGGAGAGTTGGAAGAGTCGACACCGGTGGCGGGTTGATTGGGTGTGGCTTTTGCGACGCAGCCTTTCTCACAGAGCGGTAGCGGGAAAATTTCATGGGTGTTGGGCCTTGGCCCGCAGCCACATTTTCCGGCTTTTCCATCGCCATAGCTGTCATCTTAGATGGTTCGCTTCACGCACAGGTTCTCAGTCCTCGCAACGTCACAGAGACACGGCAAGCATCGCACGTAAGGGTCCGCACAGCAGTACAAGCGTTATCGGTAGTTGACACCGAATGGATTCTTCCACGAAAATAAGGTCCCGAAAGTGACTCAAGTAAAAAGATAAAATGAAATGTAAGTAGAAAATAAGTCTAGCGGTGTCCGACTTAGTCCTGCACCACAGGTCAAGGCGGTCTCTCAAGAGAATAAACACAGAGGGATCGACACACCAAGGGGACGGTCGAGTGAAATAGCAATGGGTCTGCTTTTCGCTGAATGCGACCCCCTGAACGTTGCATGTATGTTTCACAAGACGTTTGACCAGCTCATTTCCCTCCAGTCAGTACACACAGTGGATAGATTTAAGAAAAGGGGGCAGGAGGCATTGAAACAGGGAAGACAGAATCTCAATCGGGGCTGGAATGTGCGGAGATATAGTGCAAATCAACAGTGGGGTGGGGGGGAAGTCAAGAGTGGAGAGAGAGAAGGACGAGACTGTAGTCGAAACCAGAGTAAAAAGGTTACGATCAGGTGGCAAAGCTGCAGGCACGACACTGCACGCAGTAAGGAGGTTGGAATTTATTCAGGTACCCTTCGCACTAGGAATATCTGGAATGTGATCGCAAACCGAGAACGGGAGTAGGGGAGAAAAGAGAAGATGAATTGGAACAGGTGAGGAATGTGTACCTTTTTTGTCTTTTTTTTTTCCTGTGCTATTTTTATTTTTAAAATTTTTAAAATTAACAACTAATACTGACAGGGCGGATTCAACGATGACAATAAAATCAGGAAATAACGGCCAAGTTTCGTGGGTTTGGCACATCGAAGTCACTGCCGTTGTCCCCTTCTAGTCTAGCGTCATCCCCAAGTGAGATTACCCCCGCCCAATAGGGCATAGCGCACTGGGGAAGCATCCGCGATGCCAATTGGTATGATCGCACTCTAGGGGCGAACAGAGAAGAATCGTTAAATTGCGGTTGGATCGGTGAGTCTCCCAAGAAACTAGTCCTGCTGCCCTTCCAAGTTTCACACCTTCAAAAAGAAAACAAAAAAAAAATACAAATCTCTGATTCCTGATGTCATTGTCATCATTCCCATTATGCAATAGAGACATTATGGACACTTCTTTTTGTATCATAAGCACCTATTGTGCGCACTCACCCCACCGGCATATATCCACCAAGTCCGATACAACTTGTCTGGAACGTTCTTCCACTTTTCCCAGTACTGTGTACGCGATCGCTGCGTCATACTCTAGTGCCTGGGCACTCACACAGGCCTTTCTGTCTCCACAAAGAAATCCCAAGTATGATCCAAAAATGCTCATCGCAGTGGCTTATTATTTTTTGTATGCGCCCAGATGTTTCCGCCTGGTTCTCCGCATTAGCTTCATGCACTACCGACGATCCTAATATCGACTTACCACCACGCGACAAAATCCGTAGTCCGGACATCAATTCCGAGGTCCTTAAGTCCCTTGGTCGATAGATGAGTATCGTAGGGTCTTTGTACTCCGTTGGGATCGTTCCCTTGCTTATTCCTGATCATCCTATCCAGGGGTAGCCCGAGTACCTCCGCGAACGTCTCACAGATCTCATATTTGGTCATACGGTCTTCCGAGCTGAATTGGAGAATATGGGGCTGCTGCGGCAACCGCGTCCGCTCCTTGATATACTTAATGACAATATCGCGACACACGCGCGCAACATCTTCGGTGTTGGTGGGATACCGTTGGGCCCAGTCATCCATCTTCACGCTCGACTCGGGAACCTGAGACTTCCACACCGCATCGATCAGACAGTTTACCGCGCTCTCTGAGTTATTCTCAGAAGGGCCGTACAGGACGGGCACCCGAAGGACGAGGCCGAGTCCGGTCTCCTTGGTCGCTTCCAGGACCGCAAGCTCACCATCCCGCTTCAGCTGGCCATACAGGTTGGGAGGGTTCGTTTCTGCATCAGCCTCATACGGAGCTTCACCTTCCTTGCCGGGAAAAACGTAGTCCGTAGAGATGTAAATGAGAAATGCGCCGCGGGACGAGGCCTCTTCTGCAAGGGTGCGCGTAGCCTCGACATTTACCCGGCGCGCTTTCTCCGGGTCTTGTTCACACAGATCGGGAGAACGATTGGCGGCGCCTATAGACGTGCGTGTCAGTTTTCTCCGTGAGATACGTTACCATACTCTTTTAGCTTACAATGGATGATAATCTGAGGTCTGTGGCGCATCATCCTTGATTAGCTCTTTGTTTTTACACGTACGTCCCTTCCGGAGCAATTATTCAAGAAGGGGGACATCCTCACACAAGATTTTCCCAATGCACTTACTTTACTTCGTCCAAGATACGCTGAACGTCGTCCTCGTTCTCTAAATCGGCTTTCAGGATGGTCGGTGGGTTGGCTCTCGAATAGCCTTGACCGACGACAAAGCACCCTGAGTGCTTGAACGTGTTGAATACCTGCCGGCCGAGCAGGCCGGTAGCACCAGTAACAAGGACAACGCTTGACATATTTTCAGAAGTTGACTCAATGGTGGTCATGACGAAAGGAGGTTTGGCTCGAGGTGTTAAGAATGTTTTGTGAATCTGCGGGGCACAATAGTAGTGACGTAACCTGAACCGCTTTCCGCTCAGTTTTAGTGGAAACAAAAAAGAACTCGGCCGATGGGGATGTATGATGACGAGGCGGTTGTTGCTTCTTGTCTTTGAAATTGGAACTGTTATGTTCTCATGTTTGTGCCGTTTTTTCGAGTAGGTACTTTCTATCATCCTGAGCGGATTATTTACGCCTGGACTGGCTCCTTTCCTTATTAGGACATTGTTGCCCAATCCATGATGGCGGTTCTTGGCTCTCGATTTGGCTGAACCACCTCGAGCGATGATTCGTTTGCACTGCAAAGTACCTTTTTCTGGAATCAACCGGGGTTGAATTCTTCGATGAAACCCTTCCATGGATTAATACGAGGCTGCAATGTATCGAGTAACAAATCCTACAGACCACGTCCTATAAAGATTTTGATATTGGTAGGGTTTCAGAGTCTGGCCAGAACCTATTTTGACTTTTCTGTATTGGCTCTTTTCTATTTTTATTTCTGCTATTATTATTATTATCATTCTTTTCTTTTCTTTTCTTTTTTGGTGCAGTTGGGGAAAAGTCACTATGATTCAAGCCACAGATCTATGTATACTCACCTCACTATTGTGAACTAGAACCACCCATAAGTTAAGAATTGTTTATACCAGCTGAGTGGATGCAAGAAGTACCATCTCCAGGATATTGTGTCAGCGAATAAAGTATACTATTCACAGATTTATATGTAATTGAGATAGTGATTCAAGCGGAAAGATTCAAGATATATAGACCAACATATATATAATGATTTCATTACAATATATCTGCTAGTACATTTCTGTCACATGGAAGGGCAATCATTAAAATAATATATATAATCATGCTACTAGAATGACTTTGTTAATAAATAAGGATATAGACCAAATACAACCTATATAGATTATTCTTTTTTGTTGTCTTGCTCACCGTTGATCCACGTCGAATTATTCAGCCGGAAATTTTTCCATGTTCGGTCGGGATGTCGTGAGCAACTCCGGAGTCGGCGCCAACTCCGGTTCGGTCAGCTTTTTAGTCTGCGGTTGGCCGACAACCTTCACTTTTTTGCTTGTCAACCACCACACCATGTCGAGTGCCAGGAACGTCTCGGTCGCTCTGCGGAGGGCTCGACTGCCCAGACCCCGCTGTTTCGTCCAGCCCATCGTCTCTCGTGCTCCCTCTCGCATCGCTACTCGCTCATTTAGCGTCACCTCCGCCGTCAATGCGACCAAGGAGATTAAGTATACAAGCAGCGCGTATCCCAACCTCAAGCGTGACCCCAAGTTTGCCGAGATTACGGCCGAAGATGTGGCCTTTTTCAAGGAGCTGCTGGGCTCCCAGTCGGCCGTGATCGATGGTGTGACGACCGATGCCGCTGATGATATCGAGCCATTCAACAGCGACTGGATGCGCAAGTACCGTGGCCACACAAGGCTAGTGCTGAAACCCCAGAACAAGGAGGAGGTGAGCCAGGTGCTGAAATACTGTAATGACAAGAAATTGGCGGTGGTTCCCCAGGGTGGCAACACTGGATTGGTGGGAGGTTCCGTGCCGGTGTTCGATGAGATTGTCATCAATACGTCGCGCATGAACAAGATTCGCTCCTTCGACGAGGGCTCGGGAGTCCTGGTCGCCGATGCGGGTGTTATCCTGGAGGTGGCGGATCAGTACCTGGCGGAGCGGGACCATCTGTTCCCTCTGGATCTGGGTGCTAAGGGCTCATGCCATATTGGAGGCAATGCTGCTACGAATGCTGGCGGACTGCGCCTGCTTCGGTACGGTAGTCTTCATGGCAACATTCTCGGTGTTGAGGCGGTGTTGGCGGATGGTACTATCGTCAACTCTCTCTCGACCCTGCGCAAGAACAACACTGGTTACGACCTCAAGCAGCTGTTCATTGGCGCGGAGGGAACAATCGGTATCATCACTGGACTTTCCATCATGTGCCCTCCCCGCCCGAAAGCGGTCAACGTGGCCTACTTTGGTGTTGAGAGCTACGAGCAAGTGCGCCAGGCGCACCAGGAGGCAAAGTCTCATCTCTCTGAGATTCTCTCCGCTTTCGAGCTCATGGACGGTCGCAGTCAGCAGCTTGTCCACCAGTCCACTGGCAACAAGAATCCTCTGGATAGTGAATATCCTTTCTACTGTGTAGTTGAGACCAGTGGGTCGAATGGTGAGCACGATATGGCCAAACTCGAGAGCTTCTTGGAACACATCATGGGCGAGGGTATCGTCGCCGACGGTGTTTTGGCGCAGGATGAGACCCAGTTCCAGGGTATCTGGCGCTGGAGAGAAGGTATCACCGAGGCTCTGAGCCATCTGGGTGGTACATACAAGTACGACGTCTCGATTCCTCTTCCTGAACTATACCAGCTCGTGGACGACTGCCGCGAGCGTCTGACCAAGCTTGGATTTGTCGGGGACGATAACTCCTTCCCTGTCCGCGCTGTTGTTGGTTATGGTCATATGGGCGACTCGAACCTGCACTTGAACATTTCTGTGCGGGAGTACAACAAGGAGGTCGAGAAGGCCATTGAACCCTGGGTGTACGAGTGGATCCAGAAGCGCAACGGTAGCATCAGTGCCGAGCACGGACTTGGAATTGCAAAGAAGGAGTTTATTGGTTACAGCCAAGACGAGACCATGGTGAAACTGATGAAGCAGTTGAAGGATTTGTACGATCCGGTAAGTATTTCCATCTTCGTTTTATGTATAAAACAGCTAACACCTGTCTTAGAACGGTATTATGAACCCCTACAAGTACATTTAGATTAGTTATTAAAATCACCTGCGTTCTGTATTGATGTGAGAAGTTATTATACCACAGAGTGTGAATTTATTGGGTTCAAGAATTATCGTGTCATCTACTGTATCTCACGAAGTCGATATACAAGTGCTACTCGAGCCGATACGTGTTGTAGACTATACCCATGATTCATACATAATTTGAAGAAATTAGAAAAAGGGCATTTAGCCTCTGCTATTCACCACTATGTCCGTGTCCCTAAACAACCAGAAGACAATTGAACCCCAGGTAACAGTAAAATTGGAGGTGTTTTCCAACAAGGCACGCCACGTGATGGCGCCACTGGTCTCCAGGGTTTTATTAAATATAATCTCTTTGTAGAAACCGAGGGTCTCTGCACAAGTTTGTCTATTTAAGGGGCCTCCCTCCTCGATGCTTGAGTTGGCATTTAGTCGTCTCCTCCTTGTTATACTGGGTTCGATCCCTTATACAGCACAAATGGATTCCTTAAACCTTTCTGCATCATACTGTGCAGTCACAGAAGGAGGCCAATACGAGATATAGAACGATGTCCGCAAGCACCCTCAGACTGGTGTTGCATTGTCCTTATCAGGTCCCTATCTTCAACCTTCCATATCCACAAGGACCCGCTTCATGTTATATATACGCTGGCCAACCTTACAAGCCATCTTTCCGTAACCTGTGACTTGGACACGATTCGCAGCAAGAAAGAAACGAGGTGCACCGTTGCGACAGAGTTTCTTCTGTATCTATCCTATAGGGTTATGAGCCCGGCATGTTGTATAGCGGCTATGATATTGACTAGATGCCAAGGTTCAGTCGTTTAGTATTTAGCTAGAATAAGGCTCTTTTTGAGATAGTTATACTCTCGCATACTACTGGTAATAGTTGGTGTAGTAGTGCTTCGGTGGTTACTTAGAGGATAATACTATTGGCCTACTCCGGGGACTTAATCCGGTGCGGGCTGCAGCCTGAGGCCAGATGCGGGGCATTATCTAATCGGTGCAGAACCTTAGGGTCCACTCGGTGCCTCAGGCGGCGGTTGCCATGCGCTACCGCCTGTTGTTTTCCGCGAACCATGGAAAAGTGCGGCAGCTGACCATTGGATACGACGGGAGCAACCAATTTACTCTAATCTTGATTTCCCTCCGCGCGCCCCCCTTCCCAAGGTCGATAATCTCGACTCATTGAGCTCAACTCCAAGGTCTCGCCGGACACGGTTAGCTGGCTGGCTGTACGGGTTGCTCATTGTCTCCTGATATCCCCGGTCTTTGTGTTTCATTTTTCATTTTCTTTGTGGCCCCCTGAGGCGCCGACAAATCCGGAAACATGGCGGACGATATGGCGAACCAGTACCAGATGATGGAGGAGTTGGGCAGTAAGCTGCATCTGTCGCAGAATGGCCTCAATGGCATTGGCTAATTGTTTCTGCGCGTTTAGGTGGCAGTTTTGGAATCGTGTACAAGGCCATTGAAAAGTCGACTGGAGAGATTGTTGCGGTCAAACACGTAGGTTCACCGCGTGTAGCTTCCGGTTGGAAGAGTTTCACATTGACTTTCTTTGCTACTTTTAGATCGATCTCGAGTCGAGCGAAGATGATATCCAAGAAATTCAACAGGAGATCTCCGTGCTGGCGACGTGCGCGAGTCCCTTCGTGACGCAATACAAGGCGAGTTTTCTTCGAGGCCATAAGCTGTGGATTGTGATGGAATATCTAGGCGGAGGGTCCTGTCTTGACCTGGTAATTTACACTTCCATTGTCAGATACAGAACTTTTCTTTGCTAATGAGTATAAGCTGAAACCGGGCGTTTTCAATGAGGCACATGTTGCGATTATCTGCCAGCAGCTATTACAGGGTTTGGATTACTTACACAGCGAAGGAAAGATTCACCGCGACATTAAAGCTGCGAATGTGCTTCTCTCACATACCGGAAAGGTCAAATTGGCGGATTTTGGCGTGGCGGCACAGCTGATCAATATCAAATCACAACGCAACACGTTCGTCGGAACCCCGTTTTGGATGGCACCAGAGGTGATTCAGCAATCCGGATACGATTACAAGGCAGACATTTGGTCACTGGGAATTACCGCGATTGAGATGATTAACGGAGAGCCGCCACATGCCAGCACTCATCCGATGAAAGTACTCTTTTTGATCCCGAAGGAGCCGGCTCCCCGACTGGAAGGTGACCAATACAGCAGCACCTTTAAGGACTTTATCGCCCAATGTCTCACCAAGGATCCGGACCGTCGACCGAGTGCAAAAGAACTTTTACGACACAAATTTATCCGGAATGCGGGGAGGACTGAAGCGCTGCAAGAGTTGATCCATCGGAAACAAGATTGGGATGCTGGACGGGGAGTGGCGCGGAATATCAAGTACTATGCTGAGTCTTTGTATGTGCATCTGGTTTGGCTTCCACATGACCTCCACTAATATTGTGATCTAGGAACACCATCACGCACTTGAAGGATGACGACGGATGGGTCTTCGACACAGTTAAAGCACCTACCATGAAGATCCCGGAGGACCCATACGTGGACGAAAATGACTTGGATTCCCAAGACTTCCTGTACGACGAAGCATCGGAAATGATAAATGATATGCACATCTCCAGCCCTCCGCCCCCGCCTAAGCACGCTCCGAATAGCGCAACGAATAGTGCGGTTAATACCGCGGTGAGACGAGCCCCGGCACCTGAGCGTAGTCCTTCTACGCGGCGAAGCTATAGGAAGCGGCGATCCAGTGGAATCAAGCAGCCCCTGGGCGTCGACTTGACCTTTGGCAATAGTCCATCGACCGTCCGGCAGTTTCGTCGGGTATCAGACAAGATCCCTTCAGAAAATTCGTATAGCTCCCAGTACTCCTTTGGGCCTGATGAGAACGGTAGCCCGAAGACACTGTTCTCGGAGCCGAACAGCAAGGAAGCGCAACTCGGACGACGGGCATACAGCAAAGCTGTTGGCCTGTCCTGTCAGGAGGTTCTGGGGACCACTGGGGACCAGGAAAAGCGAGAGGCGATTTCCCGCCTGGCAGAGGCCTGGAGTGATCTCGAAATGGTGGATCCCGAGGGGTTGTACCACATTCTCAAGATCATGAACGAAAAACTTCAAGGGTAAGTTTCGAACTCATGTTCACCGTGACGGACGGAATCGGCGTTGGCTAACGGAGCTTTTTGAAACAGTGATCCAAAGCTGTCAGGTCTTGTCCCACAGGCAGCTCCACCACCCGAATCCCCACAGAGACCGCGTCTAGTTTTGGCACAAAACAACCCACACCTAAAAAGCCACCGACGGCGGCAATCCGCGGTAGTGGCTGAGCCCAGCTTGCAACCGGCGCAATTAGCCAACCTTCCGGGCCAACAAGTCCCCGGTATGGAGCACACCAAGCAGTTGTCGGATGTGCTCTACCAGCGGTGGTCCGAAGGGCTGCGCAATCGCTGGCCCGGGATCTAACTGCATTGAGCCCTGCAGAAACATTCCTTCCTGAATCCTTCAGGGGCTATTTCTTTTTTCATTCCTTATGCTGTACAAAACCCCATGGTCTTCCAGGCGTTCACATATCCGGTGTTCTTGTTCGGCCTGGTTCCCGCTACGATCTTAATTTACGCTCGCTTCATATGGATCCCACCACTGGCCCCGTAAGGGCTTAATTCATTCTCTCGTGTCCTCTCCCTCCATCCTTGCAAGGGGTTAGCTGCAGGTCGATGATACCCCGACTCGAGAGCGGTGCATGCTAAACCATGCCGGCCGTCTTTCGCTCAGTAAGGGCGGGGTGGGATGGACAATCTCGCAAGTGCACACCTCGGCGCTGAATTTCCTTTATTTCTTTTCTTGGTTTCCCATCAGATCACGGACCGGGCCTTGGAGTTTCGTATGTGTTGGGTTTCATTTCTGGTGAATTTTTTGAGGACTTGTGATTATTGGATTTTCTCTTCTTGTTTTGATACTTTTGTCTTGTGCTTTTCTTTCCACCTTTGACTATTCAAAGAGGACTCCATGGGGGTCCTATGTGATATACCTCAGTATTGCTGCTGTTGTTGTTGTTGTTGTTGAATTTGTGTGTACGTAATTGGCAGTGCGAGTTGCGGAGAGAAACAATCGAAAGCCAAAAATAAGGCAAGGACGAGAAAAGTGGAAAATCTAGACCGGCGGTACTACTAGTAATAATGACTTAAGCTGGGGTGGATACGGACCCGTGCCGATTGATATCTCGTTGTAATGAGGGAGTGCAGATAGCAATGAAAAGTGGGTGGAACACGAGAGACATGGGTTTAACATGTGACTCGCTGCAGGCGGCTGTCAGCTCCATGTGGCCTTGATAAGTTGGTATGCCATCGTCATTTCACTCGATTGGAAGCCAATCTTGCATATCGAAGAATGGAGATTGATGGGAAATTGACAATACGGTAAGGACGGGGTATCCTCACGGGGGGACTATATTTAATGCCACGATGAAACGGCCAATCACTCGGCGGTGACAGCGATCAATTTCCCCCCCTGAACGAGCTGGACACGGAAGGGATGCGCGTTCGACCCGCCTCATGGGCAAAGAGAAAATGCTCTTGCAACTCACTCAGGAGACAAAAACCACACCTTCATTTCGTTGACACTAATTCTAATTTTACTTTTAGTGACTTGGCCAGACCTTTTTATTTTCTCCGGTTGAAGTTTGTGTCCCTTTCCTCTTGGTTTTTTTTGCCTTTCTTCCCTCGTCCGTTGTTATCTCGTGCCGGAGGATTGTTACTTGGCTTTCTCTCACTCTCTTCCACTCTTTTGGAACGATTTGTTTTTGTTTTTTCTTTTCTGGCCGACCCAATCCGCTGCGATTCTTTTGGTGTGTTCTACTTAGACTGGTGTTTTTTTTGTAACTGTATTTTTATATTATTTTCCATCACGGTCTCTACTACTGTTTATGTCATGATCCTGTCCTTTCCCCGGTTCTTCTTCACACTCCCTGAACCCCGACTGTAATCCAACGTCATGGGAGACATCACGGGAACCGAGTCACCTGCGCCGGAAGCATCCCAACCATTGCTACGCTCCTCGCTGGACCATCCTTCCAATTCCATGTCTGCGACCGATCTTACCGAGGAACAGCTCGAGCACCAACGTCAAATCCGCCAGCAAAAACGTGCCTCGCTCCCCGCCCGTCCCCATGGGGCAGCACGCCATAAGAAACGCTTGACCCTGAACTTCCCCATCAACGTACCTCCCCTGACGACGGCCCTGGATTCAAACGTCGCTGAGCCCAGTTCCATGACGCCTGTGACCCGGCCCTCGACTCGACACTCTCATATCCCCGCCGTCGGTACCCCTGTAACCTTCGACGACCACGATGACGGGTCCGGCCTCCTGACCGCCATTGCCTCGCAGGAACGAAAAGTGCTGGAGCTCCGCGAGGAGCTCCAACGGGCCGAAACCGAGCTGGACTCGTTGAAAAGGCAGTGGGAGTCATCAGAGAAGACCAAGAAACGCATCGATATCAGTCACCGTGCTGAACCGTTGATCCCTCTGCGATCCCCTGACCGGCCCGGAGCCGACGAGATGATCCTCCACAGCAGGGAGCACAGTGTCGCGAGCTCGGAGAGCCCATCGGTAGCACAACCACGGTTCAGCCGGGAGCTGGAGCGCCGTCACAGTGTGCGCGCTGCGGCGGCGAAGGGTACCAAAATATCTGCAAATGGACGGCGGGTGTTTCAAGGTTCCCATACGCGGACCTTGTCCTTGCTCTCACCCACTGTGGGCCCTGTCCCCAATTTGCCAGGTTCGGAGTCAGGAAATGGCCAGCCCGATCAAGATCGCATGGGCCGCTCTCCACGAGCGGCGACCCTGCCGTCGGCCGAGCGTAGTCCGATGGTTCTAAGCTCGAATGAAGACATGATCGCGCAGTGGCGGAAAACGATGCCTCCCCCGTCGCGGGAGGCGCTGGTGCGCACGGGCAAACAGATGGCATCCGATCTGCGCGAGGGTCTATGGACCTTTTTGGAAGATATCCGGCAGGCAACGGTGGGGGAGGAAGGAATCAACGCCACCGAGTCGAGAGCGGTGCCGTCCCGGAGCTCGAATTCGCGAAGCCGAGACCGGCTGTCGATGCAAGGAAGCATATCCTCGCGATCCGCCTCTTCGTCACGGAGTAAAGGCGCAGGAGCGAAATTATCTGGTAAAGACTCTAAATCGGCGGATATAGACTCGTCGTTCTGGAGTGAATTCGGCATTGATACAAGTGGGCAGAAGTCCCGGAAAGCTCACAGAGCCTCCACTACCCCAAGCGGGCCGAACGCGCAAAACGAGTCCAATCGTCTCGACACTGAGGACAACTGGGACGACTGGGATACTCCCCAACCGAAGAAAATGCATACCCCTTCGTCGAGTCAGTCTACGTGGGAATCGAAGCAAGACCAGTCGCCGATGACTCCTAGTAGTCCCCGCACAAGTACTAGGTGAGTTGTCCCTGTTCTTTCTTCTTCCCCTCCTTGCGATTTGTAATCCGGCCAGTGTGGTTGTGCAACAATGCATGCGCTTACCACGACTAGTTTTGGTGACTGGCGCCCACTCCACGACTCCTCTGTCCCAGATCCCAGCGTGTCGGACGGCATCCCCTGGCCGGCCATGGCCGATATGCCATCCCCGAAGTTGCCGCGCACCGCAGCCCACCTGATGGCCGAATGGGAGCGCAGTCTGTCGCCTGCGTAGGACTCTCCTACCTCCCTGAAAGACTAAGTCAGCCACTCTCTTCTTTTTATTCTTCCCTTCTGGGCCTTCCACTTCATTCCGGGATACTGTAAATATGGACATGAACATGCACGATCTAGCCTTGTTTGGCGTGACTGATATATTAGATCTTGAGCATGAGACAATACGGATAACGCAGGGTTATGATTGATCCCAATGCCTTTTACGACCAGCGTTCTGTTACTGACGTTCCTTTCATTTTTCATTCTTGTCTCTCTTTCACCACATTTGGTTACTTTCTTGTACAACTTCTTTGACGAACAGAAGGGATGTTTTTATACAAATACCTGTCAGAAGTAGATCACGGGCCAATACAATAAAATCTCCTATGGATAAATTTGACAGAACACGTTCGATGGATCCAACGTAGAAACCATGAATACACTATTAAGTACCAAGGATAGTATGTGCATCACGTGACTATATTGCACAAGGGGTCAGTTCGGACCGCCGTAAATAAATTTGCGAGTCGCCATCTCATCTCCGCAAAAAGTCCGGGGATCGCAGTTTCACCTCCAGACTCCTTCGAGCTACACACTCCTTTGTTAGCTTTGATACCTTCTGCCTACGTTCCGGAGCAACCATCTAATCCTCGCACCGCCCATCAATCTGGAAATTCCACCACTCCTCCCCGGAACAACACAACCACATAACTTCAAAATGAACATCCCAGGAATGACTTCCGGCATGGCTCCTGCAGGCGCAACTGCAGGAGTCGGACTGCCCGGCGCTGGAATGCAGGGCATGAGCGAGCAGGAACAGGCAATGGTGAAAGCGGTTAGTCAATCTACCTTGCGACCTGTGTCAAGCTTGGATGCGGGAAATACAAATGCAGCGAGAGGGAGGGACAGAATACACTAACGAGAACAGATGCACGCGGCGATGGAATCGTGTCCCGTGAAGACTGTTATTTCGGGTACGATGGGATTCGGTCTTGGTGGTGTGTTTGGGTTGTTTATGGCTAGTGTATGTGCCACCCTTACCCCAATACCCAATTCCCCGCAAGGAAATGCTAATGAGAATATGGATCAGATGTCCTACGACTCAACCTTCACTCCCCAAGGAAAAGCCATTATGGACCTCCCCTGGCGCGAACAAGTCCGCCGCGGTTTCAAAGACATGGGCTCCCGCTCCTGGTCGTCGGCCAAGAACTTCGGTATCGTCGGTGCATTGTACTCGGGCACGGAGTGCTGCGTCGAGGGACTGCGCGCCAAGAACGACCTCACGAACAGTGTGATCTCGGGCTGTATCACGGGTGGTATTCTCGGTGCGAAGGCGGGTCCTCAGGCTGCTGCGGCTGGTTGTGCGGGTTTTGCGGCGTTTAGTGCGGCCATCGATGCTTATATGAGGATGCCGAGCGAGGAGTAAGTGACTGAGGCTGTGTGTATAGAGTCAACATAATTCTGGGTGGGCGTTTTTGTTTGGGATAGAGCGGCATTTTTCGGGCGTTTGGGGTTTCTTGCTTCTTCTGCTCTTGGGGGTGGAATCACTGCTCTCATGTTTGGGGGTCTGTGATGTATGATGTTGGTCTATGGGACTCACTGCTCCGATTGTATTATAGTGTATATGAGGTTAGAATTGTATAGACTATCTACGCTTTATTCTCTGCCATTTTACGGAGTGGGGTTGTATTTGAGCCTTGATAAAGAAGGAGCGCTTGGGTAGCTTTTCTTGTATATTGAGAACACTGAGTTGGAAAGCTATGGATGGGAAGGGTATATAGTTCTACCTTGTAATCTATAACAACAATGTTTTGCTTCCAAGTGCCATACCTCGAAGAAGAGGCTCATGTTTGTCTTCCTGAAAACCAGTTCATCGATATGGTGGTGTGTATACTGGTAGTTCTATGCCTCTCTACAAACTACACCCACGTCCCTAAATGCTTTGGACAATATATATAGAGTGCAACCTTAAAGAAAAGTACTTCAAATGCTCTCTTGGTGGAAATGATGTAGAACACCTAAGATGATAATTATACAAGAAAAAAGATCTAAAAACTAGTACTAGAACACCTTTTGGCGCCCGTAATCCACTTGATAATAATAGAGCTTGCGGCGGTCTGATTATCTGTTATACTGGGCAGGCCTGTGGACACCCACTCCCTGTAAGTAGGGCTGATTCGTGTGCGTTTAAACTTGATTAATAGACACAGATACCAGGGCATGTGTACGGAGTAAATAGCAAATTAGCAATAGGTGGTTTTGAGATCGTGATTCCTCACTTTTATGCAGCCAATTTATGAAAGGCCCAGAAAAGTTATGTAAATGTGAGTGATCGTCATAATGGGTGGCCGTTGCGCAACCCTCGTGCTGCTGATCTCTTGAAGAGACGACCGGCTTGAAATATGGAATGACTTTAATGGCGAAGTCCGGACAGATATGCTAGGATGCAATCCGTTACCCCCAAGCGCATAGCTTAGGAGAGTTCACAGTCCTGCAGACTCACATATGGGCCTGCTAGGAAATGTTGTGCATTGAATGTCACCAGTAGCCTCGGAAAACTCGCCCTGAACCCGTGCCGGGGCGGGGTCAAGGAGGCTAAAAGCTGCCATTGCTTTAGTTCGATGTGACTCTCTCACATCGGGTGTCCCTTGGACCTTAAGCGATCACCTCTTCACGAGTGGTTATGGCAACATTGCTAGCTTGGGCGAGTATGGTAAAGATTGGCTCGCGTCCCCTGATTCTGCAAGATGAAGCGTTTAATTTACTGATTCCGAAGGCTCCCTAAGTTATGCCCGGGTGTAGAATGCCGTACTGGATGTCAAAATACAAATCGCGCAAGAAAATTGGCTAGCGACATGGCTTCCTAGCGTGCAGTATATAAGCGAGCACTTCAGCTGCTTTCGAATGTGACCGCGCGCCTCTTCTAATGTCTTGCAAGATTCTCGATCACTTCTCGCATCTTTGACATCAACTGTACATTATGAAACTCTTTCCTGTCCCTCAAGGACTGGCTATCGCTGCGGTTGCACTGACCAGTGCAGCCTGGAGTGTAAGAGCCGCACCAGAGACAACAACTGGGAATCCCCTAGCTACATCCGACCAGCAGGAGCTTGATGCTCGTGCAATTCAGATCTATCAAGATTACCCGTTCACGGTCCTCAAGGCTGAGGCCAAGGTAGCCTATCAGACAGCTCACGGTATTGTGATTAGTGACGAGGCGGCTTCTAGCCTGGATGCAGCCATTGAGGAACTAGTCTTCAGCGCCGTTCAAAAGGCCGTGAACAACGATCCATACCACCCCAAGGTCTACTGGGTCGATTCTGGCCCGCGTACTTGGTTCGGACTGGATGTTCCCGGCGGACGATATTCTTACGATAACCCCGACTGCATCTACCGCACCATTCCCATCGACGACGACGTCGATTATGTTGTGACAGGCTACCGCCATTCAGTCGGTCCCACCGACGTGAGCTTCTCATTGATTAGCGACCCCAATTCCCAGAACACCGTGGGTTACTTGGCGGGCAGCGATCTGATAGTCGACAGTGATGGGTCGTATACCATCACCATCAATAGCTCGGCTGCCGATGGCCAGACAAACCACATCCAATCTACTTCCTCGGCCGTGCAACTGTTGATTCGCAACAACCTAGGCGATTGGGACTCCGAAACGCCGGACAACATCACGGTGCAAGCCGTGAGTGACACCACCGGCCATGATGCCATCACCAACGCGAAGATTATCTCCGATGCGATATGGAATCTACAGGAATCCGTTGTGACTTACGGCGTTGGAGCGCTCGGGCTGAAGACGATGATAAACGCGGTGAACACACTCTCAGCCCCGAGTCAGTCCAGCTCCCTCGGCACTCTGACCAGCCAAGCGAGCTCCTTTGGCCATTTCGACCTCACCGACGAGGAAGCCCTCGTGGCCACCCTCACCCCTGGCCCGGCGGATTACTTTGTCTTTCCGGTGACAAATCCCTGGATGATCACCGTTGATCCCGGTAGTAGCCTGGTTAGTCTGAATAGCAACCAGGCCGTCGCCAATGCCAATGGGACGTACACGTTTGTAGTGTCTCTGACGGATCCTGGCGTCTATAATTGGGTTAACACGACCGGGCTCCACGAGGGTACTATCATGGTGCGCTGGCAAGGGCTAGACACCTCTTCGTCGTCTGGCGACTCCGTTACTATTGATGTCCAGGTGGTGGCACTGTCTGAGCTAGCCTCAATTCTTCCAAATGGGACCCGGTATGTCTCGGCCGAGGAGCGGGCAGCACAGCTTAACCAGCGCGCTGCAGCTTATTCCCAGAGGTTGGAGTTCTGAGATTGTGCGCCAACTCTAGTTTGTGCAAATACGGTATCCTAAAACATCATTATATAACAGTAGGACATACCCATCGTGTTCTTCTAAGAAACTGTATTACTATGTTATTCATCAGTTGGCCTCAGGTCTCCACAGCTTGCTGGCATGTGGCTTGTAGGCTATGATTGGGGTCAGTTTTAAATGTAGATTAGCTGAAGTTCTGACCGACCACTCACCATCTATTCACCGGGCATTCTACTCTTTGTCGGCGGAGTCAACGGCTGTACTGGCCTGCACCTATCCATTTCTCAAAACTATCGGAAAACATCCCACAGTTGATTGGCAAGCTATCCATATTTAGCTTAGATGTGTACTGAGGAGTATGTCCTGCCTCTGAGGTAAAATTTGAATGTTGCTGTCTGCAACTGCATAAAAACAAATAAACAGATTGCTCGGTCTTGCCATTTGATTGAATATCAGTCTGTGCTGGAAGTATATCAATCCTAAATTGGCTATACTATGAGTTGACCAGTCAAAATACAGAAGTCTCGGCACCACAGCTTTTGGCCTGAGGATAGCGCAAGGATATATTCCTGATACACGCCATTAAGTAGATCCTGGTCGCTGGCCATTATAAGAACTATTTAACCCCGGAGGCCAACCAGCCCAGAGCAAAGGAGTAGCTGTAAGTTTATTTGGTATGGGTGAAGTGACCGAGCTTTAGTGCGTATAATGACTGGCATGCTTTGCCTCACACGGTCTGATATTTATTCCTCCAGGTTCTCACAGGCCATAATTGCATCAACTGTATTCTCCGCTCTTGCATTGCACCGTGTAGGCAATCCCATCGGTGCACTGGATATAGGATTTCGAGTTGGCTGGGTTCGCATAAATGCATTCAATACCGGCACAAGTGGCCCCTATGCAGCCCTGGGACACCCAAGCGTCAGAGCAGCTGAAGGAAGAGTTGATCGCTCCGCCGGATGGAGGCAAAGCTTCTTTTGCCACATCCTCTAGAATTTCGATTGCATTGCCACAGGTCGAAGTTGATGGCCAGTCACAGACTTTCGTTTTATCGTTCCATTCAAGGCCAGCAGGACAGGGTATCACCACTGGGGTTCCTGTCACACGGTCTGGATTGACGGTGCATTGTATGAAAGTGCGGCAGTTTTCCGGGTTCGCGTAGAGCCAGTCATGGGGATCCAAACCATTTGTCGCTTTGATGTCGGGTTTCGGGCAGTTGAAGCCACTGATTTTATGCCTAAAGTTTTGATGTGTGGTGGAGATCAGTAAGTTAAACGCTTGTGCCCAATTTCCGAATGAATCGACTCTGGGATATAATCAGGTCTGGGTTGTTGTGTGGTATCAATGCCTTTTGTCATGACAGATCAAGAGTGTCCCAACTCAGTTGTAACCAATTCTATGCCCTGTTGCAACAATTCATACCCCTATATACAAAGCAACAGTAAGTCCCCCCCCCCCCTCCTCCCGAACTTCCCAAAACTACACCCATCCATCTAATCCTCCTCAAGCGGCTTCGAAACCTCATTCCTCGCATCAAGCCACTCCCGTATAGGCTCCCACTTCCGGCACGTATGCGTCTGCCCGACGCCCAAGAAGACTGGCACCCCCTCCCACCCGTACATGGGCACCGGCGATAAGTCCGCATGACAAACCACAGACTGCACAACCTGATCCAGACAATGATGTAGATGGGCCTGACCCCAGTTATCCGGCATATGGGGCGCATTCCGCAGAATCCCATCGTGTTTTTCAAGGTGAGCGGAGTAGTAATCTTTATCCAGGTTCATGCGGATATAGTTTAAGCAGTGGAGGGAGTGGAAGACGTCCAATCTAGCGTTTGGTCATTTAGACTAGCCTCGGATAGAATAGCTGGGTGTGTTGTTGGAGTGGAACCTACTCGAAGTGGTAATTGCCTGTGTCCGGGAACTTTTCGATCCCAGGTTGGAAGGGCGCTGCCTCTTCTTCGGTGATCGCGGGGAATTCTCCTATTCATTATGAGATTCTGTTAGTATGCCGGTGGCTGAATGAATGTATACATCGTTGGCGGGGCAGGAAAAGGAATAAATACCGCGAAGCAATTCAGCCCACGCAGCGTCTATCTCTGGGCTAGGCGGACCCGCATATTGAGGCCTGGTGGGATCAACTTCTCGTTCTATCTTCTGTGTTTCGTCATTGTAGAAGAACTTTCCCGTGAAAATGCGCTCTTCGTAGGAGACGGATGGTTGCGCGTCTGGGAAGTCGGTTTTGTACGCCCCGTGCGTTGCTGGTTGGTGGAATAGCAGGTAGCCGGAGAAGAGGGCTAGGATTGCGGAGAGGGCCCATGGGATGCCGAGCTGCCAGTTGAAGGTTGTTTTTGAGGGCTTTGGAGGTTCATTGCTGTTTAGTTTCTCGTAGGTGTATTCTTTCATGCGTTTAAAGAATATTGGCATGTTGGTGGACTGGGGTTTGAATTCTGATAGCAAGGTGGGTGGTGAAGGTTGGGTTTGGGTAGATTCTGGAGAATCGTGTTTTCTTGGGCGTTATTAGAGGCGATTACCTCGATCAGGGCTGATCGGTCTTGGATATGTTTCTTGGGCGATCAGTACGTTAGCCCCTGGCTTAATGGTGGCGTCCCAAATGCAAGGCTTTTAGGGCTTCAAAGATAGTCGGATCGGGCTTTGAGCACCAGGCAAGTCTATTGGTTGCAGGAACGAGCTAGAGTAGTGAGAAGTCCTAGATCATGCAGTGGGAGGTGATCGTCCATGTTTCTCATGCAGGTAGCCGGGGGTGGTCTTTTGGTGCCCGCAACTAGCGGTCAAGTACTTTCTACTCGACATGGGATGATAGGACCACCTTTGCACGCCATTATGACCTGTCAGTGGGCTGTTGCTATACTACACTATGGACTCGGCGATCTGGTTAACGGAAGAATAGTAGTGATCAATTAAATCGAATGTAGTTAACATAATAGGAGCCAGTTTCCTGACATGGCAACAACTCCCGAATACTAGTTAAGCTTGCACCATGCAGCGATTGCCTTGCCCAATCAGCCGGATGTCTGAGCTTACTACTACTAGCGTGTATGTGTTCTCCCAAGTGAGGAAGAAAAGTGCACTCCAGAAAGGGCGGTGATCCGCTAACTTCTCAGAAGCTTAGCATACTGGAATGTGAGAAGGTAGATCATTAGCAAGAAGACCCAATCACGCCAGTCGAACAGCGACATCATTCATTACAAAACCTACATAGCCACATCAGATGACCGTTTGTCCCTCGCTTGACGAGTCTCATGTATACATGGATTTCAATAACATCATTCGAATAGGGCAAATGCCACGGGTATTGTCGAATCAATACTCAGATCTACCTTCACCCATTGAACAGGGCTTGCCAAAGTCAAGCTGAGGGTACTCACCGCTCGTGATCTACTGCTGTGTACATGCCCCACATCACGCAATACATTGTCCGTGATCTGGTGGGAGGCGACCTTTGAACTGTACAGCGAGGCTGGTATAAAGACAAACCTTCCACCTTGATTGACGACCAACACGCACTCATCTAAAGCTCACAATCAATCTCTTCTCACACTGCACTTATCAGCACCTTAACCTGATCTTACCGGACACATCCCGCCATTAAACATGAAGTTCTCTGCGATTTTGGTTGCGCTCTTCGCCGGAGCCGTCATGGCAGCTCCTGTTCCGGACAGCTCGATCCAGGAGCGGGTATGACACGCATTGTGCCTTATACTTTTGGATGTGTGCTAATAGGAGAACGAAAAGGGCTCACCATTGCCCAAAACCCCGATCGAAGAACGGGTAAGTCTTGCTTGGACTCGTTGAGAGGAATCTTAACTAAAGTTAAATAGGGTATCTTGGATAAGAAGCCAGTTGTGGAGCGGGTGAGACTATATGATTCTTATTTCTCACCAACTTGGGTATTGATATACAAATGAAAAGACAGAGACTTATGCTCAAGGCCCGATTGATGAACGGGTAAGCCTTGCTTAGACTTGTTGAGGGGAATCCCAATTAAAGTTAAACAGGGTTTAAAGCTGAAGCAGCCAACTGCTGAGCGGGTAAGTCCTGCTTGGGCTCATTAAAAGAAACCAAGAATCCTAATTAAGAATCAAACAGGGTTTGAAGCTGAAGCAGCCAGTTGCTGAGCGGGTAAGATTGCCTGATTTCTGACAGATTGAGTTGTCTAATGGCCAAATAATAGGGGTTGCAGTTGCCAAACGGGCAAGATATCCCTGACCTTGTATTTGGAGTAGGTCAAGAATAATTGCCCGTAACCACAGCGGATAATTTCCTTCTATACTGCGTGAATCAGATGAGGGCAAGTTCATCCTGTTTCCATGCCCTGGTTGAGATGCTAATGCTTAAGACAGTGGAGTCATGGAGCTGGATACTTGGTGTGCTGCTTAGTTGGGCCATATACAGGCGCTGGATGTCTTAGGTTACAACGGCGAAGCAGGTGAATAAGATATGATTGATGAAGTCGCTTATCTTGAGTTGAAAGGCAAGGCTTTGTTTTCGGGTTCCCTGGAGTGTGTCCTGTAGGACTAATATGAAAGGGTCTTATTTTGACTTTATTGGGACATACAGTAAATGAAGAATAGCATGGTTCATGATCAGCATAGGAGGCTCAAAAACCTCTAAGAACAGAAAATGAATGCTTGTAGTACAGCAAAGCGAAAGCCATCTTAACTGCCCATACCCCCAATAACCATGGCCTGAATAAATCTGCGACGATCTCTTTCCCTACGCAACATGACCAAGCACGTTGCGATGACTAGAGCCTCCTCGACCATGCTCAGGTCGGCACCAGGATCAATAACCAGTTGACCACCATTTCCAGCGGAACAGCCAGACGAACCTGTCGCACGCGTATCGGGACTCCGGAGAAGATAGGCGATCCGGGTGACCTTTGCATATTCCGTTCCATCGATCTTCCCCAAGCAGAGGGCCTTGAGTTTACCTCCATCTGGCGAGGTGATTGTCGAGTACTTCCATTCCCATCTGCATCCCCCATCCAGGGGCGTAAATGACATGGTCCGCGTGGTCAATTTTCCCTGCAAGGCAATCGGCGGAATGACGTCCCCTTCTATGGAATGTAAGAACCGGATCCAGGGACAACCTCCTGGCTTGAAGTCAATGGAGAAGAGGTCACCGTGTTTGGGTGATGCGAGGATGGTGTGACTCGACAAGGCCTTGTCTTTGGTGGCTGTATATGCTAGGGTACCGTCGGCGGTGTATATCGGGATCTCATTCTGTCTCATGGGCATGGGCGGGCGGAGTGCGCGAATACCCTTTGCTTCGATATGAAATCGCTTGCCTTGGAGGAAGTTGGCCTGTGATGTGTCCAGTAGTGTGCTGGCGGTGGAAGCAACGCTGTGGATGCTGGTGGCATATTCTTTGGATTCGTGTTTGGAATCCATGTCTGGACTTGTGACACTGAGTGAGATGGTATGGGATTAGTTTGATTGCAGATGAAGATACATAGAAAGAAGATGAAAATGAGAATAGCCTCACTGATCAACAGCTGTATCTCTGCCCAGGTTTATATAGATGGTTGTATCGATGCTGCGCGCCCTGGTCGTACTCGCTTATCATAAGCTTTCCTCTGGCGGGACCTTATTGGACGGCAGGAATACGAGCTTTCCAACTCGGGACTAGCGGATGAGCATCCATGGACGACCGTCGATCGTGGGACAACTGGCTGGCGAGAACACGATTTGCTGCGGCTTTGCCACATAAGCCACGGTTCTAATATGACGTGGTTGGAAACCAGAGGCACTTAAGGTGATCTATCTTCTTGCACAAAAGGTGTCAGGCGTACTCGTATTCCCAGAACATCTCCCTCTAGTACGCCCCGCCAAAAAGGGCGAAATGACCCTTCTTACAAAAAAGCATCTTGGATACACTGTTAGCACTCTTCAGTCCTCGGCATAGGTGAGGAACCAAAGGTCCTGTCTTGCTTAGATAGCCGAAAGGGAAATTATGCAGTGCTGTCATAATCTTCGACTGGAACGATACTTGTAGCTCTCATGTGAATGTCAAGACGGTTGTACTTTGATATCTCGCGTGGGTCATCAATGCCTTATCCTGGAACATTAGTGGAGCCGACCATCTTTACCCTTGGAGTCAAGATTGTCCACGAATCATGGTAGAGTTGCTCCATTAGGGCTGGTGAATGCTTTCCTCTGCAGAGCTGCAAGGATATTTCAACTGGATCTGGATATGCCATAAAGTGTAGTATGTTGGAAACTATACCTTACTCTTTGGCGAAAAGGTATGGAACCGTTACCGTGGAGCTGCTATCTGTGCATTATAAATTATATAGGTTGGTTTGTGGATTTTACTCTGAGTGACGCTTCTAGGTCAAACAAAGACACAACTCCCATACCAAGTGAATTGGCTTAACACTTTTGCTATCTCAAATCTGACCAGCAGCTCAAAGTACTTCGCAACAGACCATGATAAAGCTAAACTCCATTGGGCCGATTATCCACACCCATAAAGAACAAACCATGGCGTACAGGAAGTGCCAACAAGGAAAACAAGATCGCCTCCACACACGAGCAGGAACCATATTTCAAGAAAAGTAAAGAACAAAAAGACACAAACACAGCTCCTACTAGCAGTGACCATCGTTATCCCTAGTCAAAATTATTCATCTGCTTCGCAAAGTCCAAGCCAGGCCACCATCCCACCCGATGCTTAACAAAAAGCTCCGCGTCCGGCTTCGCCTTCTCAAAAACTTCCGCATCATCCAACGTCCCAGCCAAAACAATGACCGATCCTTTGAACTCCTCGCGATCGCCCGTCTTGTATAGCAAGCTTCCACAGTTCTCACAGAAATGTGTCGTCAAGTGCATCCCGCTCTCATGGATCATGGAGTAAGTTTTGGGGGTACCAGATGTGATTCGGAAATGGCTTCCGGGAATCAATAGGTTCGCCGAGCTGCCACTGCTGAGCTTGCGGCAGGTTAGGCAGTGGCAGACAGCCTAAAAAAAAAATTTTAAAGTGAGCTTTGACTATCTTTGTGTAGCTGATGGGTGGTCATTATGAAAGGGAGCATTGGGACTGATAGCTACCTTTAAGACGGGTTCCACATCATACTCGTATTTGACCGTTTGGCAGAGACAGGATCCGGTTGGCATTTTGATGATTGTGAAGAGGTATAGTGATGGGGGGCTTTAGTAGTGTGTGAGTGTGAGTGCACGCGATGGGAATAGATGGAGGGATGGGATTGGGTATATTGATATATAACGTATTGTTTTTGGCCAGATTGTTCTAAGTTCCGATGCGCTTAAGCCCAACATGATCAGCGGTATATAGAGGGGTCTAGACTTGGGATTTTCAAAGGTTGAATACTATTGAGTTGCTCAATTGGCTCAACAGCTCGATTTAAGTTACCGATGTTGGAAACTTGAGGCGAGGTCGACACAGGCCGAGATTTGAACTCACAGATTTAATGAAGAGCCTCGTTTTGAAGTCAGCCCACTGACCCAAGAATTTATTAGCTAGTTGCGGAGCCAAGACTTTTGCTGATCAGGCAGTCCGATTACGCTCCAGTTAAGAAGCTGTACCGTACCCATCCCTTGACTCAAACCGTGGTACACATTGCCCGATTCTACTACGTAGTACACTGTACTTTCGATTGACTTTCGGCAAACAGTGGGTGGGACGTACACCTGACTGACAGGTGGCATAATTGGATGGAGCGCTGGACATGCTGTAAGCCTGGCCAGGTCATAAAAGGATGCCCATATGGACATCTAAGATTGACACCCTGCATACTTGAGATCTATAGGCTGTCGATCGTGAGCTGTGCTTCCCTATCTCCATAGACGAGGCTATCCTGTAGTCCATGCAGCGGGCTAATAACAATTTGCTTTGATCTTTGCTATGGTGCATAGCGATACATGTTCTTAATCCTCCCCGGGCTAATGACAAATAGGCACGGAAAAAAGTGTGGCAGTGACGATTCACGCAATTTTATTTCATAATCTTATGCTGTATGCAATAATCTGCATTGTGAAACTCGCGAATAGTTATATCGGTAGCGGTGGTGGTCACTTCAACTCCCAAAGCCCCCGAGGTATTCGTTCTACAGTTTCATCATCCTACTGATTAGGGTCCACCTTGCGTAGAATATCAACCACCGCCTTTCGTGGCATATCAGTCATCACCTTTTTTGACATAAAAGGTACCGCAAGATTCTCAGGCTTAGGGCTTGGACAACTTAAATTGGACTTTGAGACTCTTAAAAGTCATCCGTTATTCCATCTAAAGTCTGCTGACACCCCGGCCAAAAGCAAAATCCGAACACTCTATATCTCCTTCGCAGACTGTACGATTTAATGGACTGGCATACGGCTCTTGTAAATACCTGATGTTTGCATTTGCTGTTTTATGGGATACCAGATATGCCAAAATGCCTGTTTGAGACCGTCCTATAGCACAGTCAAGTGCATTGCCAAAGCCTTGGGTCTTCTGCAAGGTGAACTGAAAGTTTATATTTGGATTACCTTCCTCCACCAAGAATTTGACAATATCCTCTGAACCAGATAAAATAGCCGCGCTAAGTGCGGTGTTGAAAGGTGCAAACCGGAACTGTAGGTTGACATCAGCATGTGCATCCTCCACTAGATATTGGACAATATTCAGTTCCCTTGCCAGACAGAACTTTAGCCCAACATCGAAAGTATGGGCTACTTTCTTTTGATGAGCCCGAGATTCTCTTTAACAACCACTTCGAATGGTCATCTGGTACACTTTTATCAAAGTGCAGAGCCCAGTATGCCTTAGCGTAGCTATGAAACGGGTTGTTAATGTCTAGCTTGTCGCCAGAATATGCAGGTACACATGATGAGCTTTGATGGGCCGAAGCAGAGTAGTCATTCCATTTGCCATAGGCATCAATAAGAAATGACAAGCAAACTTTAGCACAGTGCAAATGTGCTTGCTGATTCAGCAAGGTCTGGCGGCCTTCGAAATATTCAATAACAGAAAGGTGGCACATTCTGCAACATCCATGGTATATTAATGCATTACTGAGAGTATATTAGCATAACGATCTATTTACTAACCAGACTAAACCTTCCCCGGCATCTGTGCTCATAGTTCGATCAAAACCGTCCATCATAAGGCTCCATCAAAGTGTTATTTTCAATCCCAACAGGAAAGCCTTCTCCCTCTGCAGTAGTATGGCACCAAGGCTTGAGGCCGACTTCCTCCCTCAACTTACTCGAAAAGCATTTCGACCACTGACGACGGGGATAATGCTTATTCACATCGTCCACCGTATCAGGGTGGACATACTCCTTGTGGGCGCCAAGGTTGTCTAGGTAAATGTCAGAAATTAGGGAATAGACCTACTATAGGATAGCCAATGGACTCACCAAACTGCGTTGAAAGCTGAATGAGCAAGCCGATCGAATGAATAGCCCCAACTTTGACCGGATCCTGATGACGGATGACGGCTTCTGCGACACTCTCAGCTTGCGGTGCCGGGGCACCCTTCTCTTTGAGAATGTTCAACGCGACGATTCCACCGTAGATGTCGAAGGACATGAAGACGTCCTGGGTGTATTTATCAATGGTGCCGATGTCGTGGAAGAGGCAGGTGAGGAGCCAGGTTTCGTCGCTGAATTTCCATTCCGGGAAGTGTTGTCTGGCGATTGCAAGGCCTGGGAATATAGATAAGTAGGCAGAAGTATTTGGTGTTTGAGGCAGAGAAACATTCGTACCGTAATAGTAGACACGCATGCTGTGGTTGAAGGTGTGGGCGGGTAGCTCTGCCTTGACGTATTCCATGGCACCTTTGACAAGAGTGGTATCGGGAAGAGGTGTATCTTTGACTAACTGGGGAACGGGAGGCTTGCTGAGTGGTCTTGTAGCAGCTCGCTGCCGAGGGTCGCAGGACACAGCTGTCCAGCCGTATTCTTCTACTTGAGTTGCCCTGGTGGATGACATGGTGAAAAGAGGTTCAAGAGGCGTGGAAGCTAGGGACAGCGAATGAGGTTAGAAGGTCACTGAGAAGACACTTGCTTGCATGAAGATTGAGAGATACAGAGGGGTATAGGTGGTATTTATAAACATCTAGTGATAACTCATCTTCAGCCATGACCTGAAGAACCGGATAATGAGGTTGCGAGATGCATGACATACATCAACCCCAGTGGGGCAGTTGTTTCCAAAAAGGGCAGTAAATATGTGTGGGGCTATTGTGGGCACCAATCATCACACCAAGCCTTTCTCCAGTCTCGCTTTCATATCATGATAAATGTGACGCTGATACTGCAGACACAGAAATGTCTGCTGCCAGTTCAGTTTATTCAGCCAAACCCGTGGCTCCGCCGAGATATCTCCGTGATAGATTGCCCCACGAAATATTATACCCTTTTTAGGAAGTCCTTAAGACGAGAGACAGTGTGCAGGCTTTCGGCGTCAAACTAATCGTATGATCAGCAGTGACCTCTGTCAGGGTTACCGAACATGATAATAAAGTCCTGGGGCTACGAGGCTCAAACATCACATGTATGTACAGTCTTCCTTGGTCTGTTCCATTAGTTTGGGTAACACTTCCCTCTATATAAGAAGCCAATCACGTCCCAGTTGCCCGACATTGAATATCCACTGCGAGGACAATGCCGGTTGGGTATCATCCATCTTCCAGAACCTTCTCAAAATATTCGCAGCATTAACCACGTTGATACATTTCGTCTCGAACCAGAATTTCTCCAGACAACTAATGACAAAGTCCCGTTGGTCTTGCTGTCGGGACTCTAAACCTGCAACAAACATAGGCCAGAGTATACATTTGAAGAGGGCCTCGTCGCACTTCAAGGCCTCAATTGTAGCAATCAATCCACATACCAAGTCATTGGTGGGTGTCGTACTTCCGGTAATAGCATCCCGAACGCGTATGCCGTATATGAGGGTGCCGGCTTTATATGCCTCTGCCAATGTCGGCAGCATACCAGTGTCATGTGTTGAATGAGTATGTAGTTGTGGTAGACCTGATACCCAGGCCTGACAATCAAAATTCTGTGTTAGGTCAAGTACTATGCTGACGTTCTCAATATATGATTCCAGGCTGGCCCTATCGAGGAGATTTGAGCCTGCGAGCATGTCTCTACAAATTGAAAAAGATCGCAGAGCATCCAACAGAAGCTCTGGACATCCTAGATAGGACTGATCCAGACTCATCTGCAGGGGTGTTGTCGACTGCTGTAGGGAGGGCGTGCTGGACAATAGCCGGGGACGTGTGTATGTTGCCCCGAGTGTGTCGATTCTGATTGTGAGGGTGGTCAGCAAGAACACCTATGAACCCCGAGATTATTCACCGGCCCACATACAAGTAGATCTGTCTCATGATAAAATTACGTATCCCCTCAACAGTTTCCCCAAGGTTCTGCTCAATGCCTGTCTGTGATGCCATGGAGGGTTGAAGTTGAGTAATCAATCTCTTGGCGCCTTCTAAATGAAGGTTCCACTTGTCGCTTCCAGATTCCAAGAGATCCAGAAAGATCAATAGAAATGCACTGGCAATTATCGTATCTTGTTTGGATGGTGTTCCCTCGTTCAAAGCATGTGATAGTTCTTGTATAGCTTTGCATTTGAACCAAAGAGCATTTTGCTGCGCGTCATTCAACGTGGGAAAGGTTGATGTTCCAAGCTCATAGAATGATTGGTCTCCATTGGCCATATGACGTGCTGAGAGCGCGACAATGGACGTTAATAAGACGGAGTTATTCAATGCAGCGGGTATTAGACATCTTAGAGGGTTCCTCTTGCTGTCGTACATAACGAACAGCTTGCACACGCATTTGCTGTCTGCATATGGTGTTAAAGCTTACTCAGGATGGGCTCTAGCAGGAAGAATAATAGCATGCTTACAATAGTATAGATAGTACTTAGAAACCTGGTCTACGCCTGAAGCGTAGGGGTCATCCGGATTTACTGGTACATTAGGAATCAAAGAATCAAGGCTCCCTGCATTATCATATTGGCATCATTAGTGAAAAAATATATATATCGCTGGCAGTAGCTCTCCATTCCCATGCTTCCCCCAATGGGCCTCAACAAGATCTATATTCTGAAGAAGGTTGAAATCCTTACCATGCCCCACAGTGCTAGCAACAGCAATCGACTCAGAGTTGGTTATATCCCCGCCGCAAAGATGCTCCTCTCCTAGTGAGCCTAGACGGAGCTTCGTGGAAGCACCCTTGGCCGAAGAAGCTTTCTTACCCCGAAAGGCTGCACCTTCGACCCACCGGAAAGGCCGTTTTTGAAAACAATCTAGTCCGGCCTTTTTGCATTTCTTGCAAGGTGGCTCAGACATTTCGCATTCGATGCGCCTGCGGCGACAAGTATAACAAGACTTATCCATGACCATCAACTTTGTCGAAGGACGGCTGATCCTGATGTGATCTTCGCTCAATGGGCAGCCCGTATCGAAGGTAAACCAATTGAAACATGGAAGAAGCCATTACTACCTATCCCAATGCAAGAGATACTGGCGGCATTTGCATGCAGAGCGGGGAATGGGACGGACCGGTCACCTGACTGGCACTTGTGGCCGGCCTGAGGCCTGGCATGTCCAACCAATTCCAGCAAGTTCCCCTTCTGTCCACGTGGTGCCAGTGATGAACTGCCAAGCCCGGCTGCCCGGGCCGCGGGTAAACTAGCCTCTTTCCAGCCATGTTCAATATGGGCGACGCAAGCGGCAAGGTCCATGTCAGTGACCAGGCTGGACTTCCTGCATAGTTGCCTTCATTCTCCGTGCGACGCTCGGACTACCCAGTTCGAGGCAGTCTGGCTCATTCTGGTCAATGAATGCGATTACTAGCGAGGAGTATATGACAGCGGGATCCTGTCAAACCTTGACGGGTGCATGCCTGACAGCAAACCCCGAGATCCCGCTTACCATGGAAGGTAAAATCCATGTTTTAGTGCTATGCAAGTTGCCAAGAGAAGGGTTTCCTTTGAAAGTACGTTTAATTATGGCCGTAGTTCCAGGTGCACCCCTGTGCCCTTGACCCAGATAGGCAAAGTTCACCGTTATGCTAGCCAAGTTCGTTCGCCAGATCGGCATCATCCCATACCTATCTCGTCTAGTCATCAAAGACAAGAGTGTTGGCGGACGGAGACTACCTTCCCCCCCCCCTAAGGAGCCTACACCAACATGTAGCCCTTAGGCCATACCCAGGCGAATTCCTCAAGTCCACAGAAACCAACGGCCTCACTCACCAAGATGGCCGAACAGCCGCCCGCCGCGAACACAGACTCAGCACCCCCTGAACGCAATATTCAGCGAACCGAGGACACCCTTCCGGTGTTAGAAGTCGAGGAAGAGGAGGAGGATCCCTCACTGACAGATTCCGCGCTCGGCAGCACCGGTAGCCCAAGCTACGCCACGTCCCTTCTCTCCGAGGTGAAGAACTACAAGTACGAGAACGGCCGTCGATACCACTCCTACCGCGAAGGGCAGTGTGTGCTGCCAAACGACGAACAAGAACAAGACCGCGAGGACTTATTACACCACGTTCGCAACCTGCATTTCAGTGGAGATCTCTTCCACGCCCCGATCCCAGAGGATGTCGAGCACGTTTTCGACATTGGCACCGGCACAGGTATGACCTGCATTTCTAAAAACGCCTCCGTTATTCATTCCCCGGAATCTGCCCACTCATCCCTGACCAAATAATCAAAGGTATCTGGGCCATCGACTTCGCAGACACATACCCCAACGCCCGAGTAATCGGTACCGACCTCAGCCCCATCCAACCCGCCTGGGTCCCTCCGAACCTCGAATTCTTCGTCGACGACGTCGAAGCCCAATGGACCTTCAAACGAAACTACTTCGACTTCATCCGCGCATGCGACCTTGGCGGTTCGATCGCCGACTGGCCGAAACTGTTGCGTCAAGCCTATGCGCATATGCAGCCCGGCGGATGGCTGGAACTGTCCGACTTTGAGATGGAGCATTTCTCCGACGACGATACACTTCACCTGGCGCCCTCACTGGGCGAGTTCTTCCGATTGCTGATTGACGCGAGCACGAAGTTTAACCGACCGATGAATGTGGCGGCAGAACATCAGAAAAAGATGATAGACGCGGGGTTTACGGATGTCAAGGAGAAGATTTACAAAGTAGGTCCCACATCGTATTCTATCTTGTTTGATATTTCTTCTGTTATCTACTACGCCCTTGGTTCATCGAATGTTAACCTGGTATACATAGTTCCCAATGGGTCCCTGGGCCAAAGAAAAGCGATTGAAAGAAGCCGGTCGGTTCCATCGCGAGGTCATGATTATGAGTCTCGAGTCTTATGCTCTTGCACTCTGCACTAGGGTCCTCGGCTGGTCTCCAGTGGAGGTGGCGGTTTTCCTGGCTTCTGTGCGAAAGGAACTGAGGGATCCAAGGGTACATATCTATGGCAAATTCCATGTTGTGTGGGGAAGGAGACCGACTGAGTAGGGGTGGCTCGGGAGGCGTGTGCTCCATGATGATTAACGACCTTTTCCTAGCCATACTAACTAATAAGCAATGATGTGTTATGTTTTGCTGTTGCTAAGAGCCAAGAATGCACATAAATGAGCGACCAGTACTACTTGGATATCTTATGACACCACACTCATGAGCTCAATAATCCACGGATTTAATCCCACAATCCTACCCAATACCCATTCCCAAAGGCCTTCAATATATCAACGATAGCCACCAACCCAAGCCACCGGAGCTACCCCACACGAGAACAGGCACATCGAAACTATCACGGCCTCCTGCATTCAAAACCACATATGCTAGCCCCATCCCTAAGAACACATCGACCCCAAGGGATAATACCTAAGGAAACCACCTCGGCAAGTAATCCGCCCAGCCCCAATAGTTCTCGCGACCCAAGGGATGGCCAGCGCACTTGCGTATCTCGTGGACCTCCATGCCCTGGGGAAGATTATCAGGGTCGTAATACATGACTCCGAGGCGTCCACAAAGTTCTTCGGTGGCGCCTGGAACCGGGACCAGCGTGGCATGACTGATGGCGGCTGACCCGATGATCAGGAGAAGGTTGAGAGAGAGCTTCATGGTGGGGTGTTCTCTTCGTCTATTTGGGATGGGATTAGTATTCTGGAGGTATCAGGGATTGGGGAAGTACCAGACGTGCCTGATTGAGGGGATGAGGTGTATGGGTATAGAAAGGAGAGGTAGCGGTTTGTGATGGGGCTTGTATATATATGCAGAAATGTTGGTAGTATGGACGCAGGCAAGGGAGCACGTCACAGGTGGTAGGTAAATTATGTGTACGTAGCATCTACTTATTGGCTAATGGCTGGTTCCCTCTATTGGATCTAGTGAACAAGGATTCCATGTCACGAGCGAGTAATAGAAGTAACATAATTATGGATTGAGGACTAGGCAGATGAATTCTGGAAATGATAACCCTGGTACTCCGAGGAGTGTGTCTGGAACTACATAGCGACACAAGGCAATAATACAAAAAGAAACTTGCACTACTACTAACAGATAGAATGTCCTACAAGTTCGCGCTCTTAGTGTACATGGTGCATGATCTGCAGGGTGCTATGGGTGTTCCCAAATAGGCAAAGGGCGAGGCTTAGCAGTACATACACCTTGACTGATATCGACCCATGATACCCACTCGACTGTACTAGTAGACAGTAACAGGGTCTAAGACCCTGTCCCACGCTCTTAGCCTCTCATTATACGTCGATAATGGAGATTGTGCGATGTGTCAAAAGGCAAACTGGCTCTGGGGGAGTGTATTCATTACATTGCACATGCTGCAATGGAGCACAGAATCCATGCTATGCTAAGCAAACCATTGTAGAATCCAGGAATTACTACTCTGTGTTAGGACACTTGTCTTTTACCATGGCCCCATATCATAAGCTTTAGACTAGCCTTGATCCCGAGCGGGTCTCCACGATTTAGTGCTTATTTTTACGTCATGCGGCCAGATGCCTTCAAATTTCAGAGTACTGGGAAGAGAGGACACATATAGCTGTTTGGATACTAACAAGCCATGCTTGTTCTTGAACCTTCCCGGCATTACTTGATTGATTATAAAAGTCTTGCATCAAGATTGAACCAACCCGAGAAATCCTGCCACATGAGCATGTCATCCAAAGCCGAAGGATCGAGTGCGGAATGGAATGGTGACAACGGCATATTAGCCTCGGCGGTTGGGAGGGGCTGACCAGATTCATCGGAAAGGCCTGTCTGTGTCAAGTTGGCAGGGGATGGCGCCGACGATGCTTCCGCTGCTACCAGGCCTTGCGCTTTGCGACTCATCTGCGCACACGACTCTCTGGCCTTATCACGCAATGGACCGAGAACTGTCCAAACGCAGCTCGTCCTGCCCTTCATCTCGGATGCCTCTTCAAAGTCAATGAGGCAAGTAAAATAATTATCTACCGCAACCCATGCCCTATCCGCTTCAGCTCGGCCGGGGGAGGCGTGCAGCGTGCGTAGCACGAGGAACAAAGCGTACAATTGCGGTTGTTGCTGGAAAAACCATGCAAAACTTTCGAATAGTTTCCCTGACTGAAGTAGATATCCGTCTTCGAGTAATTTGATAGCAGTCGTAAAGGCTGACTGAGGGAGGTGATGGTATCTGCCATCTGCACTCCTTGTAGTCGAAAGCCAGGCTTGAAGCGTCATGATGAAACGCGTCTTCAAGACAGATATGCGCAGCAGAGCATCTGCAGCACGACATATTGGATTCGTCATATCCGCGAGTTGCAGCCATTGTTGCTCCACCTTACGCTCGGTTTCATGTATTGTGTCAACTCTAGTCCCGGCATCGTTCTGCGTGGTTGTAGCAATGACGCGCCTTAAGCTGCGGCACAGGTCCAGGTTCATGATGGAAAATGACATCTCAGTCCACTGGTCCTTCCCGATGGGTGGCTCCGTCATCTGTGGAGAAATGTCGATGTCGTTGATGTTGGTTGGTAGCAGACATGTGTGGTTACGGTCCACGGTCGTTGAATCGAACCCGTGGCTTTCGGGCGCCGTGGCATCGAGAGCGGTTAGATGCCACCACAGCCGACGTCTTATCTCGGTCTCGAAAGGATCCAGACCTAGACGGGTGCCGTTTACATGGACTCCAAGCGACTCGGCAATGCGCATGGCAAGACCGGTCAGTATCCAAATTGTTCGTGTTGCGTCGTGTGTCCTCAGTGCCGTCTATAATCATTAGGGCATGGTAACAAAAGGCGGGGATGGAGGGGAGATACCAAATAGATGACAAGAGCCGTCAGGGCCCGTGTATTTGGGCGTAACAGGAATTGTGCCCTCATCAATGCGCCATCCATTTGTTGCATGAGATGGCGTAGGAGGGTTGTCTTTTCAAACCCGAGCTGCTCCATTGCCTTTGCCCTTGGCACGGTTACCGTAGCTGCGAACGCAACAGCGTATACCAGGGTCATTGTTGCATCGTCTGCCTCGTGGGGATTGGCGGAGGCATGCAATATAACTGGTTGTATGGTGGGTATGTGCAAGAGTTTCACCAGGGAATCGAAATTCTGTTTGTAAAGAGACCATAACTTTCCGTACGTTGGCGAAGGTATGGAGATATCATCAACTTGATACCCGAAGACGTCGGTGGCAACTACCCCATACTGCATGGATGGACCATGAGTTGGAAGGTTTAACGAGCTGTTTGGTGGCTTGGTATTTCCAGAACTTTGTCGAGACATATCCTGGCCACATTAGGGTCAGTGGAATATAGAAACAGGGGTCGAACCTACGTCCAGGAACAGCCTGACGAACACTGAGTTGTCAACGTAGCTACCCTTCACCCCCTCGCCCAACGTAGCTTCTTGAGGGGGTTGCACGGGAGGCACTAGAACCGGACCCGGTGCATCTTGATCATTCCCAATGGGGTCAGTGGAAGCTTTACCATGATCGAGCGAAGCCATGAGATTGGAAAGAAGCCCCTCGACTTTTGTAAGCCTGTCCAAGATATCTTGATTGGTAGGTAGCTGATTTGTCTCATTAGGAACCTCATGCTCGTGAGCAGGCGGTGTTCTCGAAAAAGACGGTCGTGGCGAGGCCCTGGATGGTGCCCTGGTAGGCCCACGCCTTCGCCGTGTTTCGTAGACGCACGAGAGCTGTAGGCGGGAGCAGTGCGAGCACGGCGTCTTCCTGTTGCAACGGACCTTCCGCTGGCGGCATGGCTCACAAGTCGGGCGGCCGTGACGACCTAAGGCAGTGCGATCGCTCATAGTTTATAATACTGCCTAATGCGGCTCTAAAACTACACAAATATGTATATCGTCCGTGACTCTTCGACGGTTTACTGAACAAGATCGAGGCTGTCGTTTAGTCAGCGGAATCCGGCGAAGAGCTAACCGGAAACGGCATGGCCCATAGAGCGGTGCCCTAATGTGAAGATTGAGTAGTATGGGATAAGAACTATCTCAGCAGCAGAAATTCAAATATTGCTTGATTGATGTGTAGAGAGCAGCCTATTCACTATATGCGTATAAAATTTAATTGTGGATTTCGCGAAGACAGTCCTCTACATTCAACTAAAGGGATATGAAAACGCAAATCGGTCTATTCCTATTCTGTATGCAACGGATACCTCTCCCTAAGTCTCCGACCAAACTGATATATGATAATCGTCAAGACAGGCATAATCAAGCTAACAAAGCCTAACAGAGAGTTCCCCCATCCTAGGCCGAGATGACCGTAAAGACTAGGCCCAGCCAGTGGCAGGAACGCACCAAAAAGACAGCGCACGGATGTGACGCAAGCCATTGAAGATGCCGCAAAGGGTCCAGACGCGTCAATTACATACGCCTGAGCAGTTGCATTGATTCCCACCTGGGCGAAGCCAAAGGGTACTAGACCGATCAACGGAACAATCCAATGCGTCTGGGCTTGCGTAGACCAGCCGTACCAGAAGAAGCTCACCGGGATGAATAGCGCCGGGAGGAACGCCGTCACTATGCGCATCTCGGGCTGAAAGATATTGTTGTTCGCCTTGGTGAGACGGACGGCGAGAAGATCGGAAGTCTTCGCAAATACAATCAGACCGACCAGGCTGCCAAGGCCGAGGCCCATATACGCAAGGCCGGCGGTCTCGAGGGACCACCCGTAAAATTCTTGAAAGAATGTAGAGGTGGTGGTAAGGAGGGTATAGAGTAGACCTGAGATCAGGCCTACCATGGTGCAAAGGATGACCAACAGCGGGGAATGGAAGAGCATTTTCCAAGGGCGGGAAATGGCACGAGCTAGTAGGAGCCAAGGATTGTTGAGACTGGTGGATGCTTTCTCGGAATCGTAGGCGCTCTGAAGATCTTGTCTGCCGGTTTCCTTTTGTAATCTCAATGCCTTGTGACGGATAATCACGGCTGCATTAGTTTCTGGTGTGAAGGCCGCCATTGCAATTGCCACAACTGCGCAAGCGATGAGAAGCACCCAAAATATCCATCGCCAACCGGCTCGTTGTGTGATTATTCCTCCGAAAAGAGGCCCTAATACAGGTCCAAACAATGACCCCGTCGTGACTAGTGCGTTAGGCGTACCGCGCTCATGAACGTCGAAAAGGTCCGGAACTATTCCTCCCCCAACTGATAAACTTACTGACCCTGCAAGGCCAGATATTATGCGGAATGCAAGGAATGTTCCAGCGTTTGGTGCTAGCGCACAGCCGATATGGGAAAGAGTGAAGACGGCGTTGGCGCAGTTAAGTATCAAACGACGGCCGTACAGCTCGCTGAGAGGAGATAGTATAAGCGGGCCAAACTGAGATTCAAGCTGTCAGCAAATCATTTGAAAGATATTTTTGGCTTCGCGTGCACACAAACATACCATGTAGGCGAGTACATATATAGTAGTAATCAGTGAGGAAAGGATCGCTGATTCAACGTGAAACTCAGATGTAATGTGAGATGCTGCCGGCGAGACAATAGTAGATGTGAGGAAGCTTTGGCAGAATCTCTTAGCCTTCGCGTTATGTGAATCTTGTGGAGGGGAATAGCAAACCTGAGTGCTATCATGGCGCTGAGTAAGAGCATCGTAGTCCATTTCTTTGCGGGGGAGAAGTTCCTGTTAATGATGAGTCGAAGTTTCCACTAGATGATTCTAGCCAGCCTTGTCGCTCTGCTATGCTTTTAATCATGGTGGATACTCACCTGGGATTGTGCGTGTCGCTTTGACTATCCCATGCGATGAGCCCTTTGCTCAGGTCCGACTCTAGCTGAAGTGCGCCGAATTCATTGTTCGACACCATGTTTTTCTCAACCACAGCAAGAAACTTGGTAGATTGCAAAGCAAGGTAGATTGACTGCACAGGGCCTTGGAATCCCATGCGTAGTGGGAGTTTGAGACCTGATTTAAAAAGAATTGATATACCGATCGGCCGATCGGCCGAGCGGCCGACCTCGATGGAACCGCATTTTGCAATCGTTAAGATGACTATGGACAACCAAATATATGTAATCAAATTCTTCTCCGTGATGGTGATCTTTACCAGAAAGCAAGACGCAAGCGTCTGGCTTATCTAGCCACCCGAGCCAGAAACGAAATAAACATGGCTGCACCAGCTACCATCATACATAGTTCAATTTCCGAATTGGTTCGAATATTAATACTACAATTATATATCGGAGTATCAACCCCCGAATCCACAGGCGAGCTTTTAGAGTGAATATAGTCCCTTTCGGTGGCTCTAAAAGGTGGTGACAGTCATGCATTCCCTCTCCAAACAAGGCAATGATAAATATTGTATGCATCGTCATCGCATAGCCCTCTTTGTAAATCGTAGCATTTTGCTGCATATACTGACCGGCAGGACGTTGTATATCTCGCTGGGGATACAAGTTTATGCGGAAGAGCTACCTGAAATGTATACAGTGTATTATATCAAAATACATATGTGGAGCATAAGGTGTTGATCAGTGTAGAAGACATCAATAGCCGAGGAGGCTTATGTGGGCAACACGATCTATCAGGATAGTATGCATATGAAACGAACGTAGGGCTTATTAATACAGCACGCCGTGTTGCATGGCGACCTACTCTTATGCCATAGCGATCGCAACCATAGCTGCAGCGCCACCAGCAGCCCACTTAGCGTTGCCCGTGATAATTGCCGGAGCCGCATTGGTACTCTGGCTAGCCTCTGGTGTCGAGGATGCGGTATTCGCTGCGGCCTTCTGCTGTCCACTGCTCGACCCAGTAACAGTGGGAGTGGCGGACGTGGTCCCAGTGGTGTTGCCAGTAGTGGTGGCAGGAGCATGAGCGTCACTGGGAGTGTTCTGTGCGGAAGCGAATCCGGAAACTGATTCAGTGCCGGTGATGGTCACGGTTTGGTAGAAGTCACTGGCTGGGCCGACGGTACCGCCGGACTCTACATCGGTCGAGGAGCCATATTCCATAGTCATGGCGCAGGAGAGGGACGTGGAGGAAATGAGAGAGCATTCCTCTGTCAGGGTGCTGTTCTGGGTAAGCAACCTGTCATGATGCTCCCAGTAGCCGGGAATAGAAACATACTAATGGGGGTAATCAAACACAGCATGCATGGTCGATGGGCCACCGGTGACGGTGAAACCTTGCGATGAGATGTCACAATCTCCGATCTCACCAAAACCTTGATTCGCAGGCTTCGGGTTGCAGTTGATCACGTATGTAGTTAGGGGACCGTCCTGTACGTTTTAGTTCAATCCATGTCTGGTGGTGGTATGAATACGGCTGGGATCCTATACAGTTCCGATAACCTTTCCAACGAGATTGTCTGAATACATTTCGGGCAGGAAAAGAGTGGCCACCTCGTCAGCTAGGACGGCTGAAGAGGTAAAAGCCACAAGGGCAAAGGAGAGTAGGGGTTGGGTATGCATTGTCGGATGGATGTTCAAATTGGATCAATAGAAACGAATGAAAAGTGTATGGCTTTGCAGGATTTCGGAAGGAGCGACATGAACAAGAAGGGGAAAGATTTTCGGTCGGTCAAACTGGGTCCTATCCACTTTATATGATCGAGGGGTGCCCTAATTCGAGAGACCCTGGTTGCTTAGCGGTGCATTAGTGCTGGTTTGCAATTTGATATGCTGAACAGGTGGGGGCCAAATGATTACTGTATTGGCACTAGTAGATCAATAGCTCCAGGCTTTGCTATATTACCTGCCGCCGCTTTTAGAGGCTTGTGGAGCCCAGACCCGTGGATTACTCAGTGGCTCATTTCCTGCCCTGTAAGATGATACTACTAGTAGCTCGGACTACGTCCTACTTATTCAGGGACTACAATCCCACATTTCCTACGTCTCCTATGACATAGGCCCAAGATCAAATAATGCAAAGATAGAAGACACAGGCTTCACTTGCCATGCTATGGCGCAAGAGACTGCTCCTATTGGTGATATATTACGATCTATATATTCTTACGTCGGGTGATCGTCGAATGAAGCATTCCAATTGAGTTTTTGATATAGTCATTTTGTCTTCCAGCGTGAAACATTCCAAGCCCCACTACTCGACATTGGCCAGTATTTCGTATCAACTGCCTGGCTCGAGGGCATTCGACCTTGCTTTGTTCTCACATGTTCTAATTACGTGATGGCGGTATTGTTACCCAACCAGACAAAGATAGTGAAAGATAAAATGACGAGTATCTATTCATCTATAAATTCATACTTGACACGGACAGAAAGAATGCATTATCTCATTGACTTTTTACAACTTAGACTTGCTCTCCTCCCGGCCTTGCAGGTTAGGGTGGGGAGTGCGAACGGGTCGAGTCACGGCGTAGAAGGCAAATCCTTGGGACTTGGTTGAGAACTAGAGCTATGTCAGCCGATGTCTTGCGCCGTGAGAGGTAAGGGGAACATAGGGATGGAGGAGAGTATCAAAAGAGGATGGTGACGAACCTTGACCTTGGATCCGACGTGGAAGAAAGCAAAGTCGCCTGGAACTAGGTGGTGGGTGATTCCAGTAGCCTCGTCCTATGAAGTAAAAGATAAGTATTAAGGTTATTCACAACTATGAGTACTTCAACCTTGTATGTTTGAAGACGCATCTTGTCAGATGGATAAGGGTAGCATACCAAAACATCAATCTGACCACTCAGGACATACTTCGTCTCCTCGAAAGTGTAGTGGGCGGGTCGTTGAGGGCCGGCCTCAATCTTGTAGAATCCCGACGTAAAGTAAGCGGGGGATTCCGTTTGTGTGCGGATAGAATGGAAATCGGCTGTAGTTGCGTTCTCGCCCTGGGGAAGGGGAATGAACTCGTGGCCAGCGCCCTTGATGACGGTAAGAGGGACGAGGTTGCTAGACACTATAGCATAAGTATTAGCGGTTGTTGTTCGTTTGAATTGGCTGGTATAGTGGAATACAGAGGGACTCACTTTTGTTTATGTTCTTGATAGATAGATAGATAGATAGATAGATACAACAATGGAAAAGACTCGGGGACGAGCTATAGCTTAAATAACATCTGGGCTGGTAGTATATAGTTCGGAGGCATTGCCGGGCGATGGTGCAAGATCCCGCGTACTTTATCCCGATGAGGGGAAAAAACCCCGGCTGCTATCGCCGGCTGTGGGGAAATCATCGGATGCATACCCGATCCTCCTCCTTCCCTCCCAGCTATATTAATCATCCCCCGCGCCCCTCATGCACTATGGCATGCCGGACAACAACATTTGGAGAATAATGTTCTATGGTACTGTTAACCTTTCCCGCGGAGTGCTGGCAAACGAGAGCATCTAAGTAATCATCAAGGCGAACGCGTGTCTGGCGCTTGGATATTTGTCCGCCCCGCCAGTTGAATCAGCTATGGAATACCATACCGAAATAGGTAGCTTGGTACCTGGGACTCAATATCAACGCTATCGAAGGTGACAAAGCTCCTGCAGCTTCCCTGGGCCGTGTTGCAGACCCCTCAGATCGACTGAAACTCGCTCGAACGTGCTGGACCAAGTTGCAGACCATGGGACCGATTAGTGGCGGGCAATTGACACTCAGACTCTTCAGCGACTTCATGTTCTTGAAATCTGGGTTCCCATCTCGGCGGAGGACCATTGTCACTTTATAAATTCATTGTCTGTCGCAAGGGTTCAGCTAATGACGGGATACAAGTCGAGTGTAACGTCTACTACACTAATACTTCTGAGAACAGTTCAGTTCGAGGTCCGATATTGAAACACTACACCCACCCGGTTGTATACCCTCAGGCGTATACCTAGCTCTGCTAAGGGAGCAACAAGTGGCGAGGGGAAGCCAAGAGGTGGGAAATGGAGTAGACTAGGGCTAAGTGGGGCGGCTTGACTTGAACTAAATTAGGAAAGAGAAACATGCCCGGTTATTTATCTCGACGCTGCCGGTTGTAGTTTTGACGCGTTGTTTTCAATAGAGAAGATAAAGGAGGAGATTCGGAAGAATAAACTGGAAATAAACCGTCTATGTATGGATTCGTCCCAGTGAAGGCTGACTAGGATACAAGGAAAAAGGAAGAACAGCAGAGGATATCTCTCATCATGGTGGTGGTAAAGCATTCATTAAGGCAAGGAGGCATTATCACCACACCTATCCCTGTAGCCAATAGAACTCCTCGCGTGGAAAGTGGGCGAATATTTCGTCCAGGCAGACCTGTTCAAGATCCTCTGGACTTGGTGGAAATGAGTACATAGCGTTGCCAGCAGGGTTGGGAGGATTTGGCTGCTCAGCTTGCTCATCTAATAGTGGGTGAACGAACTGAGTGGTAACTCGCATCCGAGTGTCTGGTACATCCGAAACCTGCGAGACACCGCCTTGCGTAGGGCCATCTTGTGGCATCTGGCAGACCTTGGGATCGAGGAGCTCCCAGAGCATCTGAGGTTGGAAGGATATCATTGTACTACTACCCGATACTTCCTGGAGTTTTTCCTTCGCAACGTACTGGAGGTGCTGGAGGATCTCTAGCTATTAGGCGTCTTTAGCCATGGTGCTGAGTAGAAACCGACGAACAGTTACAGATTCACCAGATGGGCGGTGGCTTTGCACTCTGTGAACGTACCTTTCGAGTTATATGTGGCCAGGTTGAGGAAATATGGCTCAAGAATCTCTCACACCTGCCAAGGTCGTCATATGCTTTCTTTGAGACCTTGGGGTCTCTTGCAAACTGGAAAAGCCATGGTATAGTAGCTGTCGCGGCAACTGCATGTCCAATCAATGGATCGTTGATCTCATATTGAAGGTTCTCGCAAAATTGAATAAACTGGAACACCCAACCGGAATGAAACAACGCCAGGTCCACGGTCTGCTGGAGAAACAGACGTGATTGAGGCACACCCCGATTACCGCGCATAGCGACCAAATGAATAAAGGGATGGTTTAGGATAGCCGGTGATGCATGGGAGAGCATCTGCATAGCCAGCCAAGGGCTCCAGTATTCTTTTTGCTGCATAATTTCAGCCATCGATCGCTTGGAGAAACAGACATTTCTCAGGAGGTGTCTTTGCGGCACCCTAGCTTCGCACTCATACAACCTCACACTGAGCTTTGCATGGGTTGAATCGGGTAACCAAGGCGTTTCGACATTACCAGATCGAATGCCATGTAAGTATCGCGTAAGGTCGCCCCACACTGAGACCATGTCTATGTGGTATGCATTGATACCGAGGTCCTTATTAACCTCTTCTGAGACATGTAGATCAGGGGGACAATTTTCATCCCGGTAGCCTGGCGGTGAAGCTGGCAAGGGAGCACTGAGGGGATAATCAGGCGTATCTTGAGATGATGAAAGATCTAATACGTGGGGGGAGAAGGCCTTTTCGAGTATGAACACGGACCAATGACACCTAGCGCTCCTATCCTCGGTTTGCGCTTCAGAAGTATCATGGCGTGTTAATCTTCGCAAAGTATCTAGGCGAGAGGCAGTCCCAATTGTCATCCACGCACGAGCTGGCTTTTGGCCTGAGTTACTTGATTAGCACAATCAATTCAGGCGTGATACCGAGACCCATAGCTTTACCAATCAAGTCCTTCACAGCCAGTAGACATAGCGACTCGATAACCTCTATTTTGGGGATGCCTTCCACAGCCAACTTCATGGTTGCCTCTTGTGCGGAGCGAGTATAGAACTGGACAGCCTCTTGTTCCCTGCCTTTATAAAATTCATGGCTGCCGAAATTCAAAGAGAGAGCTAGGAAGCTGTAAAGAAGAAATCGGGAGGATATCACCAAGCGATCTCGTAGGCCTTCCAGTTTAAGTAATGGCAATGGTTGGAAATGTATCCTGGTGCGATATACTTCCACGAGATGATCCAAAGCTTCCTCTGGAGGTTCGAGACTAGGCAAACTTAGCCAAAGTGGCATCATACACGATGTATGATCGCGGGCATTCGTGACGGGAATATGAGACCTACTGTGATGGTGCAAAGCATGAACCAGTACCTGATCCCCCTATACGTGGGAGTATGTTTGGAATCTCGGTAGAAGGGTCTTCCCGTGACTCCCTGACCCGCGCTGTCGAAGCTCCAGGCGTCGCTGCATCGTTGGGGTTCGAGAGAGAGCTTCAATGTCAGTGTACCTCTGGGCATTACATGAATCGAATCACTGTTGCAGGGCCATCCGACATACATCAAGATGTTGTAGATGTTATTGACCTCCGACTCAAGGGCTTGAAATCGGTCTTTCGAAGACCTTCTATATTTTGTGATATGAGACAAGACCCTAATATACCTGAAGTCTTTGGAGTGACTCACGTCTTGGCCACCCTGTTCCCATGTCCGTCCGATTTGGCCTGTTCTCGTGGGAGATAGACACATTGCAGATTTAGACGTTGGCAAAATGAGCACACTGGTCTCTCGGCCGTGCATTTGGACTTTTTACGTCTGGTTAGATGGCGTTAGAACAGGCTCTAGACAAGGAAATGCAGACCGTACCTGCACGGTTCACAGGCTTGTCGACTTCGCTGCTCCCCCGACATAGACATGCCTTCGAAGGTGATCTTGACGTTGTTAAGCCCTAATAGGTCATAGGAGGAGACAGGAGACTCCACGGGCTCCTAAAAAAGTTCCGGGCCCAGATATGAGCCGACTTAAGAAAACTGTGGGGAATCATTCAATGCTGACCAACAGCTGTGATACTCTGCTTGCTCACGTGAGCGGAGCGTTTCACAAGTCTCCCGGTTCTCCGGACAGCCACCCACCAACGCCCCATATCACCGCTATCTTATCGCCCCTCTCGTGTTCTGGTCGATACACACGGGGAAAGTTCAGGTTCTCATGGCTCCACACATCATCATTAGTATCTATCAGAGGCAGAACTGAAGGAGGAGAAATTCTTGCAACCTCACTACAAGAATGCTGCACTTCACACGTCTAAACGATCTTCTGTGTGAGTGATCCACTTATGTGAATCACTCTCTACCGCGTTATCTTCAGGGTCACACACCGCACGCTCATCATGGGTTCTGTCGCTACTGCTCCTGCTGAGGCTATATTTACGCTAGAGTCTATTCCACAGGAGCTTGAGGATACTCTGTGTAGTCTAGTGGCCGCTTACGGGGCAGCCAACACAAGGAACAAGCCCAATAACCAGTCCCTTCTTTTCCGAGAGAGACTTTTTGCCAATATTATCAAAGTCATCTAAAGCAGGGAGCATCATACGACATACAGACGTGAACTAAACCAGAGCAGTGGGGTAATATCCACCCGGGACGAATCCATAATTTCCCATATACAAAATTGCGGACTAAAAGTACTTCAACGTCCCTTCCCATCGATATGCGGAGAGGAGGAAGCCATTTCCAGATTCCGGCCACATGACCGGGGAAACCCTCTTATTCCGGAAAGCTTATCGTGTGGGGTTATTTATGACGACTGCTCGCTGTTTTCAAAATTTCTTCCTCGTCTTCTGATTTCCCTCTATTTGCTCTTATCCTGGTGAGAAAGTTCATTCTGAACGAGTTCAATTGACGTGATGGATAAGAACAGCAAAATCGTTATCGTTGGGGCAGGTATTTTCGGCCTGTCTACGGCCGCCAAGCTTGCATCGGAGGGCTACAAACATGTCACGGTTGTCGATCGCCACATGCCGCCTGTAAAGTTTTCTTTCCTTTTGGAAACTAAAGCAAGATTAACAAGTTCAGGTTCCGGATGGCTCCAGCTCAGATATCTCCCGTGTTATCCGCTTCGACTATGCCGATGAGGACTATCTTAACATTGCATACGAAGCCTACCTCAAGTGGTCCCAATTGCCAAAATATAAAGGCATCTTCTTCAAATCACCGTACATTCTCACTGGCAACACCAGCACACACGGCCGGGCCTGGATTGAAAAGACGACCGCTGCGCTAACCAAGAAACAGCTGCCCTGGGCAAAGCTGGACAGTGCTGCGGCCGCGAAGAGTAGATACCCTGTTCTAAGTGGGACTCTCGCGACGCCCAATTTCACCGGCTACTATAATGAACAGGCAGGCTGGGCAGATGCCAGCAAGGCTGTCAGCCAGCTTCGCGACGATTGTCTTGAGCTTGGAGTGTCATTCATTTGCGGTCGTGCAGGTACAGTCATTAGTCTCGACACAGACTCACAGAAGAAGATCAAGGCTGTCAAGACTCTCGCGGGAACCTCGATTGAAGGTGATCACTTTATCCTTGCTGCCGGTGCCTGGACCTCGGGATTAGTGGATATGTACAACTCGACTCTGGCAACAGCCAGGTAATTGGCTACACGCCCCTTACAGATGCTGAGGTGAAGAAGTACCAAGATGTCCCCATTTACGCCAACTTTAACACGGGTTGGTTCAACTTCCCTTCACACGAGGATACCAAGACACTCAAAATGGCTGTGCATGGATGGGGCTACACACGTGCGCCTACCGCCGAGGATCACCAGAGTGTAAAGGCTAATATCTCGTCGCCCCCTCTGATCCCCCCTCGTCAACGTGCCAACTTTACGCCTCCTGATGGAGAGGACCGGCTCAGGACCGGACTGCGTGAGATTCTCCCTGAATTAGCCGATCGTCCGTTTGAGCGCGTGGCCCTTTGCTGGTATACAGACACGCCTTCGGGTGATTTCATTATGGATTCTCATCCCGATTACAAGAACCTTTTCGTCGCCGGTGGCGGTAGTGGGCAGTAAGTTATATCCGTATTTGCAATACCAATGGAAACTAATACATCTCACTCAGCGCATTCAAATTCCTACCTGTGTTAGGCGACTACACTTTCCTTGCGTTCACAAAGCGTCTTCCAGAACATCTGGCGCAGAAGTGGCGGTTCCGCACAGAGTACAAAGATGACAAGGACACTTTCCAGGGAGATGGAAGTCGTGGAGGGCCTGCCAGACGCGAATTGCATACCCAGGAAAAGGCAAAGCTATAGGACTGATGTTAGGCATTAGACAGCGCCTTCCTGTCTTTGCGATGCCGTTGCCTTGCATTCTAAGTACTATGTAGGCCTTTGCATACTGATGTTTTTGATGACTTATGTAGCCTTTCCCATATTAAACCAACTTTTACATATGCTATCCAATTTGATTATGCCATAATATCCGACAATACGTCGTTAGATCCATATGAGTCAAGTCCGATATAAATAGCAATAGCTATGCACAGTGTTCTGCGGCCTGCCATTTAATCCTTGGCAACCCATCAGGTGGGCCAACTGTCAAGTCTCGGTCGACCTCATTATAAATTGTTTCTGCACCAAAACCAATTGTAAGATAAACATATCTCACATCCTCACCCGAAGACAGGGATCCATCTCACTCTCGCTCCCTACTATCTGTTTATTTCTGTAGTTATCCATCGCAATGGATAGCCAAGCAGGTGAAGCCATTACCCTCTACTTTTGTAAAAAGGAATCGAGAGAGAGAAAAAATAATATCCCCAACTGAATACATACCAGTTGTTGATCAAGGTATATATGTAGCTGGTACTAGAGAGATCACCTGTGGTGTAAATGTCCAATACCACGTGAGACTCTGACTTCCAAAAACCAAATTAAATTGCTAATATAGTGTTAAAGGCACGTTATTCTGGTACAATATCAACGTTGGAATCATTTCAACCCCTACTTGAATATCCCAAATGGATGAAAGTTTAACAGGTCCCTATGGATGCACCGCTATACGTCTCTGGGATCGATACAGTGTGGGGATGGACCAAGGCCTGGGAGACCACGGAGATCACGGAGTGCTCGCAAAACTCCGTCCCCACTCTTGTCCGGCCTATCTCAGTTATCTTAGGGCTTGGGAATCGGAGATAGAAGCACAAGCACGAAGGGAGGAATGTATAAGACTCCCTATCTGTATCACCCTCAGGCTATCAATTCAACACTGTTTCCATTAATCATATTTTCTTCAACGGGTTCACGTCGGATCCATCAGGCGATCTGTACGACTTTATATACACTGTCTAATACCTAGAATATATACTCTAAGAATAGAGTTCCTCGCACGAGATACCGAGAAACGCATGCGGTTGTACATTCAAAGCAATAAGATTTTTTATCTTGCGTTTGATTAAGCAGGGCAAAGATAAGAAGAAAGAGAGTGTTGGACCAGGTCAAGCTGCACATCAATGAGATCAGCCCGGTTCCGTTTAAACTGCGGCTTAATGATAGTCTATCTCTCGTGGGATCTTCAGCAAGGGTATTGAGCAAATATTTTCCGCCGGTGGACCGCGAACGAGCCAGCGCCCGTAGGGATGCCTGCAAGGGAACAATTGGCGGCGTGCGAAGGACCTGTGCTTGAGAGATACAACGCCCAGAATGAAGCAGCTACAGGAGTCTTAGACGCATTGACGGACGAAGGTTCGTTTTTCAGCTTTGGAGGTTTATTGAATGGAGGATAAAGCTTGTATATGGATATGCTTCTACCTCTTAGGTGCCCAGCCTTAGGTGCGATTACCTGAGCTCCACTGAAATTCCTAATCTAATCTAGATGATAGCTTATTTTGCCACGCCTCAGTAGACCCCCAGCTTGGGGCCGAGGTCTTTCGTACGGGTTCCAATTGTACTATAACCTGTCTAGCGCTCGACAATAAAGAAATAACTGGAAACTCCCTTGAATCAAGTCGCAACTTCTTTGGTTACTCCGTGAAGGCTTTCATATATTAGATGTAAACTACTGAATTTTACAGAATATATATGGTGCGGTTATGGAGAAAAATATATGGGGTAGTTTGCTTAAGGTATGAATAAGTTAATCCGACGCAAGCAACAAAACAATAGCGGATTAAATTAACTAAGCAATAAAGGGAGAAGCTTGGTCAGACCGACTATACCTATACCGCTCCTACAAACGGCAATTTAATTGATATGTGTCAAGGCAAGTCCTGTAAGAGCAGCTCTACCGCTGTAGATAACCGTTTTGTTTCCACCCTGGAGATCTGTGCGGTACAACGACCCGCCCAGATCTGTGAAGTAAATGTGCTTGTTCACCTTGTCCAAGCGTAGACCGATCGCCTGTGAGTAAAGGATATTAGTGACGTTTCGGGCCACCAGGTGGGAAAATATACCTCATGCAAGTGCCTCGTTAATATCGTGAATTTGGCTGCACTGGGATCGCTAATCTTGGGTCCCACATAGCCTCGATTAACGGAATTACCTAGTGGATATTCACCTCTGTCAGTCCAATATAGGAGTTCATTTTCTGAGTCAACCTCCAAGTCGATCGGTTCGGGCAGGTTTTCGAAGAGAGTTTCAATGTCCGAGCGCGTGGAGGCCTTTGAACCTGCAGGCAAAGTAATATTTGCCCTGAGAATCTTTCCTTTACCCGACTTGCTAGAACCCTTCTGAGTCCAATAGAACTTGCCGCGTTTTGAGTCAATCGCAATTCCTACACACTGAAATTGTAAAAGGTCTGTTAGCCATGGCCCCGCCATACACACTGAAGGTGTCCTACCCATCTGTTCTGGTCCTCTTTATGCGAGAGATCATGACAATCACCAGTCTGGATGAGGATCTCATGCTGGCTACCAGTAAAATCGACTCTATGAATCCTCAGTCCTTCGCGATCCGAAAAGTACAATTTCTCGTGTGTATGGTCAATGCACAGTTGTTTCGGTGTGTGTACTGCTCCAGGCGGAACGACTGTCTTGATATCAGAACCATCGAGGTTGCATGACTGGACAGATCCATCGTTTTCAGAGGGTATCCCCATATTTGTCCAGAATATGCGACCACGACTGACACTAATATCGATCCCGTCAGGCCCTCTGAGGCCATCAACTAACTTCTTCACATTCTGACCATCGGCCGAGGCAGTGTAGATTTTGCCTGCTGTCAGGAAATTATCGGTGACGTTTTCGCCCAGTCCTATATCAAGGACGTAGAGCGTTGGTGCGGCCAAATTGTCGTGATGACTGGCATTCTCGGTAGCCGATTTTGTCGTGAAACCAGCTGGATAAAGCCCTCCATTTCCAGACTTGGCGCCTAATCGACCTTGGTTGACATAATTCTTGCGCAGCCAGTCAACCGTATGTGCACTGTCCAGGTGGCGCTCCTGGATATAGTTATCCTCAATAAACGCTACTGTGTCGAGGCCAACGGCATCCATCATGCTACAGGGCCCTGCCTTGCCGCTGAACATTTCCATCTATTTTGCCCACCAGTTAGAATCTGGCATCACTAGACGGACGTTGGGAGGGTTTACCCATAGATTGTCGACCTGTTCTGGATCACTAACTCCTTCTGCCAAGATCGTTAGAGTCTCTCTCTTCACAGCAGCCCATAGACGGTTGATGATGAAACTACCTGTAGGTTAGCAGTTATTCCAGGCAGCGGAGACAGCATAGAGAGTGACAAGCCTACCCAGTAGATTCCTTGCGTGCGACGGCCGGCACCAACCCAACCTGCTGGTGCTTATCAACAAGGAAAGGGAAAATGTCATCGTAAGTATGGGTGCTAGTCATCAGCTCTACGACCCTATTTCCCGGGGGCATGGTATAGTGGACATTCAGGGTGCGCCGTTTGGCCTCGTCATCCATGTTGTCGAGCATCAGCCGTGACTTGTAGGATGATGAGTTAGACCCGAAAATGCAATCCCGTGGTGCTTTCTTCGCAAGGTCACCAAACGTGGCGATCTTTAGATCCAGCTTCTCTGGAATAGCTTCGATCACAAACCAAGCATCCTTCACCGCAGAATCCAGATCTGCATATGCAGTATATTGTCCCGGGACTGCCTTGTCACCAAGGGTCTTAGCAAAAGTGGCAAGGTTGTTGTCAATGAAATGAACAGCAGCATGCCGCTGATCTGGACTCGGATCTCGGATGGTTACATTGTAGCCTGCTGCAACCCAGGTGCAAGCAATTCGACGGCCTTGACAGATAAATTAGCGCCGAAGACAATCTTTCCACAGGTGATAAGGCTCAATCGTACCGAGCACCCCGGCACCAAGCACTGCTACATAGCGATTACCGATAGTGGGTGGTTGCCACGTCATCCTGAGGAGTTTCAACAGTAGAGAACAGTGTGGGTTTCAGTTCCGAGTCAGTGTATTGCATACGCTGTAATACTTTGTAGTTGGGTTGGGGATATATCAAAGTCACCATTAAATAATCCGCGGTACAAGGTTCGTGGGTGACGTCAACCTCTGAAGGTTTGCCGCGGTTCAACATTTCCAGCTGTATTTGATGCTCGGGTTCATTCTCTCAAAACCACGCCCCACAACTGGGGAGGGCAAATCGGATGATCCCGTCGGTGGAGAACTTCTCGTGAGATAGATGCCTTTCGGCAATACGTTGAATAGCTTCTGCCCGAATCGGTCCGGTCTCCGGCTAGACGTGGAAAATAGCCATATCTACCCGAGAGGCTTGGGCGGCAATATCTACCGATGCAATGCTGATAGTACCGGGAAGAAGGCCCTGATAGTTAGATTGCGCTCAATCTCCACTCTTGTGTAGTAGAGAGATACTGTATATTGGTCAACTTCACGATGGCTGTGATGATAGAGATGGCAATTCGTAGATTTCCTCGGCACCTGAGTGCGGTTGCTGTCAAGGAACTGTGATTTGGAGAAAATATGAGGCAAGAGCCAGGAACAGCTCCTGTCCACGGTGTGACGCTCGTAGTAGCACATTTTTGTATGAATGCCTATGTTCTTTGCGTTAAGCACTAAAATTCAGAGTTCTGTATAGCCCTCACCAAACCCTGTGGATAGGACCTAGGCCTAAGAAAGGACCGCACTATTCCAGTGTTGTCCAGTTTTGTAACCCTACAAATCAGATAATTCAACCTAAAACAGTAGATCTGAAGGCATACTGTTTCACTTTTATCAGCATCCATAGTAAATATATTTCAATGGGTTCTGATATAGAGGATATGAGAATATATTATAGATAAGACAATACCGAAAGTAATCATTAGAATATCTCGTTTTAGTTATCCTATTAGAGTTGATCGGGTTCGCCGCCTCTGAGCTTATATGTTTGGGTTTCGGGTCCAACACCAGGATCCAAGCCTGACCGATGGCGAGGCTTAGCCGCGTACCGACTGTGTTATGATTTTGAAGATTAATGCTGGGTGGGGATTTGAATTATTTTAGGTGAGAGAAGTGTTGAAATCCAGAAGATGAGAAAGATTAGGGGTTATATAATTATAATACAGATTTAATTGAAACTCTCATCGTAAGGGTTTTCCAATACCTAATAGATTAATAGTGATATTCTCCTCCAAGTACACATCCTATCCAGTCAACAGGTCATATCCAAACTAAGAAAACATAATTAGATATCTATATTGCATAAAGATACGAGACAGCGTTCGGATAATCAGCACAATGTATCATAGCCATGAAATGTGGCGATCATAGTAGCAGTGGGGCACAGGTCCCGTTGTCCAGTTGGGGGTGACAGCATTGTCACCCAGCTTGACCACAGGGCTAAGCAGCTGCATGTGGCCCCAGTGGCCGTGCTCAAATGTGGTCATGATTGGTGATTCGGGCGAAAAGTACTCAGGGTACACCCTTTTCCAACCATTCAGCACAACCATGAGCAACTCAGAGACATACTGTGACGGCTCCATAACTCCCCACTGGAAAGTTTCCGCATTCTTTCTGACCACATCTGGAGAATAAAGACCAATCTCAGGTTCCAGTGAAATTGCATCCGCGGCCACCAGGGAGCTCAGCACACGGTAGGAGCCACCGTGTCGTGCACGATCGCGAAGAGCCATCAATGCCCCCAGCGCTCCGACAAGACCGGTGGTCATATCAGAGATGGGAAGAGGCGGAAGCACACTGGTACCGTCTGTATAGCCAAGAGATCTGCCAGTAACGTATGAACTACCGGAGGCCGCATCTCCAATCTGCTGCCAGCCGGGGCGTTCATAGAATGGGCCGTCAGGCCCGTAGGCATTCTCTTCGACATACACAATTCCCTTTCCTCTCTTGCCAGCCATCTCAAGCAGATTAGTAACACCTAGCCCCTTCCTTGCTAGAGCTCCGGGACGGAAGCCCTGTATGAAGACATCCGCATCCTGCACAAGTTCGTGCAACCGTGCCAAATCTTCATCCTTTCTGACATCCAGGTCCACAGTTCGTACTCCCGCATTTAGGGTAAGCTGCAGGACCTAGCGAATGATACTGGTCAGTTCCTGGTCAAAGTTTCCTGTCGAAAAGAAAGGAAAGGGGACGGGGATTTTCTGAAGTTTTGGAGAACCCAGACCATTTTGAAGGGAAAGTGGTCTTACATTGAGATCGGGAAGGCCACTGCAATTGACGCGGATAACGTCGGCCCCGAATGCCGCCAGTGTAGTTCCAATCACTGGGCCAGCAATGATCCGCACCATCTCTACCACCTTGATGCCTGCCAACGGACGCTTATCGACCAGAGAAGGCAAAGGTACCGGAGGCGTGGGAATGGCGTACGACTCCCGAGAGTAGTTGACAAATGGGTGGCGTTCCAAGCGCTTGCCCATCAGTGTCTGTTTCCAGCCGTCTGGGGTATAGCAAATGCTGCCACAAAAGCCATTCTTCACCATAATCATCTCGAGCTCGTCGGCAGTGAACCTCTGCGTCTGTTGGCGGATTGTTTGGTACGCCTCCGCCGGGGTCTCACATCGTGCAGCCGGGTCCACACCGATTGCACGTAGGACGGGGTCTGCATTTAACGACCCATGAAGTTGGTACCAAACTCCAGTTGTCTTCGTTGGGTAGATAGCTGTCGTTCTTAATCTCAATGGGTTATCAAAGACCCCCTTTTCAAAGTCGCGCTTGAAAAGAGAGGCCCCTTTGCCTATGCTGGCCAGCTCGCTGACCTCCGAGCCATTTATTCTGGCAGTAAGGATGGAGCCTAGCCAAATTGCAGCTTGGTCTGTATTAATGGTCACGCTTTGGTTATGAGCAGCTTGGCCATCCCGCTCTTCCAACAATTCGTTGCCAACAATACCACACATTGCATGCAGAGCAGCTGCGACAACTGGAGCTTTCAACGGCCCGGGAATGATGGGTTCGGCATGTCCTTCAAATGTCACAGAATCCCACACGCGAGGATCTTTCGTAAAGCCAGGGGTAGTCTTGGCCAAAATCTCCAAGACTCGACGGGCATCATCTGGAACCGGGAGAAATTCTTGGTCAACAAAGGTGCCAGGACCGTAAAGGTCGGGGCTTGGGACAGTCTCGTGGGTTGAAGGCATGGTCCGAATATAGTTCACAGACAATGATGGACTTGAAAGCGTAGATACGTGGGAGGCGCTGGGGAAACTGGAGGATGCTTACCGGGCGGTGATACTTGCAGACTTATATATGTACGTTAGGGAGATGCAGGTGCAGACATCTCCCACCACCCTTACCAGCGCCATACTCACTGTGTGGTGTTTGCAAGATGATGTTCTGTTGACAATCCGCCGGCAGGGTACGCCGAAACCACATCCCGCGGCCCACGGCGAAGAATTCCGCGGTATACTGCAAACCCGCTCGAATAGCCTTGAGATAGAACACAAAGTGTTAAGAATAATCCTAAATTATATGACGAAGAGTACTTCCTTGTGAGAGCCTAAAGTATTCTTCCTCGGTATTATAGTATGCCGACACAATGACGGGCTTTTACCCCGTTCGTCTGGAACCGGTGTGATAGCCCGTGTATATATCTCTTGCCATTTGCAAGGATGATAGGCCCTTTTAGAATAACCTATATCCGATTGTCGTGAGATAACGATACTCAGCCTTCCTTTTTGGTTATCCTTTTACACCTAGCAGGCTTTTGTTGTTGTTCCTTAACATATATGCCTCACAGCGGTACCATTCTCTCAATTACCCAATATGGCTGGTCCTTCTATTAAAACAGTGGGTGTCATTGGAACGGGTGTTATTGGCGCCAGCTGGACCCTCTTCTTTCTTTCGAGGGGGCTCAAGGTTATTGTGACAGATCCTGCGGTGGGAGCTCGGGAAAGATTGGCCGCATATCTCTCCCAGGAATGGCCCACGATGGAGCGAGCTGGGCTTCACAAGGGAGCATCGCTCGCTAATTACCAATTCGTCAACAACATCTTCGATCACCTCCGGCAAATTGAATTGGTGCAGGAGGTATGTTTCTCTTTCCTATGGCATATTAGGAATCCTCTTCACGGACACCCAAACCGGTGGGTAGAACGCAGTTGATACTAATTGAAGAGAAACATAGACCGGTCCTGAGCGAGTGGATTTCAAGCGTCAGCTTTTTGCTGAGCTTGATGCCAAGGCCCCAAGAGATGCCCTCCTCCTATCATCATCATCGGGCATACCTTCCTCGCAATTCGTTACGGACTGCAAGTACAACCCCGGTCGGATCATGATTGGGCACCCTTTCAATCCACCACATATGGTGCCTTTGGTCGAGGTAGTGCCCCACCCGGGAGCAGAGACGCCGTATATAACAAAAGCAGTCGACTTCTATCGTTCACTGGGAAAGAAACCCATTGTGATCAAGAAGGAGACTCCGGGGTTCATTGCCAACCGGCTGCAGATGGCTCTGTACAATGAGGCGTACAGTCTAGTCACCCGAGATATCGTGTCAGCGGCAGACCTCGGTAAGTGACTGAAGATGAGCTGGCGTTCCTGCTTTGACTAATGCAATATACAGATACTTGTATCACAGCTGGTCCTGGCCTTCGGTGGTCTACGACCGGGCCTTTCGTGACCAACATTCTCGCCGGAGGAGGAAACTTCAAACATCTTCTGGAGCATATTGGCACCGCAGCGAAGGTCTGGACGGAAGACATGCAGAAGCACGCATTTGATCTCAATCCCAAGACAATCAATCTTCTAGATGGTAATGTGCAGGAAACAATCGGGAACCTTGATATGGAATCCCTTCAGAGGGATCGCGACCAGGTATTATTGGAGCTGATGAAATTGAAATCAAAGACATCGTCGTTTGAATAGGCACGGACGATGTGGATGCTAGCTGATAGGAGGAATAACAATTTTTGACATATTATCTTAGTTGAAGCCCTTGATAGCAAGATAAAATAAGAGACAGTTGATCAGTGTTGAGTCCTACTAGTAGTAGTCCAAAGTAATGGCCAATCGCCACTCAAGTAAATATAGGTGACCCACTCTAGTCTTCTTTCTTTCTAAGATCTATACCTTGCCGTTATTTATTGAATATTATATGTTCTTCCTTCCTTCGGCTTCTCCCCATTTCTCCGATTCCCAACTGCCCTTTTTACTTCACGCCTATAGCCATGTGTGCCTTGGTCCTACCTCACCCAGGCCCAAGTGATGAGATGGCTACACGCTCTCACCTCTGAAATATCACAGGTATCGAGTTCTAAGAATCGTTCCATTATGTAGTAGAAAATAGACCCACTGGCGATTGATACATTCACCTTAACATGAGAAAGCCCCCTTTTCGTCTAGTTCAGCTGAGGAAGCGTACGAATAGTCACAGCCGTATCGAAGTGCTCTCAACATAGTTGCTTATTGAAATCTCAAATATGACATAGTCTATACAGATGGAAACATATCAAACCCAAAGCCAGACCTTACTGTCTACACAGATCTCTTCCGAAAAGCTTGGCCTTCATCCAATCCATTGCGACAAATATTCGGCTCCGGCCTAGTTCCAAGACAGTCAGGTATAGTATACAGTATGGTGGCAGAAAAGGGAAAGCTTTCGTCAAATCAAAAAGATCACGGGGAAAAGTACCAAAGGACTAAGCTTACCAGTAAGACACATATTCAAGTATGCAGCCTTCCAGAACAGATAAGTAAAAAACCCCCCGCTTGGAATGTTATTCCCCAGAAGCGTCAGATCTGCCACTGCCAGTTCGCTACCAATGTAGGCTAAAGTCCCTTGGTGTGAATACCGGAATGGCTGGACATCTGTGGGGCTCTGCGACTCTGTTGCTGTCATGTTATTAAACACCTCAGCCAGATACGTGCCTTGTTGGGCAGCCACCTGGGCAGTAGGTGGCAGGTTGCTATTTGCACAATCCCCCAATGCCCATATATTCGGACTACCCTTGACTGCGAGGTATTCATCCACGGCTAGCCCCCGTCGTACGTCCTTTTGGTCTGGAATCTGTCTTGCAAGGTCTTCCACTATTTCCTTGGGTTTGTTTCCTGTAGCCCATACCAGAAGCCCGTATGGGATAGTTTTCAACTCCTTCTCACCGTCCACATGTGTGATCTCAACTTCAACGTTCCCTTCATTGACTCGTTTGACTGCTGTTTTAGTCATCACGCGTATTGTCTGCTCCTTCAATCTTGCCTCGGTATAATCAATTAGTTCCTTGGAAAGCATGGGTAAGACCTGAAATAGTCAGCAGCAAAAACTAACAACTGCGAACAACACGCTCTGGAATGATTATTGGCCAGTTGTACATTTGGAAGTGCTTCAATGAGTGTTACCTGAAAATCATCCGTTAAATTCGGGATCTGTTTCTTTAGGTCTTCGTCGACGAAGTCTTGCAGCTCCGCCGCAAATTCCACTCCTGTAGGTCCGCCACCTACAACGACAACTTGTAGCTGTTTTTGTATATCTTCTGTGCTCTTATCCTTGAAAGAAGCTGCCTCAATACGGTCAACAATGCGGTTACGCACTTTCTGTGCATCGCTGATCGTCTTGAGAAAGCATGCATGCTCTTTGACACCGGGGATATCTAAGGGGTCAGTTAGACTTCGACCTGGTGTTCAACTGGATAGGACGCACTGAAAGTGGCATTATCTGCGCCAACTCCCATCACAAGCATGTCGAATGGGATTTCGGCTTGCCTTGCCTGCCCTTGGGCTCCTGAAGGATCTTGTATATGAATGACACGCCTGTCGTAGTCTATCTTTACAGCCTCTGCCTCGTAGAATTTAACAGCATCTGGCCGCTCTCCGAAAAAGCTGCGAACTGGTTCCATGAGAGACCGGGGGTCAACCAGACCAGTTGTGCATGACGGCAACAACGGCGTGAATAAGAAGTAGTTTTGAGGGGAAATGACGATAACATTGTACGCTTCGGTATCAAGTTTGCTTAGGAAGGATACTGAACCCCAACCAGTGCCTGATAATCAACCGATGCATCAGTACTGGCTTGTTAACGAGAATGTGTTTGCTGATGGACCTACCAAGAACGACCAGTGTTTTTCTGTCCCTGGCCTCTTTGACGGAGTATACTGTCCGCTTGGGAGAGTACATAGTCCAAACAATAGATCCACCAAGTCCAGTAGCTGCGAACCAGCGGAGATACGAAGTTCGTTTCGTCCGTTGGGTATGGTCTCCATTGGTTCCGCTAGAGAACCGTCTATTCAACATCAAATGTACCGGTGACCGAGATAAAGTCGGAGTGTGTCTTTTATACGCCATGCGACATCCCCCCCTTATTGGAAGTTGATGAAAATGGCCAGGCCGCAACATGGCTAAGCAGGAAGCAGTCGGATTGTTGGTTTATGGATAGAGAGCGAATATTCCAACTCTAGATGTAGCAGTGATGAGGAGAAAAGATGAAAAAGTGCGATACTAAACAGTAAAGGCGCGCAAGCATAGGATACTAACTAGAATCGTATACTCCTTTCCATATTCTGGTACAATAAATAATATATCTAGTGCCCTCTTCATTTTCATACACTCGGTGGATTCGTCATAAAGCGGCGCTTCAAACGCAAACCGGGGAGAATTATATAACTCCGCGGGCGGGATTCTGGAACTCCGCGGACCCTCGAATATGGAGTATAGCAGCACCGATGATTTGCGAAATGACTGTTCGTTGTTCTACAGCTAGTGATATAGTTATTATAGCGCTGTGGTTGTCGCAACATAGCATGTAAATACGTGTATGCAGAGAAAACGTTCGCTGGTTATCTTATCCCAGTCCCTTCACAAGCCACCATTGAGATTGTTTGCAATTGCAAAGCCAGACAGCCAAAATGTTTATATTTCAACATATAAGATTGCCCTGTACCCTACTTCGAGGCTCAGGACGAGCGGTGCAGCTGGGCAGACGCTCCCTAGGTGGTACTTTACCCAGGTTGGGAGTTGCCATACCACAGAGGCAATTCTTCAATTGTTCGCAACAATGCAACAAGTCGGAGACATCTGACCTTCCTTCTTCCTCTGTTTGGGAGCATCCAATGTAAGTGATCGCCCAACAATATCCGACTGTCAAACTCCATCTTACAGACTTAGATACACCGGTGAGCAATTACGTGCAATAACGGTTGCCCACCGAGAAGTCAGAGATTGGTCAGATCGCGTTGCTCTGATGAGTGTTCGTTTCCTACGTTGGGGGATGGACTTTGCTACCGGCTACAAGCACCCACCGGAGGGTAGTACAAAGGCACTTCCGAAACGGTTCGCCATGGATGAAGACAAATGGCTTACACGATTCATCTTTCTCGAAAGTGTCGCTGGGGTCCCCGGGATGGTTGGAGGTGCGCTGCGTCATCTGAGGAGCTTACGCAAAATGAAGCGAGACAATGGCTGGTATGGTTTAGCCCTGATCATCTCCGAACGAGACACTTCAATGCTCCTGGATATAACCCAGGGCGACAAAAGGCCAAGCTAATACCGGATTACAGGATTGAAACCCTGTTGGAAGAGGCTCACAATGAACGAATGCACCTCCTCACATTTCTCAAGCTTGCTGAGCCGGGATGGTTCATGAGACTCATGGTCATCGGGGCACAAGGAGTCTTCTACAATGGATTTTTCCTCGCCTACCTGATCTCTCCACGGATCTGCCATCGTTTCGTTGGCTACCTGGAGGAAGAGGCAGTGATTACCTATACTAGAGCGCTACAGGATCTTGAGTCAGGAAAGCTGCCGAAGTGGGAGAGCCTTGCGTCTCCAGATATTGCGATAAAGTATTGGAAAATGCCGGAGAATCAGCGGAGCATGCGTGATTTGCTACTCTATGTTCGTGCTGATGAGGCCAAGCATAGAGAGGTGAATCATACGCTTGGCAACCTGATCCAAGAAGAGGATCCAAACCCGTATGCGGTAAATTGCATCCGGTCTCCAGCTTCATACCCCACGAAGGGACTGGAAAATATAAAGCCAGTTGGATGGGAGCGAAATGATGTTGTCTAATATGGCAGGAAGATCACTCTTTGAACAAGGTGGAAGTAACGGGCGTGGGAAATATTCTTGAAATCCTAGCATACAGACTAAGAACCGTCGTGGACAAAGTGCGTTACATTGATACAATATCTTCTATGAAGGTAGCAGTTGCAGGTGTATGTACCATATGTTTTGTCAGTGAGTTTAGTTAAAGTATTATAGCGCGACTGGCCAGAGACTGAGATCCGTAAATAGCAGAGTTTTATAGATGGCTCTTCAGGAGGACAGGGACGTGCAGATGAATCTCCTTCCTCGTATCAATTTCATAGTTTATATGTAACTTGCAGTCGTTGTGCACCGATTAGTAATTCCTAGAGCTTGCCATGGTAGGTACCAAGCACGAACAGCCCATGGGGTCAATAGATTGGCACACAATGCACTGCTATCGAGTTTGAGACAAGACTTTGGCTCTGGTAAGACATTATGTCCTCAAATACTTTCTTGGCACCCTGCACAAAACAGCAGCGTATACCTATATAATGACGGCAGTGATTCGTCACGTGGCATTATATGAGTCTGAAACAGAATAGCTATGGACAAAGGGGTAGAAGGGATATATCGGAAAACACGACATCCCAAATCGTGGCATCATTACCAATAAGATCACTCCAGATCTCGTCGGCCCAGGAACTGGATGAACAACCCGTGGCAGAAGGAATAAGGATCCGAACTTCGCATTAGTGTTTAGCTAACTCGGGGGTGGTAACAATTTACTTCGGTTTTTTTGCGAGGCATATCAACGGTATGCTAGAACACTGATGGTTACAGATGAGTCACAGTGGACCAGACGAGTTATTTGGGACGACAGTTTCCACTGTCGTTCAGGACAAGGTCCGCCGCGGATTTTCGGGGAAGCAAAGTCCGCAGATGAAAGTCCGCGGCAGTCAACCTATACATTCTAAATTCGAACCCCAATCAACAGTCTCAGGAGGCAAAAGCACATTCTATGCACCTGTTTAGGATGACGGAAGATTCCGGGATGTCATCACAACACTGGAGACAACTTTGGGTCCCGCAAACTTCTAGTAAAGACGAACTGAGAGCTATCCTTGGTAAGCTTACACCTCTGTTAGTATAAACCCGATTGCCGTCTTGATCTAGTCACATACGGGGTACCGCGCCAGGAATTTGACATGGACACGGACTCGGTCGGAATTGCCGTGTCATGAATTTCGGTACGCTGAACCCGAGAAGCACCTCGGCCGCCACGGAAGGAAACTATTGGGCGTCAGTCAGCTGACTATCGGGAAGGCAGGCTATCGAATTATGCATATATTCTGGGCCGAACCTGGAGACAGCGGAATTTCACTAACGCCACCCTGCGATCGAACGCCCGTTCACCATCTCATGTACACAAAACTCCGATTAACATTCTTAGGCAACGAAATTCAGCTCATTGCATTGCTTATGTGAAGATGGCAATTATAGAACTTGGAGACTCAATCCCCTCGCTCACACCGCATGTAAGTTATGTGTTCATCTTGGCATCTGCGTTTTTCGGAATGTAGGACTGTGAAGTCAACAAAACTAACGCCTTCCACAGGCTGTGAGCATGTCGCTGCCCACTTGGGCTGATAACGTGGGTTATGAAGAGGGTGATAAGCGGGTCATGGATAAATTACCAAATGGTTATCCACGGTGCTTCCCCTTGCATTCCAGGCCTCGAGAACGCATCCGCTGATCGCGTCACCAGATTCCTTATCCACAGTATCATCGCAGGATTTGCGAATGATATTATCGCCAAGCATGGAACCCCCGATCAAAGCGCCATGCTGTTTCCATCCCACAAGGCTGCCCACAGATGTCGTAATTTCATGCAGGCAACAGCGGAGCCTGGCTGCGCAGGAGACGTCAAGATAATTGATCTGTTTCTCGATAAGAGAAAAGAGGTTTCAACGGTGGTTGCGAGGCTCTCACCCTCAGTATCAGCGGTCATCTTCCGCAAAGATCTCTTCCCAATAGCGAAACAATACTGGCAACACTCTGGTGATGGTATCTCAAGCAGATATGCCGAATTTTGCCATGCACTTTTCTTGGATGGCAAGCTGGCAGACTCCACGTCGCTGCAGCCAACCATGAATCAGAAAAGAGGCCCAAGGAGATACCAAACCGTATCGAGATATCCAACGTCCGAAACAGAAAACAAGGCGGCCTCAGAAGAGCGAGTGGAAAGCGCACAGTTCCTGGAGGAGCGTTTTGGCCGAAATTTGGATGTATCACTTGTCGATAACGCCAAGGTAGCACTCCGTCGACGCATAGCTGGCTCTTTGGTGGGCGAAGTGGATCTTTCAGTCCAACAAAGTCCGAATATGACCTCCGACTCGCGTGGAGTGACGGGGCTTTCCGACGACGACGTTTACCTCTATCCCTGTGGCATGAATGCTATTTTCAACACCCACCGAATGCTGCTAGAGTCTAGAGGTCAACTGAAAAGTATCTCGTTTGGTTTCCCCTACATTGACACCCTTAAAGTTCTGCAAAAGTTTGGCCCGGGATGTCTTTTCTACGGCAATGGCTCCTCGGAGGATCTGGATGACTTGGAAGCCCGCCTGAAGGCTGGCGAACGATATCTGGCCTTGTTTTGCGAGTTCCCCGGAAATCCTATGTTAAAATGTCCCGATCTACAACGAATTAAGAAGTTGGCAGACACCTATGACTTTGGCGTGGTTGTTGACGAGACGATTGCAAACTCCATCAACGTTCATGTCCTTCCATATGCAGACATGGTTGTAAGCAGTCTGACGAAGATTTTCTCAGGAGACTGTAATGTTATGGGTGGCAGCGCTATTTTGAACCCCCAAGGAAGGTATTATGAGCAGTTGAAGAATGCTTTCGTATCTGATTACGAGGACAACTACTGGGCTGAGGACGTTATGTTTATGGAGCGCAATAGCCGTGACTTCGCGACTCGTATTAAGAAAATCAATGACAACGCCGAAACCATTTGCAGCCTGCTTCAAGCACATCCTCTTGTCAAGGACGTATACTACCCCAAGTATAGTCCAACAAAGAAATTCTATGACGAGTGTCGGACACCAACCGGCGGGTATGGTGGCTTGCTATCTTTCACTTTCCACAAGAAGGCTCAGGCGGTTGCGTTTTTCGATCGGATTGAGACTGCCAAAGGACCTAGTCTCGGGACAAACTTCACCTTAACGTCACCCTATGTTCTCCTCGCACATTATTGCGAGTTGGATTGGGCCGCAGGCTTCGGTGTGCCAGCAGATCTTCTTCGCATTAGTGTTGGTGTCGAGGATGCGGAAGACCTGAAGTCACGGTTTGCAATTGCACTAAAGGCCGCTGAAGCAGCTGGTTCTGGACTCGAGCTTTAGCACATTTTGTGTTATCAGTGGAACTAATTAGTACTGGCTTGGATTGTCTGAATCACCTGAACTGTTTTATATGCCTGGATTATTTAATCGGCTTAGGTCCTACTACCTAAACAGATTGATCACTTAAAATTTATTGTATTTTCGAGGCGGAGTAAAACCTTAGTAACGTCATACACTGCCCAAGTTTTAACAGCAGTAGTACTTAAGCTCCGTATATGCTCAAAAGATGCTCAGTGAGTATCTAATATATATAAACTATATCAACATGCACTCAATCTCAAGTAGTTAGGGTTTCATACTCGTGGAGGCTAACATCTCAATGGGGACACCCGGCGCCACGTCATAAGGCTTTTCGGGATGATGCATGATGACTTGTCACCCAAGGAACAAGCAGCAGCTCCTCCCTAGTTCTCTTTCTAGTCTCTTCTCTTGTTTACTACCCGGGCAATTCATCATATGTGTTAATACTAGTTGATTCTACATTCTCTTAACCCCCTGATGTTTACATTCGCCTTTCCCACCATGTCACTTGACTTGGTTGGCATCATTTTCCTGGCGGATCTGCCGCTCATCGCGCAGCGAACCGCCCTCACAGGTGGCTCCACATTCCTGGATACGTTTGTCCTCGGTCCCGGACTTCATCGCCAGCAGGATGCCGCTGATGTTTATGGCGGAGAGTACCCGGCCGTAGCTGCTATGACGACCGGCTATGTGTTTCGGGTCGAAAACCCGGCAACGGTCAATTTCCTACAGAGGGTTGGTCGCACGGGCCAACTGACCACACTTTCCGTGACAAAAGTCCGCAAGGCTAAACAAGGGTGGCTGTCTCGTTTTGTGTTCTCTATCGACAGTTCCATGTCGTTCGGAGCTGTCGCCGCATACCTCCTTGCGGTGTGCAGCACAGTCGCCGTCACGTCCCTTCTCGTCCTCACTAAGGACTGGTGGGGCCTCCTAGTGATCGTCCTCTTAATGCTGACCCGATTTCTCAATGTGCTCTTGATTCGGTCACGCAGTCGCTCCGGCTGGAGCGGAGCCTCCGAGCCGGGCGTGGTCGGAGATCTCCTCGTCCTCCTGAGCCAGGACCGCTGGGTCCGGATCACGGGTTACGTGGATGACCTCAAAGCAGTGACGTCCGGAGAATGGCTCCGTGATATGACTTGGGTTGAAAATGCCGTATCCGGCTTCACCACCTTGTTGGTTTACTTTAATGTTGCCTTAGCGAGCAATGCAAAGTTGTCTGGGCAGGTCCTACTACTGTTGCTTTTTGCTGGAACGGCCGGTCTGTTAGGACTGGTGAATATGCTGACACAAGGGTTCCAGATGCATGGGAACCTGATCACTGTTGACGGCCCACGAAGACAATACCGAAGAAGACTAGACCTTGCAGAGACCTTGATCAAGGAGACTGGAAGGGACGATTGGGCTGTGCGCTTGGGAATGATCAATCCTTCTCAAGCGTCGGGTGGAAAGGGTAATTCGGGAGGGAATTCCGCGTTTAATGAGACGCTTACAATGTGACCATGGGTTGGCAGCGGTATTTTCCCTGTATGAGTGTCTTGCTGATAGTGGGATATCGTGTATCCCATATAGGGCTTGAGGGGCTTGGTATATATGTACCATTTATTGCGTGCTTTTCCTCCGCGATCCGCCCTGCGGTCAGCGACGAAGCTCAACTCCTCGTTGTTTCACACGTAGACAGGGGATTTGGTACATATTTATTCATATAACAGCGGGAGCGCTTTTCGATCTCTAGCGAAATTTCATTACTCTTTCTCCATCTCGTCTCCTGCATTTTTACAGTTATTTACACAAATAACGACCGGTATACGTGGTGGTACTCAACCCCTACTTTGCAGTTGCTTTGCTCCTACTGCTTGAAAGGTACAAAAGAGTTGCCATCCTGTTCTTATAATGAAACCCAAGACTGCCATCTTACATCAATTTGAGTCACAAACCTCCATATCGACACTACTGGACAAGCGGGTTTACGAAGAACGGGACATTAGGCAGACTCGCGTCGCATTCATCCCTTCCTGTACTTTGTTGTTCCGGGAAATGAAAGTCAATTGAATAGATAACTAAATAGAAGTAAAGAAGAGTATCACTCCTCATCCCTCTTCTCAGAAGACACGAAACCACAAGGTGGACCCCATATCGGAGCTCCGAAGCAAAATTTCACACGGGCCAAGTGGATCAAAACAACTAATATTTTCTAAACAACTAACCCTAAAAAGAAACATAACCATGTCTATTCGCCACTCTATAGCCTGTTATACCCAAAGTCCATGTGAAAGCAACCCAAAGAAGATACAGAACTTTTCCGTCATGATGCTGTCGTTAACCTGATTGAAAAAGCGTACAAGTTGAGCCAAAAGTCTATGTCTATGTCGTTAAACGAAAGAAAGAATTAAATCGCAACTGGCGTATCGTTCCTATCGCCCGGCCCAATGCCTCGTCTACGGACAGAAACCATCGCAATGAGGAGCCCTAATCCTGCTAGCCCGGCAGAACACCAGAGGCCAGTGGCATACTGCTGGGCAAGCCCGTGGCCCTTTTTGATGTCGACTGCTTCTGTGACTGCGGCTGAGATGGCGAGGGCTACGCCAGAGCCGATTTGGAAGGCTGTGTTCAGCTGTGCCATGAATTAGTATTATCGTCACATGGAGAGGTCGACGTGAGGGAGGGCTTACCATTCCACCACATAAACTCTTTACACTAACCGGCACAGTTGTCAGGATTGTGGTGCTAGTTGTCACGAAGATAAGTGATACGGCTGTGATGCTAATCAGGGATGTGGGGAGAACATTGACCCAGCTGTCATTGTTAGTGGCTTGCTTGCCTTATGATGGAAGATCCTAGGGTGCCTACAAGTCCGGCTCCGAGTTTGTCGCGGTCAATGCGCTTGGAACGGGGGCTAACACTGTCAGGACCAGCCCGGCAATAAGAGTGTATTTCCCGTTCACATATTCGAGGGCCTTCCCCGTCCCCATGGAAGCGATGAACCCGATCGCGCCCATAGGCAGGAAGCGGAGGGCTGTCTCGCCGGCGGATAGGTTGTCCACCTGTTGTGCCATCAAGACGATGTAGTAGATGACATTTTGGTAGCTGCCGTAGCAGGCTTCATCACTGTTAGCGGTGACCTGGTTGATGGCCTTTGAGGAAACCTACTGAAACCTGCGATCCAAAGCCCTGCGAAATTGGGGATTTTCCATAGATCTAAGGGCATGATCGGGTAGGAGATGTACCATTCGAGAAAGGTGAACGCGACCAGAAGGGCGACCGCGAGGACAAGAAGAACGATGATGAATGGAGTGCCCCAGCCGTAATCACCTCCACTCGAAAGCACAAATTGGAGGAGGATTAGGCCAGCTGTAGACAGTAGAGCTCCAAAGTAATCCATCTTGGGCTTTTCCTTCCCGGCTAGTTCGTCTTTCGGAAGGACGATAGCGCCCAGAACGCCCAGAGAGCCTGTGATCGTGACGATTAAATAGAAGATGTACCGCCAGCCTAGCGATGAGGTCAAGAAACCGCCAAAAATGAGGCCGACACAGAACCCTAGTGTGCCTGATGCTGCGTAGATAGACAATGCCCGAGTACGGTCAACACCGGTGAAGTAGGAACTGATGATTCCAATCGCTGACGGAACGGTCAACGCAGCACCGATGCCCTGGATACCACGGAAGACAGCAAGCTGGATAAATGACTGGCCAAATCCGATAGCGAGTGTCCAGACGGAGAGCCAGAAGAGCCCAAGGCAGAGAATCAATTTTCTCCCATATCTGTCACGCATTAGAACTAACTTCCTCACACTGCTGTTAACGAGCCTTACCGATCAGATAACACGCCTGCAAGTAGCAAGAACCCGCCGAACGTTAGCGTGTATGCAGAAATCATCCATTGTAGCTGGGTATTGGAGACTCCGAACTCCTCCTGGATAGAGGAAAGCGCGATGTTTGAACTAGTCATGAAAACATTATCCAGAAATTGGGAGCCGGAAGTCACCAGCAAGATCAATGCTCCTCTCCAGGAGGCCAGTCGACCAATGTCTGGGCAGGGTTGTAAGGCTGTGAGACCCTTCTCTTCGGTCGGGGTTGCCAGTCCGGACGAGGGGGTGCTGTGCCCTAACGACGACCCCGGGCGGGAGATCACAGTGAACTGCGGAAGTTTGCCAAACCAGCCCTCACCCTCATCCTCCTGGCTACGGCTTCGAAAGCCGAAGTCAAATTTAGTCATAATCTGTATATAGAGAAAACAAATCTTTGGTTTTACTGAACCCAAATTAAGAGGGCGAGCACAGGGGCCTTTTAAAATTCTGAATTTTCAACAGCTTAATAAAAAAGTGGGTATACTAGACGGAGCATACAAAGTTTTATCGCAACCCAGACTTCAGTCGGGCCTTGGAAAGCCTTCTCGAAACAAGGAAATCGAACTATGGATTGGCCAGCCTGTTCCTATTGATCAGTGTTGAGTGGATTTACGGCGAACATATTGATTGCCTATTATTCATTTACACCGACTATTGCGAACGTGCTATCTAAACTGGAATGTGTGATAGTCTTAGTCCAGCCCATTTCATTTGCCACCCCTTCTGGCTACAAAAAGTACGTGATCACTAGAAAACTCATTTTCTGGGACGCTCAATGGACAAGCAAGTTCCCGTGTTACCCACGAACGCGCCAAATTCGTCAGAATTTTATTCCCGAGACGATGGTCCCTGGTCTTTTTTGAGGTCGAGACCAGGAGGCTGTGACGACCAGCGGGCTCCTTCACTTTGTGTATCGATCGCATTGGCTTACATCTGCCACTATCTTATCGAGTCCCAATCAAGTCGTCGATCCACATAGCTTTGCCCGATGCACAGAGTAACAAGCCGGAATACTATATGTACTTTGGCCAAACCGAATTTTCACATACCACCTTCTTGCCCAGGAACCTCATCCGGTTGCTAGGGTTGGACCTACAAAACGTCCTAATGCCGAGCACTGCTTTTTGAAATAGTTTAATTATCCCTCAGCCAGTATCTAGTATCGGCTAACTGGAAGAATTCACACTTCTATCGTAGTAGTTTCTCTCCCCAGTGCGGGGAAAGCCAGCGGTAGACCCTCTACACATTTTTATTCCGGTTGTGGAGCAAGCAGGTGCCAGGACCCTGGGGGTAGCAAAGGCAGCGTTATGATTTTTACTACCGGAGAGACTCCGAAGTCAGTCTCTCCCTCTCTGGCCATTTTTCTTTAATTTTTGTTTTTATTTCAGTTGCGAGCTCATCGATAGCACGGCTAACACTTTTCTGCAATATATATTTCATACAACATGATCCATATAACCCGAGTTGGTCCATATCATAACACTTGTGAAGGTATCATGTAGTCGGCCCCTCGGAATACACTAAGTACCTTGTTTATCGTTATTACTGATGTGATCAATATCCCGAAATCCCGATTGGTGCACCGTGAGTCGGAAGATTGGACAGCCCATGGATGGGATCTCCTAGGGCTCACATGCACGACCGGCAAGCCGTGAGTGGCCTGTGCACTCGGTACGGGTAAGCTGAGCCCACTTGAAAAACTTAATCTCGCCCCGATATTAGTCCCGTTCTAGAACCATTCTAGCTTCACCACTCAATATTCAGTATTTCAACTGCAAGTAGCTGAGCATCTTGACCGTAATTTGAGAATTGGGCAGATATGAGTCATTCCATTCCTATTACACCATGCTGTACTTCGGGTGGAGCGCCCCTTCAACTGCCCATCCCAGTTGTGTGTTGCTACTTGTGGAAATGGGTTGACCCGTCTGCCCTTGGGGAAACGTTGTATCGGTGGGGCCTTCGGCAAGCGACCCTGCCGAAAGAAATTATTTAGGTTCCCTTGCTAACGAAATGTTGTAGCTTAGCGCGGTCGGCTGTCCAGAGAAGCGGAGAGCTCCACGACGGCTTTTGCCTCCAAAGCCTTGACACTCTTTGCGATTTGCATTATTATAGTGGAATGCATGACCAATCGTTCAACACACACGTCAGTCATATATCCAAGTCACTTTATTGGATTGTAGATGTAACTGGTAAACGCAATGCCGTCAGCTATGCTTTACTGATTTTTTTATCCTTTGTTTCCCCTTGTGCCCCATAGTCTCCCGTGTATATAATGCATTAGAACTGGAATATATACATCTGCGTTAAGTTTTACCTCAACCTCCTAGTCAGCCCGTACTAACTTCTTAAGCTGTAAGTGTGTCTCTACCCCGCCCACAAAGACCTTCGCTCGAAAGCTTTGGTGGGGCTTTCGTCGATAACCTAAACAATCGTTTAGCCAAGTCAATTTGCTAAATAGCCTGCGAAACTGACTAAATGGAGACTTGTGCTTTGAGTGAAGTGGCAACACTTCAATACCTTGGAAAGGTAGGTTCCATCTCTATTCCAAGAGTGTTTTCATACTGGTGAGGTTATGTGATACTATAAAACACCGGTTGCCCACTAACATGATCAGTTCAACCAGCAAAAATGATATTGGTATTCCGTATATCCTGATGAGCAAGGCCACAGGTGTGCCACTTAGCACCTATAAGTGGGATGGTGATATAACACACCCAACTGGACCGGGCGATCAGCACCCGGCAGTTTTAAGCTCATGTCAAAAACAAAAGATAATGAAGCAACTGGGCAAAATGCAAGCGTACTTGTCTAATATGCGATTTGACAGAATCGGTTCCCTTTTTCTCAAAGATGGAGCCCATGTCACAGGGAAATGTCTTTACCCCTCCCTAGTCTGGCAGGGTCGAGATGAGTTTGACGAGAACGATATCCCACGGGGACCGTTCACTGAAGCTAAGTCCTTTTTTTTATCTCGCCTTGATAAGTGCGCTCTTGGCACATGTGAAGGAACTTCCATGGAACATCATCTACTGCATGGCCCAGTGCCTGTCCTGCAAGAGTATAACGACTTCCAACAGTATCGGACCGCCACAGATCGATGGAATGATTATGTCGCGATAGGATCAAAAACCGAAAGTACAGACAACAGGCTTGACTATGCCCTAGTTGGGATGGCTCTCAAAGAGAATGTGCCTTTTCTGACGGAAAGGGACAATCACATCAAATGTGACGGCTTTCCGTTGTGCCACCCGGATCTCAGCCTCCAAAATATATTTGTCGACGACGAAGTCAACATAACATGCATCATTGACTGGGCCTTTGCCTCGTCCGTTCCACCGTCTATGCTTCTCGTCTGTCCTGGACTACCCCACCCCCGTGATCGCGCTCAGCCATGTCTTACGAAGTATTTTACGGAGGCTTTCATTGCTGCGAACGGATTTAGTTGCGAGAAAGATCTATGTTTCTCGGACAGTAGTATGTTCTGCACATTATCTCGTCTAGCTTATCTCGATGGTCTGCAAGATCACATTTACTTATCCGAATTTGTGCGTTCGTGTCTTGGCCAAGAGACCAACCTTTATATTCGTCAATTGAAAGACCGAGAAGAGTTCAAAGAATTCGCTCGGATTCTTGTGGCGTATGAGACTGATGAAGAAAGCCTGAAGGAGGATGAAAAGCAGTATTTTTCATGTGTTGGTAGTGAGCGATTCACTTTATCACAGCACCTCACAGTGATAAAAGAGATAAATCGAGATTTTGTTGCGGATAAGCGGCTCTAGAAATGGATGGCACAACATCTGGAAGAGAGAGACCTGCACATGCATCCCACAAGCAAATAGCGGAACAGAGGAAAACGCAAGCTTGGAGAGACCTTGTGATATGGCCTCCTTTTGTAATTGGAGGTTCGCACTATGATATACTGGGGGCAGTGTATTGCGACGTGTTCAGAATATCCAGAGAGAGAAAGCTTCACCGTGGTCCGGAAAGCTCTCTCAGAGTGTTCATGTGCTGTTCAGACCCAACCACAACTCTACTGTATATTAGATTATACACCTCCACTGCCTTTTGGCTCACCGGACCTGGACGATGGAGCGGCCTGGGGCGATTAGTATCTGGGCCAACGCTGTGATGGAAGTTGAGGAGGAATCGACCACTCTGCTGCATTCAAATCCTTCGCGATAGATGGAAATGGTCAAAATGATGGCAAGTTCCCCAGAAGGGTTCTTTGCACTGGACAAATATACGCTGGTTAAGGGCGGTACATAGTGCTTTGAGCTGCAGTATCCCGCCCGGTAATGCCTCACTCAGCATTGCTGTTATACGTTAGTTAATCTCGGACCTACAACAGAAGATCATCATTTATTCATAGAATTGAGTCGGAATAATCGGTGCCTAGTCCAGTGTAGCAACGGAAACTCGTGTTGAACCCTTAAAGTGGAGCTCAAGATGTTGATTGGACAGTACAATACGAGCCTTGGCAGGATTGCCTGTTAGGGATTAGCTTGATATGGGAGCATGGATGACGTATAAAGTCGTCGCTGAGCCTCGTGTTCTGATACTCTTCGTTGTAACAATCCTTCTTCTCCTTTGCAGCGCTTGTTTATCAATGATGGTACCTGGAGTTTCACTGTGGTCTTTGGAACCCCAACCGACAAGTCTCACTCAGGTCGTCGCAACGATAAAAAGCCGCAATGATGGCTGGCGCAACAGTAACTATCTGTCAACATTCAGAGTTCAGCCTAGGTATCAACAAACTGGCACTTCATTACATATGGATGAGACCAATAGACTGTCACTGGCAGGCTCAAACTCAACGCGGCAAGTGTACAGGGCTCGACGTGCCCACCGAAAATCGAGGACGGGCTGTATGAATTGCAAGCGTCGAAGGGTCAAAGTAACGAACCCCAACCCAACCACTCCACAGGCCAATTTAACTGACATTATTGGAAGTGTGATGAAGCAAAACCGCAATGCAAGCGGTGCCGCATGCACGGTGCCGTGTGTGATTTTGCACTTCCGGGCAATGAAGCACAAAAGAGAATAGACACGGCTTCGTCTAGTTCTGGCGCTTCGCTTTATTGCAATGGCGCATTGGCAGTTGGCGCAATGACGGCTAATCTCGATTATATCTTACACTCTGACCTCAGAAATGAGAAACTCCACTGGTGTGGTCCATGTGACTCTCTTGGATCCTTTGGCCTGGCCATGCTAGCACATTTCTCTCAGATGGTATCCGTGCACTCTCCCACGTTTGCCCCGATTAAGAAGGTCATGCGAGAGCGTACTATCCAAGTAGCTCTTGGGGTATGTCTGAATCAGATTTTACAATTGCCGCTGTATGAAGACTGATGGTCGCGAAGGAACCGTGCCTTTTGTATTCCATAATGGCAGTGGCAAGCACACACTGGGCCTCTGCTCTCCCCTCGGACCCAACGCATACCCTGGTAGCCACACGCTTTCGACACAAAGCCACCCGGATATATCGACAAAGCCTTCAACTACCAATCGGCCGAGATAACATGGATATGCTGATCACAAGCTGCATTTTGATTGGAATGTTCTCCTTCTCAGCTGAGACGACAACCCCGCTCGACTCCTGGGTCTTTTCCGATGATCCGGTCAGCATGAATTGGCTCTCCGTCCAATGTGGATTACGCTGTCTTCTAGAGATCACCGAACCATGGAAGAAAGAGAGCATTTGGAATGAACCGTTCCAAGAAACGAGTAACTACGAATACGCTGATGATCATCGAATGGGTCGCGAAGATCTCGATGCCGACCTGGCCGACCTATGCGATATTACCGAAACCACGACGGAAGAGACAAACCCCTTCCATTGGCCTCTTCGTATGCTGTGCCCGTTACTGCGCATCCCTCGCCATAAATGCGGGGCGCCTCGCATAACGAACTTTATGGGTCGGCTGCTACCGGATTTCGTGAATCTGCTTGCTGCGAAGGAGCCCCGTGCTCTGCTTATCTTGTCCTACTGGCTAGCACTAATGGCTACCTCTGTCGATGAGTGGTGGGTTGGCCCCCGCGTTACGCTTGAATGTCAAGCCATTTGTATGTACCTTGAAGCATGCGGTGACAGCCGGATTATTGAATTACTCGAATTTCCGGCAAGGACTTGTGGATATAAATCAAGCATCTGAAAGGCATGTGCCAAGGCAAGGAATGGGTTGCTTTGCTTTCACTCGATTAGATATAGACGCTCTGACACAATGTATCTATGTGCTCAGGGACTAGCTATGGATGAGCCGCTAAAGTTCTATGAATAGACCATGGATATATATTTGATCCATTTGAATACTGGAAATATCGTTTATGAACCATTGGCTATACATCGTGCGCTGACTGCGCTATTTTCTAGCCGGGAAAATACTGGGGACGTGGTTTACGATGAAGAGGGTTACGTTGTTCTGGTCTATGAGGATTGTTAAACAACATGCATCTCACGTGCCTGTCATCCGGCGACGGCTTTTAAAGCGAAGAACACAACCCTTCCCATTTATGTTTTAACATTGCATGTCGATATTCCAAATTACGTGCATCTAATGTACGTCAGCCCTTGCGGTGATAGCTAATTCTGGTCAGTTACCAATAGTGTCCAGCTTCGGAGAATAAGCATTGCCGCTCAGGAAGCCCCAATATCATGAGTGGACCAGGCGACGGAGAAGATGACATGGCGGTATTTCAACAGGTTCTCGACCACCTGGACTTGGCAAAGATACCGCCCTTTGCCTTATCCATTCGCCAGCAGAGTGAAAATGAAGAAGTCGGAACAGCGACATGCACCAGCTGTAGTGTTTTGCCTGAGCGGTTCTTCGGTTCTAATAACATCCTGTTTCCACTTGAATTCAATACCGGCTCGAAGTGGGTCTTGAAAGTTCCCGTGAACGGATATCCAGGCGGTTTTAACGATATGCATGCCCGTGTCCTAAAGGCCGAAGCCTCAACAATGCAGCTCCTCAGGCGAAAAACGACAGTCCCCACCCCCACTGTCTTCTCGTTCTCCGCTACCCTAGATAATGACCTGGGTTGTCCCTACATATTGATGGAGTATATCGACGGCAAGTCGACCCGCCATGTTTGGTTCAATGATGAACTGGATGCCGCTAGTCTAGAGCGCCATCGGACACAGGTTCTACAGGATCTATCCAAAATCATGTTGCAGCTGAATCAATTTACCTTTTCGGAGGCCGGCTCGCCAATTTTTGACAACGGAAATAATCCCATTGGTGTGGGACCGTTGAGAGTTATGGATATGCCAGCAATGCTGGAGGAACTGAGAACGAACGACGTATGGGACATAGTCATTCAATCCGAGATTGAACCCATTTCAGATCCAAAGGCCTGGATGCTCTGCATGTTCGAGCGTCACGAGCCACCTGATGACAAGTTTAGCCAAGGCGCACATCGACTTCTAAAGCACTTTATAGAATGGTTACCATGGTCCGAGTTTGCACAAGAGCCATTTGTACTGACACATCCTGACTTCAACTTTCAGAATATTTTGGTTTCCGATGAGGGCAAGGTGTGTGCATTGATTGACTGGGAAGGGGTTTCCACAGTGCCGAGATTCCTGGGTAACGAGAGATACCCTAGCTGGCTTACCCGTGATTGGGATCCGATGAACTACGGCTACGGAATCGAGGAATCCTTTGTCCAGGAGAATTCACCACAGGAGCTTTCTCACTATCGACACTTGTACCGTGACATGATCAAGACTGTCATCGCCGAAAGTCAAATAGACGGTGATGAAAGTGCCGTTGCTCTCTCTAAGCGAAACCTGGAGCGACACTTACCAGTCTTGGAAAGTCTTTCGATTGCTGCAGATCAGCTGATCAACCTGCCTGAAATTGTTCAAAAGCTTTTCAATGAAGTGTCAAAGCAAGAAGGATTTCCTGAGGATCTCGAGCTGTGGGAGGTTTGTTTTGGACTTGCCGATGATGATCTCGATGATGAACAATTGGAATCGGTCCGCTGTGGGTTTCAAAAATTGCTTCAATCGCACCAATAGAACATCAGAATGGATAGGAGCTCTGTCATTTATAATGGTATTATTGAAGATGGACATACTATTCGATCCCTCTTTGCAGATAGGGGTAATTAATATGTATCTGCAATCACGATGAATCACAACCCTGCCCCGGCGGTCTAGCCTGAGGTAGACCGCAGGCGCCTAGGCCGGATGGGCTCGGGTCTATAGGCAGTGGTACTCGACGGCGGACAATCATTAGTAACAGCATATTCAACTCTGCTAAGGGTAATTATTGTTATTTTATCTTAATATGTACCAGGTCTCCAAGACTTCCTTCGTGGCTCTTCAGTCATACTGTTAATACTTTTAAACCAAATTTACAGTAACATTTATTAATCTCAAAAAATCTTTCAATCGCTGCCAATTAAATAACTAATCTTGTTAGATTTATGGAAAACGTTTCAGTGAATGTTAAAATAAAATAGATTTGCTAAGAATGTTACGCTATAGAACATTTCCTCTATTTAGACTGAGAAATAATTTCGCTATCGACTGAACCCCTGAAACCCTGACCCAAAACCAACCCTAAGCAAAATATCCTGAAGGTGAGCAAGACAATCTCGTCCTCGAAATTAAAACTTGGAGACAGAAGAATGACGTGCATCTGTTATATTAAAGGAGGTTTTGAAACCCCCGGTCCCTTACTCTGTTACATACTTAGTATTCTACGGATGGTGACAGAAATCTCAGCTACGAGGACGCTGCACTTGTTTCAACGTAGTACCAAACAATACACCCTGCATAGCCGATGGCAATATACTACATGATTAGGCTGTTGTAGGAGGTAGCCCAAAAGAGCCAGGAGACCTGGATAACGACTCACCTGCCCAGAATCATATTTGGCGCCACTATGTCCGCACTTCAACTAATGGCCATCTGGGGGGTAGATATCGGGGTATCGGATTATTACTACGAGGCCCCGGTTACCTAGAAAGCTAGGAGAAGGTGACTCTCCATCCTTTGCCCACTGAGTATCGTATAAGTGCTAAGAGATCGATATCGAACGTGTTTTAATCCAGACTGTAGGAGGTGCGTCTAGCTGTCACAATGTAAATCACAGAAAACAAATGAGACCAAAAGGGACCCATATATTTCAATGAACCAAATGTACAGCCCCAAGTATAACAGGATACAAGAAAGACTTTTCTCCGAAACCATCGGTTCGGATGTCTAAACCATAGATGCTCCCGATGAGCAAAAAACGCCAGGATTCAGGTAAGAAGTCAGTGAGAGAGAGCCATCCTTGTAAAACGCGCATGCAATATACGTCTGGGTGTGATGGCCGTTTCCCACTTTGTGCCTGTGGGTGATTGTCTCCAGCGCCCGTTGGAACCCATCTACGTATTGCCCCTCTGGCTCGAGATCATAAACTATTGGAGCCCGAGCGCGATATCTGCGTCTGAACGCCCGTACCGGATCGCGGGTAAGTACAGTTTCACGTCGGGCAAACTGTGCGCCAGGTGCGAGATTGAAATAATAGAGTAAGCCACTATAGTAGTCTTCAGGATGTGCGCGACTGTGCTGGAATGGATTCTACACGGGTTGTTCCTCGTGCTGGGAGAATTTGACACCCAGCCCTAGGACTACGCGGAACAAGGCCTACAGATCATCGATGGAATATTGAGCGACTGGGATCCGTCCACCCAGCGTTATCGTGGAGAGGGCACTCCTGAATGTGGTCACGGGTGTCCCTGCGTAGAGCTTTATACGTGATTTATGAGGCGAGACCCAGTCAATGGCCAAGACATCTGGTCGCACAGTTGCCCCAATCGTGTCGATAGAGAGATATGCCAGGCACTCATCCAGGGCCACAGTATCGTTGCAAAGAATTGACTGCAGCGCGTCCGCAAACGCTTTCATAGAGGCAATAATGTCGGGGGTGGCTGGTGGTGGAACGTGTATTTGAGTGACAATTCAAACGCGACGGGCATTCGTGGTGTTCTCCCCTGCCATTGAAGCTCACCCTCATGGGGAAGACTATGTATCCAATCACTAGGGCGTAAATGGTCTCGAAGATGATGGTACCAGGCAAGGTCTACATCTGGCAGGAGCTTGGAAACTTTGCCCGTAGCTTCCTGCCCCATGATCCGAAGGCCACACTCGAGAAATCAGAATTGATTGTGACTTTTATTTAAGTGATAAGAAGAGCCCATTTATTGTGGATTGAGATTACATCCGGAAACTTCATGCTGGGTGACATCAAAAACTGGTAATACTCTGAGTTGCGTAATTGTGACTCAAGTCAGCACTTAAACAGCCATGTTCTCCTGTAACACCGTTGGGGCAGGTATTTCGCCAGCTATGTCTCCAATGCCTCAATGCACAATTCGAACAATGGAACATATGTTGAGTTCCAGAGCATTTGGATCAGAGCTCCCAAAGGATACGCCTTGGGGTATTGGGTCTACCACCGGGGCCATAAAACGCCTAGTCGTGAGGGAGCGAGCGAAGGCCCAAGGGGCGCCATATATTTTGCTGCACAATGTTCCTCCAAGTATTATCGAAAGAACGACCGATAATCGCCGACTACTTGGATCCAGAGCAATCCGCTTCTGCTATAATTCGGAAACGTGCCAGCTTATAATAAAGGTCCCAAAGTATCCCCATGAAGTGGCCTCTGGCTCATTGGGTCGTATATTTTGCCGGGCATTTGATACTATGGGACTAGCAGACAATTACCTGAGCCTCAGGTCAGGGCTCGCTGATAATGGGCGCGTGAAGAAGGAGCCAGATGACCAATGGGCCCCTAAACCTGAATACCTCCCTGCTGGTCGGAACCCAAACTGGCCCACAGTCGTCCTCGAGTGTGGATGGTCCGAAGGGCTGTCCCAATTGAGAAGGGATGCCAGCATATGGATGGCTCATTTTGAGACAAAGGCAGTTATCATAGTGTCTATTGAAAGACGGAAGCATTACATCCAAGTCGAAAAGTGGGTGCCGACCGCCGCGCATAGCCTCAGGGCTGAGCCCCTGGTGCAATCTACATGCACTCAAAGGATCAAGGTCATGGAGACGAAGTGTGGTCTACTCATCAACGGCCCGTTCTTGACTATCCACTTCGAGGAATTCTGGCTTCGCCAACCGACCGCAAGCGAGCGAGATTACGTCTTCCCGCATGCTGCACTGGAGGCACTGGCAGACGACATCTGGGTTCGCCAGGATATCTGGCTCGCTGAGCGAAATGAGGAGCTACAAGAAGTGTCTGATGAGGACTTTCAGATTGACGATGAGGAGGATGACGACTAGGAGGACGGTCAGTGGATAGGCGTGGATAGGAAAGGAGGACAAGCGGTGGAATTGAGATGTTTTGCCATAGTTATATCGGTATGGCCCTTTCAGCTTTAGTTCCAAATTCAGACTGTAATTCTTGTTTCAAGTGTAACCAAGCGCAAAGCTAACTAAATCAACTGAAGTTGCCCTAACAGATGATGTGTCCCTCCCAAAAGCCAGCTACCGACTGATCTATCATCATTGGCGTCCAGGGACATTCGATGTTCGAGAGATAATAACCGTGTACATCGACACTGCCGAGGAAGGCACTGCTTGTATATCTATGCTCCTGTCCATCAGGGTGGATATTGCGCTTTGTGCCACCGCCGTTACTAGTGCGTTGAACGGTAGCAGGCCCTTACAGGTCATGGTTTGCGGTCCTCTCATAGCAAAATTGGTAGGTCTCCCCTTTATACCCAAGGTTGTGACAGCCCCCGTTGCACCCAATATTGGTTCTCGCTTGACCTCCGTCACTGTTGAAGTCGGGGCTGTTACTCTCCCAGATCCTAGCACGGCACGAAACCGAATTCGCATCATTATAGGAGGTTTCTTGTACGAGCTAGAATCCAAAGGTGCATCCCAACACCGAAGGAGCAGCAGCGATGAGAGTAAAGACAGGTAGACGCATTTCGAAGGGATGGCAATCGTTGAAGCTGTTGTGATAGTAGGGCTTCGGTTTCTTGTCGCTGAACAACTTGCCTGCGTACCAAATTGACACAGAGTACACGTTGGTAAAGTGAAGAGAATGTAGTTTGCGGTTAGGAATGTGCGTGTCTACAGGGCTTTATAATTCTCTGCCCCCAGGGCCACATTCGGTTTACTTGTAGAGTCTGGTAGGGTGCTCACCACTGCTACATACTGACACTTCGTCAACAACTCGCCATTCACCTCCTCATAATTGCTTGACCTTCCCACACCCATTTGCCAAGCGTCGCCACTACCGAAGTCTTGAACTACCCTGCTAGACCTTACATCCGTAAAAGCTTTGTCACGAAATGTACTCCAGCGTAGTGTAGGATAGTGGATCTTGATATTGTGGGCCAGCTCTGCGCCAAGTATTGTTATTTCCATTCCAGGTTGTACCCACATCAAGCTGCAGAACCAGGCCATCTTGCTTGCTCGGAAAAGTGATATCATAGTATCTTGGCCTACGTTGGTCTAACTCGGACCTAAGTAATTTCGCAAAGTATCCATATCAGTCTTGTGCAAACCTATGCAACTCTCCCGTACCCCTGAGTGAAGCCAGTGTTCTATGTTGCTGATACTCGAAGGAGTACTGCTTGGATCAGTCGCTTTGTGAGGCCATAATTCATCTCACTATTTCTCTTGGCCTATCGAAGCTCCACATACCCCGGCGTATATACAAACTTGGCGTTCTGCGAAGTAATCTTGAACCTCTACGCTGTAGTATCCGGGCAAGCATTATCGAGCAATAGTGTCGAGGAGTGGAGGCGGTGTCACTCTGCCCCCTGCATTCCATATTCTGTTTACTGCAAGCGCCCTGAGATGTACATATGATGTGGCTACCAACTAGATATCTGCCTACTAGGCTCTGATTATGTTGTAGCCCCTTGAGCTACCTCATATTTATCTACGTATATATGGCTTAGCCTACACTCTATGTGTCGTAATGTATTCTCCTAAAGTATGTACTTTCGATACAGTTCAGCTATATACTAAAGTTACTTGCACTGAGAGCAGCGATGAGGCCGATGAGAGTCACAGAAAAGATTACGAAAATAATTGTATACGCATACACTGCTGCGAGGTACCCACGGCCTATTACAGCCTGTGAGGGGGACTGGCTAGTAGCAGCAAAAGTCCGTAACTGCTTTTGGAAGACTCTGTGTGCGTCGGTCACAGTTGGTCAAATCCTGGCGTCGATACCTATCACGGAGCTCGCCATGATAGTGACAGCTGATATTCGATCTTCGGCTCGTATTTAGAAATACGGCTCGCTGAAAAAGGGAAAATCAGATATTAAAAGTTCTGGAAGCACTAAAACTACTCTATCGAGATTCGATAGTGTACAGTAATGGTATTCAGATCTACCTTTAGAGAATGCATAATTGGTGCCATAACGTTTGATTTGGGGTATGATATAATATCATATTATACTACTTGAGTAACCTGAATATCTTTGAAGGCTAGCGTTCCTTTTTCGAAGTAGGCCGTGTGTCCCCGCGGGTGCCAGGTTACTAGAGATATATATATAGCAATTCGAGGTAGGATCCAGGTCAGCCGTTCCTGCAGTTCTATTTATAACGCAGTTTTATTATGCAGCAACCACGTAAACATTTGAATAGAATCTCTAGGTGCTTATATCCACTCTGAAAAGGTGACTTAAGCCGTAATCATATCCGACAACGATGTATCGTTAAAAATAGGGCGCCCCATGTCCCGAGGCCCTGTGCAACGCTCCTTGAGATTGACAATCCAGTTTCCCCCGCAGTTTCGAAACCCCCACTACAATCTTGCATTGTCAAAACAGTCAACTCTGCAACTCTTGGACAGGGCATCTCCGTCGCAGCCATGAGTATCTCGCCTCCTCCCACTCCGCCATCGAGGGCCGTAACAGACGACGAGTGCAGATTCCAAACTATTACGTTACCCTGTGAGTGGGTGGAGGACTACCGCCCAGGTGGTTACCACCCCGTCGTGCTCGGCGATGTCTTCAACAACGGTCAGTACAAGGTCATCCGGAAGCTGGGTGAGGGCTCCTACTCGACAGCTTGGCTCGCTCGCGATCTTAAGTAAGTACATCTTTTGCGTGGTAAGTAATCGTTGCTAATTTCCCTTAAGTAAGGGTGGATATGTCGCCCTAAAGATTCTGGTATCGGCAATTTCGGGATCGACAACCGAGCTACGAATCTTACGGCACATCGCCGAAGCCGCACCAGCAGAAGCAGCCCGGCATGTCACGCCGCTGCTAGGCGAGTTCGAACATCGCGGCCCCAATGGTGTCCACAGGTGCTTGGTATTTGAGCCCATGGGCCCCAGTGTAAATACTATGGTTGAGGAGCTGCCGCAGTTTAATCCTCGCCGGCGAGGAATGAAGATCCGCTATCCGCTTTGGATGGCAAAGGGCATCCTCAAGCAATCCCTGCAGGCTCTTGCATTTCTCCACGAAAATGGTATCGCCCATGGAGACTTCCAGCCGGGAAACATACTCTTCACTCTGAACAATATAGACGCGACGCCCGAGGACGTGCTCCAGCAGAAGGAAGATGTACAGGCCCGGTCGGTCTCCCCACCGGTACAGAGGCTAGATGGTAAACAAGATAAATGGGCTCCTCGATACCTTTGTGCTGCGCAACCACTGGTGCCTCTTACCTACTACGCTGAAGGCTTTAGGGTTAAATTATCCGATATGGGCGGCGGTTAGTCCCTCCCGTTTCGATTATTTGATTCGTTTTCACGAATATCCATACTTACACAAGCCTACCCCCGAACAGCGTATTTCTTTACAGACCCACCACAAAAGCCCGTTACTCCACTCGGTCTGCGAACTCCCGAGTTGATTCTGACCGGAGCCGTTGACAATACTGCTGACGTCTGGAGTTTCGGTTGCCTCGTATTTGAGCTGATCACCGGACAACCACTCTTCTGTATACCAGGGTCTGAGGATGAGGATGACGATCATCTTCTCTCCCTTTCTGACCGGCTCGGTCCCCTTCCCGAGGAGCTTTTTAGGCATTGGAAAACCTCGTCCCTCTACTTTACGCCGGAGAGGAAGCTCTTTAATTGTCAGCTGGGAGGAGTCGCTCTAGACGAGGAGCCGCTTATGGTAGAGCAGACGTCCCTAGAAGACTTATTCGATCAGGGAGGGCCTGATCTTGATGAGGAGGAAGCCAACAAAGTGAAGGCGCTCATTCGGTGGATTTTACAATATAATCCCGCGAAGAGACCTTCGCCTGCGCAGATCTTGGCTGATCCATGGTTCTGCGAGATTAATGTAAGGTAGCTAGAGTTTCTTTATACTTGCGTGGTTGCTGTCACTCTCCCGATGCTGGTGCTGCACTTGTAGTCTCCTATGTTGTGTGTCTGAGGCCGGAGCAATATTCTGAACCAAGTCAATGCTATGTATAGATAGCCAATGGGCCTGTTGTATCAGCGACGACAACAAGTGTGGGGTAATGAACTAGCTGCACTCAAGTAGCGCAAGTACCACGTTGTGTCGAGATCAGACAGAGCAATCGAATCAATGGCGAAATGCCTTGGGCTCTCACTTCAAATAGGACGAAAGCTGGCCTGAAGAATTTTAGGCAGTCACTTTCTCGTAGTGCAAACCACATACGCGAAAGTCGACGATCTAGAACCTTCAGAGCCTCGGCCTGCATATTCATGTAACCCTTTTTCAAGCTGTGTGTAAGCGCCGGCTTGACGTTCGACCTACTATATCGAAATGTTCAAAGCTTCGTCACACCTTTCAGCGCAGTTCGGTCGTCGTCGTCGTTGACAATCTGACGTGTTTTGAATTAGTAAAGCATCCCGTGGCCTCGATTCCATTAAACTAATTGACTAGGACCCTGGACACCGCGTAGTCTTTGCAAGCTGTGTGCATGCAAACGCTTGTTTACGGCCTCCCCCTCGAGTGACTAGGCTAGTTCTGTGTCTTGATGTCGAGTAGGCTTAAACTTCCTTTGTATCGATTTGTGACTTATATATTTTGTGCAACCCGAGTACCCTACTGACTTGCATGAACCGCCTATACGATCAACACAAGATGCCTGCCCTTACGACTAGTCATATTTTTACATCGTCTGTCGGTATACATATCGTTCCGGTCCCCGATGGAATAGCCTCTCGTGGATATCAGGGCAATAACCTGGTGCGCAACGACAAAACGGTCCCCCACTACACTTAACTGGGCATTGACAGTTATAGAAACCGTTCGCAACCTTGTCTGCAAGTTTCCATCCAATGTCCGCGATACTCTATCCACTTGAGACTAATGGTAAGCGCGTCACGTCATGGATTCCGCTTACAACACCCTGGCCTTTGCCAGCAGACTGTTCAACATACTTTCGCATCGAAGGACCTTCACTAATAGCATTTGATCCGAGAATCGGCCTCGAAGGTGACTCGTCGGTCGGATGCGCGCCATCAGAAGTAGCAATCTCTTGGAAAAAGGTCGCGTTAGGACAACCAGACACGACAGTCAGCCTTGGTCCCCTCAGCTGCCCTGATTACCTCCAAACTATAGGAACCTCGGTCAAGCATGGATCTAGCACACTGGCCATATGTTGTCCCTCGTGAGTGCACCAATTCATCGAATACAGATATTGCAGAGGCTGATTGGCAGGAAGAGGGTACTTTCATGAGAAACCAGTCCCAGATGGCGAGCCAAATGGGGATTGCTTGTCAGCCGTGTCCTCTAACATGGTACTGACTTTTGCGTTCCCTGCACCCGAGAACTCACGGGTTTGGACAATAGCCACGACGACCTTGACCACAAGCTCGACTGTCAGGGCCATGGCGGTAATGGGTTGGAATATCAAGATGTCTGTTGAACTTTCTGCATCAACGGTGGCATCAGCGACAAGTACCACCATAAATAGCCTGTCTATGAATGCCCCACCTCAAGACAGTTCTGGTATCATGTTGCCCTTCCCTACGACGGCACCCATTACTATCTTGCCCAACGATCCATCAATTCTAGCTTCCTTGTTCGTGATGGCTCTCTCCTCAACTATCCCAACTGCGCCCTCTTCGACAATATCCAGATCAATCACCGATTACGGTCTATCCGCAGAAGATAAAGCCGGCATTGGAGTCGGGGCTGGAGTGGTCACTATTGGACTGAGTATATTGGTGGTGGCCATATGCACCGTGGTACGAAAGCAGCGGCGTGCGATGATGCGCAGAGGTCAGTCTACCAGTAGCTCGAGACGGAATGCAACCAGGAGAGCCCCAAATCAGAACCTGTCAGGCCGTACGGCCCATAAACGTCCAGCTCAGAAAACGTCATCACTGCCTACGAAGATCACAGCATCGTCATGCAGCTCCCCGATCAAGCTGGTTGCAGAGCAACAGGATATTATAGCAGAGTCACAGCGGCAACATGGTAGGTCAGAGTAGCTTTGTGCGAGGATATTTGAATGTCTTTTCATGATGCCTCTTTGGTATTTGTTTGCAATGTTTCTGTTACTGCTGCTCTTGGGATTATTCTGCTTTCTGCTGCGCGTATTTAGCTATAGCTTCTAGTATGTTAATGCTCTACCAGAACATACCATATTCCGTGTGCATGGCTGTATATCGAACGGCACTGTGGTTCTATGGATACTAGATATCAATGTCTCTGCCATCGTCAATAGATTTATATCGGAACCCATTCAGAAGCATGACAGTAGGCCCACCTGAACCGACTGCTACCCATATACAAGCTATTATGTCCATAGTAACATATGCGACTAGGTTGCAATCTCATTACACTAAGTTATTATACACAACCAGTCCTGGGTATAGATGTACAAATCAACACGTGATGAGTTATAATTCAATGCAGCAACGCGAACCTGGTGGTAGGTGAGGGCGCGTACGCCTTCTCGGCGGGCGTTGGTGTCTGAGGGTCGTGGTCTCGGGGTACGGTTGCTCCCCTCTATATTCCGATTCAGTGTCAACCTAAGTAGTTCTCATACATGGTCCTACCTACCCTGCAACATGCTTCCCCCTCCACTACCAAACCAGATGGCTGAAATATGCGTGAAAGCTGTTCCATTGTGCCCCTACCTAGCTGTATCCCCCGAAAAAGTCTAATACAACGTGAGCGACCAGCCCTATCCACATATCAATCGCATAGGCCCAAAAGACCAGCCCACCTTCTCTATTCACACTCATATGGTAGAAGCCGACGACATCCTCGACCGCAACTATGCGGTATACAGTTGGTACATTGTCTAAATCGCCCTGATATCGCTCCATTTTCTGGCTTGTTTCACTCTTCACAGTATCCCAGTTGTATGTACTGTACATGCCAAGTATGTCAGTCATGGTAGGAATTTTCTGGGAAGTGCCTGGACTCCTCCCCATCCTCCCCTCCTCATTAGAGTCTAAACTCTTGTCTCTGACCTCCTCCAGCCGGTCCTGAACCCAACATATTGGAGCTCCAAGGCTCTATTGACCATAACTCACGATACCATTATTTGTTTTCTCAACGTACAGCACAGAATATGCAGCTGCGGGTGTAGCGTAAGTGGCCAGGTTCGTTCGGCCAATAAACTGATTGTCATAGCCAATTGCGTGTCCCAGAATGTCTCGACAGATTCTGGAAATCAAGGTGTTCCTAATGGGTGAAAGGTCCACAAGAGCCCACGTGCTGCTCTGTTTCCCGACTCAATATAACTATCGAGTTGTTTTCGACATCGAGCTTTCCAATCGTGTTTGCACGTTGTTATCATCAGCGTCTTCAACTCTGGGTATTGCCACAACACCCAAATGTCTTGCCTTGTATTTCCTTCCTGTGGATTCAAGTCTCCATCATGGAGACTCCCGCCTTTGAACGGGCGATATCTACTAGGTTCACGGCAACGTATGACACCTAGTCTGGCAGCTATCCTGGCTGAGCTGCGCTTCGCACATCCTTGATTGCCCCTCGAGATCCGTGTCTGCCAAAATCCGAACTGTTCGTCCCAACAAGGTTCACACAGGCTGAGGGGTACTAGGATGTTCATCTATTTGAGTGGGAACGGTGTGGTGAGTAGCATACAAGTTACGTAGATATCAGCAACATGGTGCCCCCCGCGAATGCTGAGTCACCGACCTGATAGTCTATGGACGTACCACGGTAAGGAACTTCCTGAGGCTAAGCAGCAGTATACGTCGCTCTGCTATTAGAGGCTTCCGGTCCGTATGTATAGAGGCAAAGAAAGCCTAGACACAAGATGACATCTTCCCCCAACATTGGCCGCCAACCTGAGGCCCCTTTCATGGCCACTAATGTAATCCAGCAGGGGGCATTTCGGACTGCTAAAGAAGGACAGCCCATTAGGATTGACAATCCCGCCGTCGTGTATGTTAGAATGAATGGATATTTGGAGCGTAGGTCTCTGGGAGACGTGCCCAACGTAGGGTTATTATAGTTGTTTCGCGAAGCAATTGAAGGAGTCGTGATTGGGGAATATTTCGGTCTCTCCGAAGTTGTGCGTCAATGACTGCGATCCTCAGATGGTTGGAGAGGGCTGGGGATGTCAGACGGCGAGGTAGCTGTGCTGTCCCGACAATATACCAAAATCGAATTTCACTGCCTGCAATCCAACTGAAACATCCATGCTTCCAAGTTCTTTACCTCCACGTCACAGGGCTTCCAATAAAACTTGGGCCTGCCCATGGCAGTGTGCCTCTGGATGAAGCAGTTGAACAATGACATTATTGAATCGTTCCCCCTTATGAGTTATTATCCCTGGCTCCCGGAGACTCGGTGTACAGATCGGTATCATGAGGCAGCTAAGGTCTGAGCTCTCCCTGAGTTGCCAGTCATCCTGGGAACTATAGCGATAATACTCAACCTCTACAGCATCTTTCGTTTCAATAACATCATTAAAGCTTGTAGCGGGAACTGCGGGACCAACTCCTGGTAATTCAGGCGGTCGGATGCAAGTCAAACATCCATTTGAAGTGCATGACCTCTGAAGGCCATTTGAAGCCTATAGCTGATCTCTAGTCGTGTATCTAGAATGTTCGTAATCGTGGACGTGCCGAGAAATCCAGCTGGCTTAGGCTCCATTTCTTCTAATCCACCAGATGTAGTATCTGCCACAGTTCCTCTCATTCAATCTTTGGCAATATGAATTCAGCTGGATGTCGAAATAGGTTCCGATTGTCCTCCTGCGCTCAGTGTCCCTGCTGCATTGGCTGCCGTGTTCCGCCTTCACGCAAATCGTGCATGTTTTGGTATAGAACGAAATACCATCAATCGAGTGAGGATGAATACGGCTGATTTTTATAATACTGTTTTTATAAGCGGTAAAGCCGTCCTCCATTATATCCCTTTGTTACCGCAAGACAGGGTATTATTGGTGCGGACAAGATATGCCCCTGTGGCTTGAACGATGGAGAAAGCTGGCCATAATGGTAAATAACGTATAGACCATACCATGGGGTACGATGTCCTAGCCCAACAAACACAAGCTATATATATCATGTCAATGGCGAAACGAATATTATATGCTGACTGGTTGGCTATCCGGGCTGTGGCCAAATGTTGAACACCCTTTTTATAATAGGTCCTAGGCATATGGTGATGTAAGCTTCCTACGTGTGAATAAATAGCTGCCCGAATGTGAAAGTGCATCATTCATCAGTGACTCTCTCGCTTGTGCGTGACAGGGCCTGTGTTTGCCCACCAACAGCCAACATTAACCACACTCAGTAGATATTCATCCACCTTTACTTGATATTTGCCGCCATGTTTTAATCAATTCCCGTTCTACACACTTATTTAGTGTATATGGGCTGTGTTATGAATGGTTACACAAAGAGGTGTACATTATTAACGGGAAAGACCGCAGAGCCAAGTGGATTTAAGTAAGACGATGAATGGATAGCATTTGCCAACCCCAGAGTAGTTAGAGTATTGGTCTATTCTTAGGTCCTCCCCGAGATCATCGACACAAGGGAAGTGCCAATTGAGTATATTTATAGCTAATTATGGGTCATGCCTTATATTGATGAAAGGCAACAATTCACGAGACTTTGGTCTGACTACTAATCATGTCACATTCTATTAATACCTAGTCTGCCAATTAGTAACATCCTCCTTCATCGCCGGAATAAGCAGTGGCAGTAAGGGAAATACTCCTTGTGAGACTTGTTATCCTCGATAATGGGGAAAGACGCCTAAGGTGATACATGGACAGGGAAAGAAAGATAATTCACCAAAATAGGAACAAAGATGGGTGTACACCATCCAGTAATGTACCATATACAACGGCTGCTTCTCGCCAAGTCGAGTATTTTGGGTATAGTCCAATCCTAACTATGTTACAACTACTCTTTATTTATAGAGCATACTAATCTTTGTGTGAAACTTGAAAGACACAAAGCGCGCTTTCACCCACCCCGTAGACATTAGGGGTTATGTCAAATGCAAGAACCAAGGCAATACCCTTATGCACGTCCGGATGGTAAGACCAGGATCTAACCTGTTTCGTGTATGAGACGCCATGAGAGGCTAGGAATTCGAAGTCAGGATTTAGACTGTTGTGTCATATCGCCAAACAATGTCGTCCGGATCAGCTGCGCACCTCTAAAAATAACCGATAGATTGTGTTAGTACTGTAAATATAACATGGCATGCTAGTAGTAGAAACGCTTATCGTTCAATGTGTTGTATATCAGGACATTGTATTCTCGGTTTAGATATCTCGCTTTTCAGTGGAAAACATCGTCAACGGTAACCGGCTACTCCGTTCCTAATACCAAGATTCGCGAAACAGTAGTTATCTCTACTGATAATGAACCTAGGTCCTGAAGAACACAAGGTAGACAGGCTAATGCCGTGATCAATGAGCATTCTTTGTTTACAAATATATTTGGCCTTGCAGCGCACATCGCTACGCAAACCCTACGCAACGTCAGCCATAACACACCGCTACTATGGCACCCTCGGACTGTTCAAGTCACCCCTGCCATTGCACCTTTTCGACGCTTTCTGAGTCATCCAAGATAGGAATGATTGTCGGTATCCCATTTGGAGCCATCCTTCTCCTGGCTATAGGCGTCTATATCGGGTTTGTCTGTCGACGAAAGAATGCAGAACGTCAAAACACCGTGCCCCCTCGAAGCAGAACACCCGTCAATGTGTTCAGTCGAGTCATCAAAGACAAATTTCCGGGGTTGGTGGGAGAGCTTCCAGCTACAGATGTGCATACTGAAAGAGGCACATCCACCACGCGGCGAGCATGATGGTTACATCAATACTGCATGATATACACCATATTTGTCTTGCCTATTTCTTCCCTTGTTAGCACGATGTTCTCAGAGGTAAACGCCACGGGATCTGGCTTCTTGCTTTAACATCATCTTACTCTTCTTATTCACATTGTTTGCTTTTGCTCGCCTTCTTCTAGTGTTCTACCAGTCTTCTTCCTTTTTCTTTTCGTCTTTCCATATTTAACAGTCCTGCTCTAAGTACCACATTCCCCTCCTTGAATACCTGGGGTAGCCAGGGTCGACATCACGGGTTTGAAATGAAAACATGAGCCGGGAGGACAATATCAGAGGAGTGTTACGGGGACCGTCGTCCGATGAGGCGAGAGTACTTTATTTGCCTATGTGTTCGCTCAAATGCGATCCAAATTCATAACTAGATTCCTGATTATCTTCGAATGGCCACTCCATCTCCAACAGGACAATATTCGTCTAGCCTGCCTTAGGAATTAGCATAAGAGGCTCTCTGAGTTCCATGACTTTTCAACTTGAGTACTCTCTTGTTCGAGATCTGGTGACCTGTCTCAAAAGCATACTATTAAAGCCATGCGTTTTTATCTACACTCCCATTTTCTAGCTCTAATTCCTCCACTGTGGACATATGTACTTTTGTTAAGGAGTCATGACACTCAACGAAAGCTCGCAGAAACATATAGACAACAGGTTAAAATGTTTTGTGAACATCCCAGAGGCGCAGCCGTCTCATGATAGATAAGAATAATGATATTGCAGGCGGCAACGCGCACCATTAGCGAGCGGCAGAGTGCTGTAGCATCCTGTGGTCTTTCGAAGAGTACTCCTGGGTATTAAACACCCTTGGGCATCTAACGCAAGCGTTTAATTTAGTCATTACCTGGTGCAATTGCAAGGGACTTACGGTTGCCGAGCAAGAAGGTTGAGTTAGATATCTGCCCCAATGAACTACCCTAGCCAGCCCAGACCAATAAATATGCACAATGGTCCAACTAGACGGTTGTTATGTGATATCTAATGGTGTGATGGTCACTACTAACACAACCCCTCTTGTTCAGATGGTTATCGATTATTGCATTCTGGTGCACAATTCTTTGATGTCCTACACGCATGTGCCCCTCAGGATGGCTGAAATGTGCATAGTCCAAGCTTGGACATGGCCATGTAAATGCAGAGAAGGCCGTAGAGAAGCGCTATTAGGGAAAGGCGACTCGGCACACGCTGTCGAATTGTATCGTTGGGTCAGACAAGGATGCCCTACAGGTCGGCACCAGGAGTAAGGTTCCTTGTCACTGGAATGCGACAAAATGCAGCCATGCATGGCCATGTCATCACACAGATGCCAATCAGGTTATGTGCATTCCGTTGGTGTGGCGTACCCGGTCAAGAGCAGCATTACAGCGCCCAATCAAACATTCCTTGGCGGGCATATATGCATGCGACAGATCACTCCTTGCTTTAATGGCTGGTCGGGCTGAAAGCGTGAAGCAACCGTCAGATTATTCGGCGGAGAGCTGCATTGCATTATTGGCTTCCTGGGAAGCTCTCAATGTCTTGCATATTGAGGGGTTGGGCCCCGTATTCTGTTGCTGGTAGCGTTGCACTGACAAAAGTACCATGTCTCACGCAGTGCTTCTCAGCTGAAGTTTGGTAAGTGGGGAAATTCCCATCATTCGATATTTTGAAGGGAAGGCAGAGAGGCATTTGCTTTATGCATATGTCCACATCCAGACCCATACCTTGCCGTCCGAGCTATGACTTGATTGCTACTGTTCCCTACCTACACCCACACCCACCAGTTGGCTGCAATGATGGGTGACGATCGCTAGATTGGGTATGTGAGACCTGACTTAGTCGTACGCAAGTCATTCCCACTGCGGAACTGTCGAGCATCCCATGGGATCTGGAACCAAAGTGATAGCTACAACACAGAAGCCACATCCCACCACGAGGCGGGATTGGCGACCTACTTTGTGGAGCGCTCGTTCCTCCGGTTGCCCTTGGCTGAAGATATGAGGACATGCCACAAATCCAATACGGGAAACCAGGCTCTCGACCATCTAGACCTTTATTGCCTTGAGCGGGGAAGAAGCCCACGATTCGGAACTCACGGAACCTCGCTCTGGTTGCACGTCGATTGGCTTGCTATCTTGATGCAGATCATGGAGTGCACACCAGGTATGCATATGCCCGAGGGCCGCGTCAATCATGGTATGACTTGATGAAAACCCCTCATATTTTGAGGGCTGGTTAACGTCATCGAGCATACCTTGATAATGAGAGAGAGTGGAAGATGGAAGTGATACATTTCTTGGCTGCCCACGAAGGGAACGTGAATATAAGTACTCACCGAACCGAACCCACAAACTCCTCAATCTGCTAATCTTCACAGCCCTCGAACTGAACAGTCAGCATTGAGCCGTATATCCATAGCAATCCTCGACGTTATGCAGCCTATCAGGTACATACCTACCTATATCCAACCTGCGCCTGGAGCCCCGGCCACGGGAAGCTCCCTTCACAGCCATGGCCATTGGATGCCCGAGAACGTCGAGCTCCGTCGAGCCTGGCTTGCAAGCTTACTCGACAAGACGAAAGCAGAAATCCCTAAAAAGCTGCGCAATGAGGAGAACCCCGTTGAGACGTTCCGAAAGCTGATCGAGGACAACTCAACCCTTTACATGCTGGCCAGTTCCATGTTCGAGGAAATCCCCGAAAAGGCTCCGTACGATAGGGACCCGACCACTCTGAGGAAGCAAGTCCGGAACTACAAGACCATGCTATACCTCTTCAATACACTTCTTACCGAGGTCCCAGAATACTTCTTAAGAGACAATCCGAACGTACCCAGCGGTCTCATTGGATTTCCATTCAACATTATCGTTGACTGGCCCATGGGGACGCCAAGCGGCCGCCAATTCTTCTTGGATGAGAGAGTGAACATATGTCTTAAGAAGATTCTCAACAAATGGAATGCCTTCCTGAAAGACCCGACAGCGGGGGGCAGGGGTGACAAGGGTGGCAACCAGGCTCTCATCAATGCTGGATGGAGCTCCGACGAGGCGATCCGGCAGCTGCAAGACAAAGCCAATGAGTCTACCCCCAATGAGACGCCAAAGACGTTCGACAAACTATTCCAATATCCCGCTGGAGGCACCCAGGCGACGTTCTACAACTATGCCTGCTGGGATGACTTCTTTACTCGCAAGTTCAAGGAAAGTGTCCGTCCCGTAGCGAAGGCGGCCGTCGTCAATGCTTGTGAATCATTCCCTCTGTCATTCGACACGGATGTCTCGCGCCGCAACACTTTCTGGCTCAAGGGCACACCATACTCGCTCCATGACATGCTCGGAGCTACACAGAATGCCAATGTTTCGTCCTACGTTGACAGCTTCGTCGGCGGCTCGGTGTATCAGGCTTTCTTGAGTGCCGATTCTTACCACTGCTGGAATGCCCCGGTTACCGGTGAGGTCAAATATCGCAGCTTGATCGATGGAACTTACTTCGCCGAAACAGCTGCGGCAGGATTCGGAGGGTCGAGCGGTCCTGACCCTGCTGGCCCAGATGTATCCCAGCGGTATATTACTCACATAGCTGCCCGCGGTGTCCTCATCGTCGACACCAACGTCCCGGGCGGCGCAAACATTGGGCTGGTTGGATTTGTACCCGTTGGGATGTCCGAGGTATCAACCTGTGACTGGTACCCGGGTACGGAAGTAGGCAAGACTATCACTCAGGGAGATGTCATTGGGGCTTTCCATAGTGGTGGATCCACACACTGCCTTATCTTCCAGCGTGACGCTGTGAAGAAGTTGGAATTCATCCCTAAAGCCCAGTACCCTGAGATTGCCACGACCAACCTGGCTGTCAATAGTGAGTTGGCTAAGCTCACCTCTTGAGATATTTAACTTTACTCGCATTGGTGTGCGCTATCTGCTGTCGCGTGGGAGACGTGATTCTGTTTGTAGCTTTTGTTGGGCTAATGGCATGATCCATGCGAGAACAGAGCTACCAATTTCATTCCTGCAAACCCTAGCCTGACAGGTTGCCGAGTGTCAATAGATACTGGCACAATACCTTTGGGACCTTAGATAGTTGCGTAACGAATCGAGCATCACAATCAGTGGTGTTTTATATATATACAGATCTGGCGACGAACAGCTATGTTCAGTCCGGTGATATATTCCAGTTCCGTAGGCATGCTGGCGACAGCGGCATTTCGATCATGTAATTACGCCATTAGTGTTCCCACATTAAAACAGGTTTGACTGTGGTTCCGTCCTTCATACTCTTTACCGCTTGCTCAAATTCAGCGGCCTATGAATTGAAAACGCCGTGTCAGTAAGTACCAGAAGTGTTGCTCCAGAATGAGAAGAATTGGGACCACAAACATCGAAATACTGAACTAACTGGTCGACTGGGAATCGTCCTTCACGATACCATTGAATCATTTGCGGAATGGCCTTTGTTGTTGTAAGTGTTGAGATAGGATCTTGGAATTGTGTAAAGGGAGGGCTTTCAAACCTTGCCGGGAATGCTATCGCCTTCAATACATCCTATTATCGACCGACCGGACTATCATGTCCGAAAGAAGAAATAGTTAATCCTCTCTCCAAGGGATGTGGACATCGGCCCGTTGTGACTCACATTGATGTGTTGCACGACGTCAATATTAAGACCATATCCCAATGGAGGCACTCCTACAAGGACCAGTTTGCCTCTTTTCTGTGTAGCCTGGAGGCCCTCTTCGATGAGAGTCGGAACGCCTGTGGTGTCAATCACCACCGTGACCCCAGGGAAAGAGAATTCGGAAACAGCATCCTTCAGGCTTGTTCCATGAAGGGTGCCTGTGTTGATAGTATGTGATGCCCCCAGTCTCTTGGCCTGTTCGAGGCGTGTCGCAACCTTATCGACAGCAATGATCGCCTTACATTCACGAATATTGGCTGTCTGTGAATCCTGTGGTCAGTTCTACATTGCCACTCCAAGCAGCCCGGATCCAAGCCATACCATAAGTGCGCCCATTCCAACAGCACCCAAGCCCAAGATCATCACGACATCATCCGGGCCAGCATCAGAAGTGTTCAAAACGGCGCCCATCCCAGTTTGGAATCCACATCCCAGTGGCGCAAAGAGCCTGAGCTCGTCTTCGCTCATGAGGAAATCTTTGACGTTGACAACGCTAGCCTCGCTGACTACACTATGTCTGGCAAAGCTCGACTGACCAAAGAATTTCGACCAGGGTTCCTCCCCGGCTTTCTGGATTTTCATTCCTCCTTGGCGTCCAACGTAATTCTCCTCAGCGAACACGTCGCAATATGCGGGATGCAAGGTTTGACACGCTTCACACGATGAACAAGAGTAGTAGGAGAGTAGGACTGGATCCCCGACCTCGACGGACTTCACATTTGAGCCCAGTGCGCGTACAATACCGGCGCCTGTGACCGGTTAGTATAGATAGAATGGTGTCTCATGTCTCCATCCATCTGATTCATGGCCCCGTGTATTCAACGCCAGAAATCGACATATTCGCAAATACCTTCATGCCCCAATACCTTGGGATACTGGATGCCAATTCTTCCAGCCGGTACCGATGACAGAACTATATCCGTATGGCAGATGCCTGTCGCACGCATTTCAACCAGAATTTCGCCCTCGCCAGGTGTACACACCTCAACCTCCTCCATCGCCCAGTTTATGGTCTGTGGCTGCTCGGGCTCACGAGCAACGATGGCGGTGGTAGTAATCATGGTTGTCATGAACGGTTCTCTGGCCGGAATGAGCGATCCAGGGGCATCTGATGGCTTGCGTGTTGGATTTGAGCACGGCGGGGATAATTGTCTTATAAATGCAGCGTGTTGCGTCGCAGGTAAAAATACGGTTTTGGGTTCTTTTTTTTTTCGGCGAATCATTATTCATTTCCCCCGCACTGATATAAATGGGAAGTGTTGAAGCAGCTTATCTTTCCTTCTGCCTCGGGCCGATGCCTAGGTTAGAACTTAGAGATATATCCACCCAAACCATTTCTGTAAATATATATATTTTTTATGCTTGCTCGATTTTAGGAGTTACTATGCCTTATGGCAGGTACCGCATGTTTCACAAATGGCATCTGAAGAAGGAACAGGTGGTGGTGCTTCCCACAGCTGTAGCATAACCCAAGGATTCCCAAACATAGAAAAGAAACAAGGCAGTTGACCGGGGCAAGTTGGCATTCCATGAAAGAATTTCATAAAGGAGGAAGGACGAATTGAAAAAGATTCAGGTTGTCCGAATTAAGGCTTAAAGCTGAGCCAGGGGTCATTGTACAGCTCCCCAGCCGTTGCCCGATCAGCTGGCTCCCAGCGGAGCATTTTCCCCACAAATTCAAGAAAAAGCCTTTTGTCTTCTCCGTGGAGAAATGGCGTACTGTTGGAAAGGTTGAACTCGTCAGGTGGGACTATACCTGGAAATTTGAACTCTCCTAACTAAAGAGTTAGTTATCGCTCGAGGGATTAAAGTAGCAGACATTATACCATGACTGGAGAAGAGGGCTGAACAAATGCCTTGGTCTGCCCTTGCTAGTACTTGCAGTGGAGGTGGACCAAGTACGCGTATCATTTGGGCTATGTGCTTTGCTCGGGAATATGTGTTGCTGCTAGAGTCCAGTCCATCGAAAAGAATATCATCTGCAAGAAGCTCCCATAGCTTTATAGGAGCACGATGTCAGTGACTGGTACAGGTATCTTCACACGGGCCATACCATGGTTCCCAGGTTCCAAATATCGGCACTATATGTCCGGGTTGCCTTTAAAAGTACCTCTGGTGCACAAAAGGGTTGAGGCTGAATATCATGATTATGAGCCTCAGAGGTGTTGCCAAAAACAGCAGCACTGAAGTCGCTAATTTGAACTAGTCCCATCCCTTTCCTCAGATGCCCGAAGTCTGAACGAGACTGAAATACAGGATGACCATCATGATCCCAACACGGAGCAGGATTGCGTTCTTGTTCGCGAGCATAATTCTCAAGAACATCACGGTCTTCGAATCCCACGAGAAAGTTATCTGCCTTGAGATCTTTTGCTATCATTAGAGAGAGGATGCCCAGATCCGCAGCAACTTAGAAGAAGCCTACCGGTATGTATAATATGGCACTCAGAGTGCAGAAAGTCAAGGCCCTGGAGCAATAATTTCAAAAACGGCTTGAGGACAGCGGGAGGCACGCCGTTGCTTCCAAGGTGCTTCCCCAAAAGCCACAGTGGTTCCCTTAATGGTTCATATACCAAGCATAAATGCTCTCCCTGCGCGCCTCGGAGGCCAAAGGACTCATGGACCAGCCGGACGTATGCCCGACCTTCATGACTCGATCGCAACTGCGAGATATATCGCGACATTTCCAATTCTTCCGTGGCCGATCTTTGCTCTTCTTTGCCGCAGTTGGTAATTTTTACCGTCACATATCGGTTTGACTGCCACGCCCAACTTTGACGGTGTTATTAAAACAAGCAGTAATGGGTAAGCGAACTGACCGAGCTGTGTCTTTGGCGAGCCAGACGGTGGAATTGGCACCCCAGCCGAGCTTTGAGATGATGCGGTATCGTCTAGCGAGGGTCTCTCCAATACGAGCGGGATAATATTTCTTACGATCATACTCCGGGTTGTCATTCTCCTCTCGCATGACGGGAGACGTGGCTCGAGAAACCAATCTGAAACTGGGAACTGATGGAATAAGGCGCGATAATTTCCCAGGAGGTCGATGGTAAGCATGCATTGGGGACGGATAACGCGTGACAGCTGTGCCCAAGTTGATGTTCGCAGACATTCCGTTCCAAAGTCAGAGGAGCTGCTATTATTTGCCAAGAATCCGGTTAACGCAGAGCGTCAGCCCGTATGGGACGCCAATCCAACATGGCTCGGATGCTAGGGATGAAATTTCACCAAGTTGCATGACTGTGGCTCATAAATCAAGCTTGGTTGAAGAATATATAGTAAATTCTTTTATGACTACAATTATTATGCTAACAATCCTACCTATCCAGAGTCTCGAAAAGAATCAAATCTAGAACTCAACAGAAAAGACAGCACAAGTGGCACATGACTGTTATTGGCAACTATTTTTATATAGCTTGCTATCCTCACAGCCCCGTTCTGGGTCTCCTATGGCTTAGGCTTTGCCCTCGTATATATCCTTGTACATCATGCTGAACGTCACCTCATCATCATCCGCCACGCTCTTGCCTACTTTGAGAAGCCCGTTGTACTTAGTTTCATGGAATATCGTGAGCATCGAGCGATTTGTACCCGAAGCCGCACTTCCATATCGAATGGTCACCGGTGTGTCCTGTTTTACTTCTCCACAATCGGTACCATCGACGCCTCTGATAAACCAATAATCAGAGAAAGCGCCCTCGGGCTCAGGCAGTGCAACCGGGAATTTATCGTCGTTTTGCCCATTTCCACCTTCAAGGTAGAGGTAGAGCTCGGTCGAAGGGTTCCTTAAAATGTATGGTTGACCGTACATAATCTAAATGGATCAGGTCACTTCTTTACGCAATAGTGAGGTAGCATACCTTCGTCACTCCATGCCCTTCAGGAGTTTTGCATTCCAGGTAAATGCCATGCTTGTTGCACTCGTCCACGCTCTCGTGTAGCCCGACGGTAGCACCCCTGGCCGGGATCGTACCCGACGTTTTCCCCAGTCCCTCGATATCGTCTAAATGGGACAGGGCAGTTAATACAACGATCCTATAGAGAGCACCTATGGACTAACCGTGTGACCAATCTGCTTTATGGAAAGCTGTGAGGTACTTGTACCAACCGTAACTACCTTTGGTAGATGTACGCAGGTAGAACTTTCGACCCGGTCGCGATTGTAGTATTGGCTGGATCTGGACAGGAAGTTTCGGATCCGTTACGTCCTTCGTCAGGAATTTTTCGACATTCTTGTGGATCTCACTGTCTCCGAACTGGGCGAGTAGATTTAAAATGTGGCGGTTGCCGGCTCTCTACATTGTTGTGTCAGTTCGGCTCGTTATTTGTGCATGAAAGTCTTCACACCTTAATGATTCTCCAATTCTGGTATTCGGCCACGGTGTGGCACCAGTCAGGGGGGCTGATAGGATCTGTCAGCCCGTTGCATATAAAACGAGGTTTTCCTATAATAAGGAGGGTATACCTATTGCATAGCAGTGTGTTTCCCCCATTTGCCTGCCACTGCAGGGTGCTCGTTAGGTTGCTATTGGAGTTATTCTCAGCCTCTCCACGGGCCCGTCCGTATGCAACGCTTGTCGAGCCCCCGGCGCCCATTGGAGTTTTGAACGAGGCTGCAGCTTGCGCTTTCATAGAGAATTTGGTATCCTTCGCACTTGATTCAGTGTGAGAATCAAATTCCTCGGAAGCGAACAGGCGCCCACCGAGTTGAACTTGGGTACTGAAGTATTCGCCTGCATGTAGTCAGATCATAGCGTTCAATTGCAAGAAAAATACTTGTTTTCCGAAGTCTCACCGAACAGCTTTATAAAATGATCCGCTGTTTCATTTGTAGGACCTTTGGCTAGTTCCTTTTTGCATCTCTTGGTGACCTCAAGGCTGTATTCGTCTAATCGAACCGTGACGCGAGGGAACTATAATCGTCAGCCAGTATCCAGATCTACAACGAAGTTCACAAACATTATAGGAGATGTTCATTTGGCTAGATTCTCCAGACTCGTCCGTTGTCGTTTGGTTGGCATTTGATGTTTTGGTTCCGCCGCTAAACCCTAAAACCCCCCCGAAGGCTGGCAATCCACTTGGTCCAGGTTAGAAAACATATACTGGGGGCACAGGGGGTAGCAGGCCCGTACCCCGACATGGAGATATCAACCTCGTCAATAGCGGACTTCGAAAGGGAGGATTGAAATTGCGTCTTTGTCTCATATATTGAGACATATGATTGGTCATCAACGAAGTAGTCCGGTACTCGAACCTTGGGCTATCCAGAGTCAAATGTTGGTCACAGGATGAAAGTTGCCTCGCCCTCACCTCGTTGACGTCTTCTTCATCATAGACTCTTCGTTCCTTTATCCTGAACGCTATAGATGACCGGTCCAGTAGTTAGACAGACCTTAAATGGTATATATCAACAACCAAAAGGCCTACCTGGGTACGGAGCTCGAATCAAGCCTATCGGCGTGCTCTTTCCATGACCATTGTCCTGCCGAAGCACGCAAAGACCGTAGCAAAGTGAGTTATTAATTGTAACCGTTTTCCAGCTTTCTTGATCTAGTTCTTGTGGCTTCCTATATATCGCTGTTAGATTAGTAGTACCGCCAAGAGCCGGGGGGTGGAGACAGAGGATGACATACGTCTCAATGCTATTTACAGCTCTCCAATCTGCTTTGTTTATGGATGACGACAGTGTAGGGGCCTTTTGGGCCGGAAGGTACTCTAAAGGTGCCTTATACCAGTTAATGACAAGTAAATTCGGAACTGGCGTTCTTTAATTGTATATCGCTCACCGGTAAACTGATGTTAGCCTTCGGGATGTCCTCCACCTGAGCCTTCTGCTTTCGTCTCAGGTAAACGTTCGAGGAAGGCGTGCTCGCTGGGCTATCTTTCTATGTTGCATAGGTTAACTGAGCATTTCTCTTGCTTGTGGGCCATGTGGCTTACATTCACATAATGAAGGTATGCCTCAATCTTCCACTGATCAAGGTCGGTGATAGATCCTCCCTGCGCAGTGCAGAATGGCAGCTTGCAGCTAATTGACTATTAGTCTCATCTTAAATGGCTCAGCGACTGTCGGAAACCCACTATTCTTTGTGGCTGCTGTTTTTGATACGGTCATGAAGACTTTTCAGTGAATTTTCGCTGATATCCTTCTTCGCAATTTTCATCAAGAATGCCTCTTCACTCTTCTGGTCACCAGTGACGACAAGAAACACCAATGTTTGCAAGTCGGGTGTTGTCCCATTATCTGTCATTTGATGTTTCATCGTTGGGTCTCCTTCGCCTTCTGCTTTCGTATCATTTTTCTCCTCGTCCTCCGCCTCTGACTCGACATCAGTACCTGCTTTCTCATCATCTAGAGCAGGCCGTAAATTCACGGGTTCCTGGTCTCGTCGGTGCGTCTCTTGGGGCGGGGCACCAACAGGGAGGGTGAGGCTATCCACAACGAGCATATTAGGCAACAATCTAGATAAATCTCTGTGTGGTATACACGATAGCTGGCAAACACGTCACGGACACCCGAAAGTAAATCGCTGGGAGTCTCCGGATTAATCAGGGCCGTTGAATGGGGTTTATATAATGTCATCCACGCATGAGACAACCCATCACGTTATTAGCCTAGGGAGCACGTCCGGCATGTAGCCGACAATTCCTACAGCCGATACCCCCACCGGCGGGCTCCTATCGTGAACAGTTAACTGGACCCACGCACTACGTTGGAGCCACCCAGACTTGCATGGGATCTGCAACCAATTCTAGCAATATTATGTTTGGCTATGCAAATCATTGCTCTTTCTGCATAAGATTTGCCTCCCCTGGTCGGTATCTTACTTTCTTGGGCCAAGACGTAGGCTCCACCCATTGCATGCACTCTGTATATAAACAGCAAAGGATACAGTCGGGTGGTTTGAATAGCGTTAGCACTTGCCACGTCAGTCTCCACTATGATAGTAGCTTTGCATTATTTGATCCTATTATCCAGCTTTACAGACTATAGGGTTCTTTGATACTGCTGCATCAACTATATCCCGTCACCTATATAACTACAATGACGAACAGATATATATATATACCAAAAATGGAATAGCCAGCCTTATGGGAGATGCAATATACCTAGGCCATTGCAAAGCGAATTGAGCTTACTTTTATGGACCATTGGACAACTCCGGGGTAATCGTGCCGGTGGAGTGGGGGTTGGGCTGAACAACGAGCCCAGAATTATGAGGGTGCATAGATCATCGTTGAGTTCACCTACACGAGCTGCCTAAGCGGAATAGCTCTCGACCTTAAAACTGCTGTGGTTCTGGAAAATTCACGACACAATATTACAAAAGGCTGCCTTGAAGCAAGCTACTACAGTCACTGGACCGTACACCCAACAGTAGAGCGAGGAGAATATCTATTATGCATTAGAGCCACATCCCTCCGGAAGGTAATGGTTACTCTGACAATCGCCTCTCAGCCAACCATCGGGTGTCACAACAAAAATGATAGCCCAGCAATTCAGGATCAATGCATCTGTCTCGATGTGATCTCTGTTCACAGCAGTCGAATACACCGCACCTTCTCATAAGGACCCACTGTTCGTTGTCCTCGGCTGAAAGTGGGACTGTTGGGAAGGGCTTGCTATTTGATAGCTATCAATCAGCCCACATAGCGGAATTTAACCACCTATCAAATCGTAACACGTCATTAGTCTCTCGGAATCAAAAGGCTCGTCGATGTCAGCTTAGAGGTAGTGGCTGTCTACCGCGTAGATCATGAACTCTTGATACCCCACTCTATGAGCTACGGTAATTATGGCTCTTCAGCTGAAAGTTTCCTATGACTGGTGTCGGCTGTGAAGAAGAGGGTTAGATCAAGTCAGGTAAGTGATATGTTAATCCACATCTGTTTATGTAACATAGTTAAGATTGCTGTGGGCATCTGTGCTGGGATGCATGTTCTTGCGTGTGACATTACCTACAGAACCACCCATCCAATCTTTCCTAGTGCGTGCCGCTTTACGGCCTTTACTAACGGAGCGATTCAGAGGAGCTGAGAGTGAGGTGACATGGAAATTCGAAGACCTGCTGAGGAATCAACGAGGGTATCAATCAATCGCGCAATCGATCACAACCCCATTACCTGTTAGGGCTTATCCATTGAATGACTTGCTATGCAAGTGCTCCCAAGGCAGAACCTTGTCCGGGACGCCGTCCAATCCAATACAAATAGTATGCCAGTAGAGGCCGAATGAACTAGGGCATCCGCAACGACGGTACCAAACAGCGCAATAAATGAGCATGGTTTCCTGCAATTTCCTGCACCTTCTATCATCGCGCTAGAAGACTTCCAGCCTCGCACATTTCCGCATTTCATGATCTGGCGAGGCTTGGAAGGAGAGCTAATGCAAACAGATTGGCTTACGAAAACTTGAGGAGTTCGAGAAATGCGCAATAACTCTATGGTAAAGAAATACTTCCATTGTCAAGCAATACTAGACGAAATTGTGTGCCATCTTCCAGAAACAATCTCCCTATCTCCTTTCATGAAACACCAATTTCAGAGGAGCAGTCACCAAGGTAAACGTATCTCTTTTACCATCCAGGAACGCGTCAACCGTCTGCTCTTGGCTAAAGTCGACATTATATCTCGTAAGAACCTCGGCAGTCACACGACGGAGCTCCATCAGAGCAAGTTGCTTCCCAACGCAGGAATAGGGGCCTATGGATATGTATCAGTATCGTACAGGAGGATACTTCTATTAACAAATGGGTTGATAATCAACCTGAATCTATCAAACATACCCGCATTGAATGGAATGAAGACGGATGCGTCTTTTACCAGCTCTGGCTGCGTCATCCACCTCTCTGGAAGAAACTCTTCGGGCCGGACAAACGCTCGTTCATCTACATGTGTGAGCATCCCTTTTCAGTAGGTAGGTAGATATGAGGGCAACGCCATACCTCGAAACAATGTGTGTGTTGGAATACACACCATCACGTCACCAGGAATATACCTATCACCGATCTGGAGACCCTCTGGCGGAGTCATTCGTTGGGTACCTGAGGGTACAGCGGGATGGAGACGCAAGGTTTCATTTATAAGTGCGTCAAGTATCTTGACACTAGTCAGCTTCTCCTGGGACAAGTCAGGCAAAGCGTCTAGTTCTGTCTGGAGTTTTGTTTGCCAGGTGCGGTCAGCAGCGAGATGGAAAAACAGATTAGTCAATGTGGCAGCAGTAGTATCACTACAGATGTTAGTCCACTGCACAATGATCAAGGCTGTCACGTGTGTGATAAAGCCCTCTTACCTTCCTGCAACAATAATCAGGTATGCGTCACCGTGTAGGTCAAGGTGATCCTGCTTCGTCTTTGGGCCCTTTTGAAAAGCATCAAGGATCCATGAAAACACGTCGGGACAATCTGGGTTATTCTGTAGCATGTTAGCATTTTTCGCCTGTTCCAGAAGTTAAATCAAAGAGCCTGTCCATACCTTGATTCTTTCTTCAACTCTGCCACCAACCCAATTCCAAAATTTGAGGTAGTCAGAGTTAAGAATAGGGATTCTTTTGAAAAACGGAAATAGCCATGTCAGGTGGCTAAACAAACCGATGCTCTTCATATCCGCATGCAGCTGAGTCGAGAAATATGTATCTTGCCCGCCTACGAGCATGTTAAAGGATTTACCAAAAGACAGATCACCCATGACGTCGAAGCTATAGTAGTTGAACCACTTCGCCATATCCATCGGCTTGCCGACGTTCTTGCGGATAGCGTCGAGAAGCTGCTCTGCGTAATGCGAAACGCGAGGTTCATAATCGCGTAAGGCTGTATTACCCCCGCGGTTAGAACACAGGGGAACATCAAGGTAAAACGATATATCGGCTCACCCTTCGAACTAAAACCTTGATCCCACACCTTCCTACGGCGAGCGTGTTCTTTCTTGTCTCGGGACATTTGGAGAGATACTCTGGGTTCCAGCACGGTATACCATGGTCCTTTGCTCACTTTCGCCTGGCCGCTGTAGAGTGCTTTGACGGCCCTAGGGTCGGCAATTGAGAGCTCGGTAGGGCCTATGAACAGATCAGGAAATGGTGTTCAATGGCGGATGAGAATCCAGGCAGAAGGAGAATCACCTAATCGAACATAGTCGCCATATTGCTGATGCAGCTTACGAACCTCTTCGTAGAGATGTAGACTCTTGGCTGAGAGTGAGGTGACGTAGAAATTCGAAAGCCGGGCGAGGAATGGACCGGGATATCCGCCAAGACGATGCCAGAAAGCACGATAAAAGAGCATGCTGGCGTAGACTCCGAGGATATGATATCCTGTGGCTGCTATTGCCCATTTTGGACGCGTGCCAGTCGCGAAACCATCCAGTAAAGCAGAATGTTCCAGATAGATGAGAGCTGCGCTCAATAGGATATATACTTTCACAATACTAGGCGCCTTTACATCCCACTCGCCAGATCGATAGAGAAGAAGGTGGGTGGCCACGCCGCTCACGGCTGCCCAAACCCACAGGGTGTCCATTGGCACAATAGATGGGTCAAACCAAACCTGTAGGTGAAAGGAACATTCCTACTTCGCGCTTTGCGCTTCCTATTCCCTGTCTTTATTAAGGCTACAAGCTATGATCGTGGCGGCTATTTCCCATGCCATGCTGCAACATGGCCTCTGGCCTTTCAACGAATGAGAAGCTGCTTTTCAAAGGTTGTGGATAGCCGAGGCCCGGCCCACGGCATCAAGTGCGGGCAGCCAGTCCTTTCGTCAGATTGTGCACTTGTTCTGTAGCTTCTCCTTGGCTCGGCCGGACCGGGTGGCATGCGCACCAATGATCAGCATCGTTTATAACCTATTCTGTTTGGATGGTCCACCGAGCGTCTCTTCCCCAGCCCAGCCAATTCGCATGAAGTAGTAATTTCTTTTACCCCACATTGGAACATTATTTTTTTTTTAAGTTAGACCACCGGAACTGCGGGGAAGAAGGAAATCCATCGGAGCCTTTTGAATATCGCCATTATCTGCACTGTGCTCGCATGGGCAACAAGATGCACAGAAGATATATTCTTGACAATGAGTGCACACTTACCACCTAATGCCCGTCATGAGATACTCAGCGCGTCTTCAAATGTTCTCCACGGACAAAGTACGCGGCGATCGCGCCGGGCGCCCCTTGCATGCCAGCATTGTCGACGTAGGAAGGTACGCTGTAATCTGGCGATAGAAGGCGCACCGTGTGTCAATTGCCGCCTGGACGGCTTTGCCTGTGTCCTTCCCCCAAGAAGATTGCCTCAGTGCCTTAAACCAAGGCGAGGAGGTGACAGCAGTCACCCAACTACGGCCAGGCTTGACGACGGGGCCCAGGATGTAAACGACACTAGGGAACAGGGGGAGGATAATAACACAGCCGGTTTGAAGCAGGCGCCACGTCATATTCGAGGCTCCGGTATAGTCTACTTGCCCGAATTCATCGTTGTTGTATCCTAGTCGCTCACCCATCGCAGGTGGCAGTGATTCAATCTCCTCGACATTAGTCCCCTATGCATACTACCCCTACCTAATTGCCCCCAACCTGCATCGTCTTCCACCATCTGATATTACCTTCCTGGACTCCCAGAAGTGCTTCAGTGTACCGTTCGGTGAATTTCTCGAGACACTTATTTCGCACTACTTTCTCTATGTGCATCCTTGCTTGCCCGTTATTAATGAAGCTGAGTTCTGGCCTGTATTTCGACAGCGAGAACGAGGCAAAACCTTTTCCTTGCTGGTATTCCAGGCGATGTTATTTGTCGCAAGTAGCGTATGTCTTCCTCCAAACCACATATACCGCAACTGACAATAGTCCAGTATCTCCCCGTCGAATATGTGAATAGAAGCGGTGCGCAATCAATAATTGCTCTCCGGGATACTTTCTATAGGCGCGCGAAGGTACTGGCACCCACTGAACTCTCATGCCCTCACGGCTTGCCCTGGAAGGAAGGTCTAAAAGCATGACCAGTTGATTTACGATTTCGAACTCGAGAACGATCAAGCTCGGCTTTGTCAAGCTGCAATTCTGCTCACGTATCGGTGCTCCAGCACAGATCGCCTTAGCAATACGACATGGCTCGCACTTGGGATCCAGCATGCCCGTGCAGTGAAGGCCCATGTCTATCACCGTTACCCTGCCAATGAAAGAGCTGTGTGCGTTACGCTGAAACGTCTATGGTGGTGTTTAATTTTGCGGGATAGGTTACTCTCTTTGGGAGTGCGACGAGCGCTCCAGATCCTCCCATGTCACTTTGACGTATCATCACATTCTCCTCTCATGTATGAAGACTTGGAAGATGAAGTCCAAGCCTCGGAGGTCTACGACGCTGCTACTAAAAAAAGACTGATCGAAATCGTAACGAGCCAGTGCCAGTTAGCTGAAACGATGACCTTGCTACTGATGACGGTCTACCCTCCAGGTGACCACGAAAACGTTGGACAAGGCTTAGATCTAATCCCAGCTCGAACTGATGATCTTAAAGAGCGCCTCCAATTCTGGGAATCAAACCACATGATTCAGGTCGATCCATCCGACGGGCAGTCGCACCACGCAGTTGTCTTCTATTGTCAATTAACCTCTTTATACTATCAGTAAGTGCTACAGATGCCATGGTAACGCGGGTTGGTTCGCTAATATATATTCTCTCCGTTCCTACCAGATCCGCTCGCCTCGTACTGTATCATTATATATCCTTTTGCCATTTCGCTCAGAAGAACCCGGAGCCCACTGCCCAGGGTCTTGAAGACCCGGACCTCGACTTAATGGACGCTTTGACAACGATGAATGAGAGAGTCAAAAGGTTTGTGATCGACGGCACAGCAGGTCAATTACCCATTGGCGTTGTCGCATACACCGTTGCCCCGCAGATACTGCTCAACATCAACCTCCGGCTCTGTCGGAACGACATCGAGAGACAACGTCAAGAGCAGCCTCTTCGGTTTTACACCGAGATCTCTCGCCTTTACAACATACGCTACGATGTCGCATATGTCTCCTCCTGGATCCGACATATAGTCCGTGTTTTTGACTTTCGTATATCCCACGGGGGCTTGGAACTCTTGAGACAGCGAAACCCGCCGGTCGATACACCATCTCAGTCAGCAATGGCTACCGCGAATCGATGTTCGAAGGGTGGACTGTCTGAACTCCTCAGTCGTCAACCGTCTGTCTATTTTGAGCTTGTTGCTATTGTAGACTATTTTATGTCAACCGGCCGCGGGGCCTTTGAAGCCCCCAGTGCCTTTCCTGTCCTTCCGTCTATCCAATGCCTGCCTCTATATCAGGAGCCTAACCTGCCGCTGTCCTTGCCTGTCGCAGAGTTGGCCGCCGAGCAACCCCTGGCTGAACACCCTCTACCGTGGCCGGATATGGAAAATTTGGATGAGGAGGTATCAGAAGCGTGGGACTCAATCTCGTTAGACGGAATGTGGTTAATCCCAGGCTCAACTGCGAGTGCCGCAGTGATGGCCTCTGATAAGGAGGGAGTACAGATGGATGATCTGCCGTTTCCTGATGAAGATCCGATTTGTACTGATAGTATATGGCGCGATCTAGGTTTATGTGGGGAGTAGCGAAGAATGTGCATTAGTATCTATTTCCTGGTTGCCAATGTGAATGTTTACTCCACACAACACAGCTCCGGCTGACACTGGTAGCAATCCCGACAAAACAAGACTTCAGAAGCCTAATTAATAATCTGCCCTTGTGGTAAATACGTCCAATTTCCAACCGACACCTCAAACTCCCCATTCACACTTCCCTCTCGGCCATTTGTCGTTGCATAAGGACCTACTAACGTCCCCGTAAAGCCCGCACTCAGCTGGTCTCCACGCGCGACCCCGTATGTCTGCAGGAGATGTGTAGCACCCTGTGGCCCCGCAGCGAATGAGTAGTGTGTCCAGTTAAACGCTTTAATTTCCAGAGTCACCGGTGTGTCGATAGACATATACGATGGGAACCGGAACACCGTCTCCGGGACAGAATTCCCCGACATCCCACGAAAACGAAAAAAGGGTGCAAGTTCACCGGCAGTCTCGGTCTTGTCTCCCTGTGGAAGGAGAGCGATTCCCAGGTCAAAATGATATGCCTCCGTCAAGAATACGCTGATGCCCACCTCATCCTCCTTATCACGCAGAGTGGAAGTGTTAATGTCTAGGAGATACGTGAAGAGACTGTCTGTTTGACGTCGGCCGATGAATGTCTGGCCCTTACCGCCGGTGGATCGTCCATCGGTAGAGGTCAGATTGAACACGGACGAACGAAGTACCAGTGCGTTCTCATACCCTGGCGGCGATACGAGATAGGTATCCGGCGTTGGCAGTCGCCAATGTATCAAATGCAACGGCAATGTCGAGTTCGGCGGGAAGGTAAGATGATCAGGGCTGTCGACATAAGGGCTTACCGTCGGAGACAAGGACGGGGTCCGAAGCGAGTTCCCATCCGCTGGTGATACCGTGTACATTCTGAAGGATCGGCCACTCGCCCTTTTCCCACGTAACGGGGGTCAGAGCTGTTTCCCTTCCCATTGGATAATTTTCGAAATCAGGTCCAGAGCGTGTTGACAGCGCGACTGCCCACCAGCTGCCCTGGGTATCCTGGAACAGATCAGCGTGTCCCACTGCTTGAAAAAAAGCCGTGGTATTCGCGTTGGTGAGTACGGGATTGTGAGGCGCGGGCTCATAGGGTCCGTTGATATTTCTGGACCGCGCCATGGTCACCATGTGTCCTTCTCCTGTGCCACCTTCGGCTAACATTAGGTAGTAGTAGTCGTCCTTCTTATACAGATGCGGACCCTCTGGTGCCAAGCCCCCCGTGCCATTCCATGGGTTTGTCCAAGGTCCTGTGTCGCCTGTCTGTAGGTTAATCGTGGCAGTTTGGATCCCAGGCCAGACCTTATATTCATGACTTCCTGTTACATAGACCTGCCCATCATCATCCCAAAACAACGAGGTATCGTAACCCCCAAAGTCAAAATGTACGGGGTCCGTCCAACTATCTGAATCAAAGGGATCATCTGTGCTTATCACAAAATTGTCCCAACGCGATTCATCGTCAGACGGCAAATCATCAAACACCAGCGTCGTACTAATCCAAAATCGACCTCCCCCATGTCCACTTCCATTGTTCTTATTGCCGCTCTCTTCTCCACGGTACCTAAGTGTGGGTGCCCATATCCCACTGGTGTCCTTGATGGTCTCCGCCAGCTTCGGCAGCATCTCGGGCCTCGAGATAGCATTTCCAATCAGCTTCCAGTTCCGCAAGTCTTTCGAGGCGTGGATTGGTATCCCGGGAAAGGCATTGAAGCTGCTCGAGGCACAGAAGTAGGTATTATCCCAGGATGGAACGAGTATGCAGCTGGGATCGGGATGGAACCCTGGAAGAATTGGGTTGCTGTAAGTGCTGTTCTGGTGATTGACATGGCCCAAGGCCAGACTGCCCATCAGCACGAATGCAACGAATGTTTCTGCCATGTTAAGGTGCGATGGGGATTATGACAGATGGTGTAGATTCCATGGGACAAGGGTTGAAAAATATGCAAGTCCCCTAGGTGAATCTCCCTTCTACTTTGTGGTTGGTGGACTATCTTAAGAGTCGGTCAAGGGCTCCAGGCTCCCGAGCAGAGGTCTATTGTGTGAGGCCGTGCACCATGGTTGGCTCTAGAGGCTATATCGAGACCAGCGGTGCTTCGCGTTTCCTATTCTGGCTTCCAGGCCCTAAGACTTGCATGGTCAAGTTAGCCCTATCCCTCCATGTCCAACAGAACTGCGGGGTAGATGTGCATTTATCCAGACCCCGCATTGAGCGATCTGATCATTCTTTTCGGCAGGAACAAGCTCAATCATGGAAGGTTACTGGAACATATACTATTCGTGGGATTTCCTGCCCGTAGCCTCTGGTACTAATGCAGGAAGAAGGGCTGCAAGTGCCGTTCGCTTCGCTTTCTAGGCGCCATCTCCCCTCGTAGAATAGCTGCTAAAAGGCCCAACAGCCCGAAGGCCTTGCACGACTATGGCGATGTATTGCAATAGTTCTGGTCATTTGGTGAACACCAACTATGAAGCTCAATTCTGCTCTGTTATACATCGCCCTCCCGATCTTGCAAGCGGTCGTAGCATGGCAAGTACCCGAGGAATATGCCATAGCTCCGTCCTCCAATGGCCGGTTCCTACAGGAACTTCATGGAAAACCATTCTTCTGGCAGGCGGACACGGCATGGCTGTTATTCCATCGCCTCAACTTCAGCGAGGCTGACCTATACCTGTCGGACCGAGCGAGCAAGGGGTTCACGATGGTTCTAGCCGTTGGCTTCACCCAGGCAGGTATCGACAGTCCCAACCGCAATGGCGACCTGCCATTTATAGACGAAGACGTCACAAAGCCCAACGAGGCCTACTGGGTTTACGTCGACTCCATTGTCGAGCTGGCATGGAGTAAAGGCATCCGAATCTGCATGGTCCCTGCATGGGGTAAATATGTGCACGGTAACGGTGCGTCCTCAGCCACAAGGTCTTTACAACACAGCATAGCTTGATCTAACCCGCACTAGACAATTCGGGCAGTGTACTTAACACGAACACCGCATTCACCTTTGGCAGATTCATCGGCCAGCGATATCCCTACCTTCCCAAGACCCTTGTCGGCGACACAAACCCCTACTGGCTAAACAAAACAGCCGTAAAGGCAGACTATACAAACGGCGGTGCTCCTCCCACTTACGAGGTCATTGACTGGTCGCCAGTTTACGATGACTTGGCCAATGGCATTGTCGCTGGCGAGCGACAGGCTATCGCAGAGACATCTACCCAGAATGCCACGACTTGGTGGCCACTGATGTCGATCCACCCGACAAACCAATGGTTCACGGGCGGGCCACTCGCGCTCGCACACGCGTTCTTCGGAGACCGGGCATGGCTCACCTTGGACGCCAGCCAATCTGGTCATGCAGACTACCCGCCAAACCCTCCGATCCCTTGGTGGAATTGTCGACGCGGCTGGGAGCCCGTCGAGCTCATGTACGCGGCGGGATCGGTACCTGGGGGCCGCGTGCGGCCGGTCATTGATAATGAGGCGCATTACGAGAACCGATATAATAATGGCAATAGCAGTAAGCCTGTTTGGAATGCAAGCGATGTGCGAATCGGAAGCTGGCAAGCGGTATGCCTCACACCTACCGAACGGAAATCTGATCTTGTTGTCGTCGGGGACGACAGAAAGCAGCACTGACGAAAGAATAGGTCTTCTCGGGCGCAGTGGGCTTAACTTATGGGGCGAATGCCATCCAGCAGTGTGCGATTCCTGAACGTTTCGCATCCGATGGCAGTGGGCCAAGTGAGACCTGGCTGGAGGATCTAGTTTTACCGGGATCCAGCCAGATGCAGTGGATCAAGAAGGCAATGTTGGATAGAGGGAATACGACGTTCTTCAGGCGTGTGCCAGCACAAGACATCATCGTGGGAAATGCTGGTTCGGACGATAAACGGGTCACAGCGACAAGGGATAGTGGTGGTGCCTGGATCATGGTGTACACCCCCACGGGGAAGCCGTTCCAGGTTGAGACGAAGAGTCTGGGCTCTTGCAACGTGCAGGCCAGCTGGTATGATCCGTTACGTGGCACGTATAGCAGACTGGGTTATATACAGTGTGGAGGAAGCGCGACTGTCCAGCCGTTTACGCCGCCTACCACAGGAGAACATGCAGACTGGGTGCTCGTCCTAGAAGTAGTCCACTAGTTGACGGCGTGGCTTCGTTGAGCGATCTCAGCTTTAATCCTCACCATGTTGTGAACGGAGTATATGCAGTTTCCCAGATCTTTCTGCGACTGTTGGATATGAAATTCTTGGCTTTGTGCGCTCTGTGCAATAGTCCTACATCTCGCAGCCAGCAATAGAAAGGCATAGCCTCAAGCTCAAGGCGTTTAAGCCAATGAGAAGTCGTCGAGCTCGTATATCATCTTTATCGCCACTAGGTCAGATACTACCATGTTGTATACAGCTAACTCTGTTACCGTGTACTATAGATCTATGATGTTTATCAATTTCTCTCTTTCTCTCTACGTTATTTAAATCGCCTCACTATTTATAGATCTTCGGCAGCTGGGTGTCAAGTAACCCACTGCGGGTCGATCGAACTAACCCGCAAGGAATGCTCTGAAGTATGCTCGGCAGGGGCTCGTCGTCAGAGTACTTAAGGCTTACATCGCCCTTGGGTAGGTAGTGCTTTCTATTGAACTCCCTGCTGCTGACCGTTGCTTACAACCGTGCTTTCACTACTGATCTTTCCCTCCTCAATACAATTTCTATCGATTACATAAGGATATTTATAACAAGCTTAACCGCACACAGGATGAAATTCGCATGGACAGTTCTTGCTATCCTTCTTGTGGGGGCTTCAGCTGCTGATCCCGAATCGTGTCCTGGGGATGTAAGACTCTACACTGACAAGCAAGTCTCGGATTCAAATGCTAACTCGAGTTTCTGAAATTTATAGAACCAAGAATTTACGGATTGTGGGACCGCTTATCCTCCTACTTGCAGCTCACCTCCTGACGAGATTTGTACAATGCAATGTATTATAGGCTGTCAGTGTAAAAAGGGCTATGTACTCAACGAAGTGAGTATCACGGGATGGTTAGATATCAAACACAACAGACTAATTTCCCCTGAAATTATAGCGCGACCAGTGTGTGGCCCTGAGTGACTGTCCGGCAAGTGAAACGGGGCCTTAGGATCTCAACCTAAAAGCTTGGTACTGCTGAGTAGGCTAGAATTGTGCGGAGGCTGCATCTGTGCTGGGAATATAAGGTAGCGGGACCCTATCAAGCTACAGTCATTCTTATTTCTACGTAATGCGCATGTTACCTGACGCATAGTTCGGTGTCTGCAGTGGGTGCTCGTTCTATAGGCGACAGGAGATGGTACCCTCCTGTTCCTTTTATACCTCGACTGTGTGTCTTCCTGTGTGGAATCCCACATCATGAGACAGGGCTTGAGCCAGATACACAACACAGAGTCAGACAATAGAATCCAACCCGACCCAGCGAAGCCTCAAGGCTATTAATCTAATTCAAAGTAACGATTAGCCATGGAAATACGATGCCTCATGTTGCACGCATTGCTACTATTCTCCATGACTGTGTTCAGTTGCCACCGAGGCTACTACTTGTCGATACGACCTACCCCTGCCATTGACATCAACTCCGGTCATTCCGAGTATCAAATAAATTGCCACGCAGGTTTCTCGCGTATTCCAGAAAAATTCACATTATATAATATTGGTAACTTTATCAACAATTACGACTAAGCCCACACATATCCCAGCCCCGGTTCCACCGTGAATTACAGTTTTGGAGATACAGGATTGGCCTCCTCGAGATATCCCCGGACACACCATTTCAGCAGTATTGACTTGCGATGGATATTAATTCTTGGATTCCCAGCAGCGAATGTGCCCGTGACTGAGCTGAACCAACTTGCCCTGATTAAGGCTGACCCAGGTTTGCTGTGCGTTGAGCTCGGCATTCACGTCGGGCTGCTGAACAATCTTGCAGTGGCTCGTCTGCTGGAACTTATTGAACTGGGCACTCGAGGCAGTAACAACGCCTTTGACGGTCACATCGGTATGGCCCCAGAGGCTCTGGATGGAGCGTTGATTGCCGTCGGTGGGAATATCAACGTTGGCGTTGGCGCCAGACTGCTCGTTGCTGAGCTGAACGGTCACCGACTGAACGTCGGTAGGGCTAGCGATGACACTGGAGGTGGTGGCCATGAGGCCCAAAGCAAGTGGAATAAACCGCATTTTGGCAGTATGAGGTGGAGAGAAAGGCGTGAGATGTATCTAGTAGATAATCCTGATTGAGATTAAAGCTTCTGGTCACTGTTTGGAGTAGATTTTGAGCATAGCTTTCACCGGCTTTATATACATTTTCGTGTTGTATAGACCGGAGAAGAATGGGGATTGTCTGTTTGAATTGATCTCGGCTCGATGTCATCGGGTGGAGTTGATCCATGGATTGCGAGCTGTAAATACGAACTGAGCGCCCAGCCCTCGCCGGATGCGGACATAGCCTCCTCTCGGCTCCCGCCGAACGAACGGTACAGTTTAGCTGCAGTTCATGCGTCGTTACTGGTGGTCTCCCTCGCCAAGCCGTGGATATTGTATCCGGTCCGCATAGCTCTTGTCAGATGATGCACGATCCATATCTACATCTGTTCTAGTGGTTAAAGCAAATCACTCGACTCGAATCTTTGCTTCATGGCAGCCAGGTATTCTCGGCGATATTTGTTCTAGATTCGCCTGTCCATAATGCAAACCATGAAACACACGAGCTGGCCTTACCTAGAGATGAAAGTTACCTTAAGAACTCGCCTTCTGTGTCATGGCCGTGTATGGTGTCGTCACTTCACTCTCATCTGTATCCTGGCAAACCATGCAACTGTGACAATGAACTCTGATTGTCAGTTCGACCTTGATGCTTGCCCATATAGCGATCAAATGACGTACCAGCTATGTATCCATAAGGCCTGGTGTCCCTTGATCGGGCATGGTACGTGACTCCGCAAAAACGGTATATAACAAGCTCAGAGGCTCACTGATACAGCTAAAGCTATGGCAACATCTCTTCCCTTGGTAGCAGACCTCTTCTGATGGCACCGTAGCATTCCTCTTCAATCTGGGTTTGGCTGGAAGGGCACTGACATACTTCGTGGAGACTCCATAGCTCGGTGTCAAATCATTTGAATGCCTACTCATCCGATTAGTGCAATATCGCAGCAAATGAACCCCTCTATGGTGGCAAGCACGGCTTCGTAGATCGCCGACAAAACTCAATGCTGAGCTAGCTCTCAAGCATACAACGTTACTACAATGCGATTGCATTCACGAGGGTACCCAATTCTTCCTCTTGATCATTCATTTGATCCAGGAAGCCTGTACGTAAAAGGTTGACAAAAAGAAGAGAATGTTCTACCCCAGACTACCACTTGTAAGCATCTCCGTTCAATACAAGAAGCACTCTACTGTCTTTATTGGCCTCATTGCAGCCGTTACTGCTTCCATTGTGACCGCCGTTACACACCCCGCGGAACGCATCAAAGTCACGTAATCCGAATGAATGCTAAATAACGGTATACCAGACAAGGATAGTACCGAGCATGCGAGTTGAAGCAGCGCAGACTGCTCGATGGGTACAAAGGCATGTACACGATGAAATGATGTAAAGCGGGCCAATACGAGCCCTACCATGTGGAGCCATCTTGGTTAAAGAACACCTTCCACATCGCGAATCCCGAACCATGGGACCTGCCGGTTCGTACCAGACAGCGATGAACCTAGAGATCGAGAAGGCGTTCTACACTGAATCGATGGCCACATCTTCCCGTGTGTGGGTACCAAGGATCGCCTCGTTGGGATCAGCCAGTAGCTACTTCAGCGTGTCCGGAACTGGAAGTGAGCTTGCCAGGTATGACGGATATTCAGATAGGATTGTACAGCTGACATTGGATCACTATTTCCTCCTTCCCTCCTGTTGTGAAATGTATTGTAGCTCTTGGCGCTATGCAATTGTGTTATACAATAATGTCTGCTCTAACTTTCCGTTGCTTGTTCCCTGCCAACTGCTGGCCAATATTGTTCCACCAATGATGTTATATTTAACCTAGGGCTTGTATACTAGTACATACGTTTAGGCTATATGCTGCTGTTCGGGCGTGTTTAACCCGACACCCGAGAGCAGCGTTGTCCGTCAATTTAGCATGAAGGTTTTAAACTAAGTACTCTTAGTATTCCCCGCAAAAGAACGATTGTGGGCTACATTTCCCCGCATTATTCAGAAGTGGAATGATGTACTGGATAAACAGTCACCAAGGAGCTGGCGATGCCACCTCAATGCCACCACGGCAGCGAGACTCACCAGAACCTGCACTATGGGATTCATTTTGAACATCTTGGGAACTGTCATACTGGTCGTGGCGACTACTGTCCATGCAGCTGCAGCAAGCAAACCAGTAATCAATCGCCAAAATGTCGTCCGTCGATATAACCCCATCCGTACGAACCTATCTACCACAACCCCCATGCAGGTCGGCAACGGCAACTTCGCATTCGGGGCCGACATCACGGGTCTGCAGACATTGCTCCCATTTAACATACTCTCTTCCTGGTGTTGGTGCAACGACTCTCTACCAAGAACCCCCGGCCAAACGGAACCGTCAGACTTTACCGGTCTGGACTGGTGGACGCATGGTCGCCTTGTGAATTATGATATCCCGAACCCGGCCGAGGCAGAGATCTCGCAGTGGCTAATTGCCAATCCCCATCGGGTCAACCTTGGCCGGGCTGGGTTCCTATACAAAGGAGACAGTATCTCTATTGATGATGTCACTGGAGTGAGTCAGAGTCTTGACCTGTATAGCGGAATCTTGACTTCGGAGTTCACTCTACATGGACAAAGGGTTTCGGTTACTACTGCTGCTGACCCATCCTCTGATATCGTCGCTGTTCATGTGCAATCGTCGCTGTTATGGGATGGAAGCTTGGGTGTCTTTTTCGACTACCCATTGACCACCGGAGCCAATAAGTTCGAGGCCCCATTTGTGGGCAACTGGACGGTAGTATCGGAGCATACAACGGTCTTGAATAACATTACAGCAAAAGGGTGTGTCATTAGTCACTCGCTGGGGGGTGCAACGTATTATAACACCATTCAATGGGAACAGACGGGCAATATAACCGGTCCGTTCAAGGGGACACACCGATATCTACTCCAACCCACTGGAGGGACGAATCAGTTCACTTTTAGTACAGAGTTTTCAGCATCCACCAGAACCAGGATCAAGCCATTCGCAGCTGTCAAGAAGGCCTCCACACAGTGGTGGGCTCAGTACTGGGAATCCGGGTCATTCGTGGATCTGACGGAGTCGGGGTCTTCAGACGCAGAGGAACTGCAGCGACGCATTATTCTCTCCCAGTACCTGCTCGCCGTGAACAGTGCCGGCAAAGATCCCCCGCAAGAGTCCGGTCTCCAGAACAATGGCTGGTACGGCAAATTCCACCTGGAGATGGTTTTCTGGCATCTGGGCCACTGGGCGCGATCCAATAAATGGGATATACTGAATCGTAGCCTGGGTGTGTATGACCGGTTTCTCCCCTCGTCTATCGAACGTGCCGAAAGGCAAGGATACGCTGGTGCGCGACTGGGCAAGATGAGTGATCCGTCGGGGGCATCGGCTCCTGGGTCGCAAAACGCGCTCCTTATCTGGCAGCAACCGCATCCGATGTATTTTGCTGAGCTAGAGTATCGCGCGTCGCCGAGCGTGGAAACCTTGGACAAGTGGGATCGTCTTCTGGATGAGCTCGCGACGTGGATGGTTTCTTATGCGTGGTGGAATGCGTCCACACAAGTGTATGACCTCGGTCCGCCAATGTATCCATCATCGGAGAATACGAGTCCTAATTCAACATACAATCCGGCCTTCGAGCTGGCGTATTGGCGGTTTGGTTTGAAAATTGCCTCAGACTGGAAGACTCGGCAGGGCATATCTGTCCCTGAGTCTTGGACTCGAGTGCTCAATAACCTTGCGTCACTTCCTATAGTTCATGGTGCATATTCTATCTGTGCTGATCTGCCGGATATGTGGAATAGGAGCAGCTATACATCAGATCATCCCAGCCAGATTGCCGTTTATGGGCTCCTACCGCCAACCACGGGTGTAGATCCATTAACTGTGAACGCTACCATGAATCTCATTGCCCAGACCTGGAACTTCACTGCCTCTTATGGGTGGGACTTTCCGATGCTAGCAATGACATCGCTCCGGTTGGAAAATGTTGCCCAAGCTATTGAGTACTTACTACACCCGAACTTCCAGTTTGATGATGTGGGTAATCCTGTGGGAACAGTGGTTCCAACCCCGTATTTCCCAGCCTCGTCAGCCTTGTTGCTTGCCATTGCGATGATGGCTGGGGGGTGGGATGGTAAGGAAGGAATGCATTTTCCCCAGAGGTGGGGTGCGAAGGTTGAGGGTTTTAAGGCGGGGATATGAAGACTATATATCATCTACGTTCGTTTATTTCATGGTCCTGTTGTCCCTAGAAATGCCATTCGTCGTGGAGGCTTCGAAAACCCTGAGATAATATTCAATATCCCTGACAATAAGTAGATAGTCATTCGTTAGGATAACGCCCGCATGCTTCGCAACGATAGATCCACTCTGAGATATCAAAAGCTAAATTCATACAAAAGGTTTATCTATCTCAATACAGAGTGCATCCTCTGCATAGAGATGGGGCCGAGATTTCCCATCCTTTAGCAACTGCACCCACAAGCCTTACAACCCGTCATAGCACAATCGGAATCTCCTACCCCTGGCATACAATCTTCGGCAGTAGTACAAGAAGTCCAAGGACCAGTTCCTCCCTTATGGGCCAGCCAGCACCATTGACCATTGCCATTGCATCGTTGCCAGCACCACCTATCCTTTGAACAACCGTATGGGGATTGAGTCCAGCATTTCTGGGCAGCAAAGACGTTGGCCAATTGCTTCGCAGCTGGGGTATCGTCCGCAATTTCGTCGCCTCTGGGAACAACACGAGCAAGCACGGTGCTAGGTAAAGCGGTGACAAGGAGGAGACCGATGTCGAGCTTCATTGCTGCTGGCTTGTAGTCATCAGTAAGAATCATTGTACTGATGAGAGAATTACATACATATGCTTAAAGATCAGTCTATCGAAGGAATAAGAAGTGTAGATGTTCTAAGGAGGTAGAAAGGGTTACTCCTAGGTATAAGCGGGAGGAAGCACTATATATATGTATTCTTTCTATAGGCTGTCTTGGTCTTTTGACAGTACGCGACAAGCCAACCCCAGGTGCTTAAGTCATTCAACTAAATTAGTTAAGAGTCTGACAACCAACAAATGCCACGGACTCCAGGGGCCGATTGGAAGATACCATTCATAGCAGGGCTTACACACTCTAGATTGACTTAGAGGTTGTGATCCCTGAACACTAGCTTGCTTAGATACATGCGTAGTATCTTACCGTAGGCATGACGGGTCGGGGGATGCAGGAATAAAGCCACCAGGAGGCTCACAGCGAAAGAGGACACTAGCATATAGCTAGTTACCGGGATTCTGTAGTGTGGGAATCATATAATATCCTAAATTTGCTGTCATTGCCATGTAATATAGCTTGCACTGCCGTTCTGGAAGCAACCAGGCATAAGCTTGCCCACTGCTGCTTCAGGCATGTATCACAAGGGAATACCGATCCATAGGGTACTTGTGTCCCTTGTCCAAGGAGACAGGATCTGTTTCCCTATGTTATATCAACTGTATCTCACGATCAACACTCTAACCCGAGCGGCCGAGGGTCTCAAGCACTGGTTCACACACCTGGACCTCCGGCGGAACGGGAGGATTCCTAGACCCTGCATGTCTCAGCCTCATGGACTTTTACGGATGACTCTCTAAGGTTGGAGGATGAAACCTTTACCTTGCTCACAGGAGACTACAATTCATAATTATCTCGGCGGAAATTACTATCTAACAAGGACCATGATACAAGATACAAGTGAGGTGCTGATATGGAGATTGACATTCCTGTAGGCATCCAAAGCAGCGTCGTGTCTGTGGTATTCTACCCAAGTGAAAGGGTGGCAACTCCCAGGCATGCTAGGTTACGTCGTTGAGATACCCCTGTTCAACGTGGGACTAGGACATCTTTCCCATAGGCTCCTGTTCGAGCAGCTCCGCTCTCTCTCTCTCAATATTGGGTGATTCAACAAACAAACAGGATTGGTTCTAGGACTGACTTGCGGGTGCCCGCCCCAGTTATCGAAAAGAAACCGGGGCACTGATGCATCCGATTGTTAACTAGGTTGGAAATGGGCGCCATACATCTTGTACCATCATAATAAAACGTTGCATTGGCCTTGATTGATTCACCCCTATTTGCTGACCATGTGCTCTATATTCAGAAAACACTTATCCATGACACGACTTTTTTAATCATAGCGTCTGGGATACAAAGTAAGCTCTATGTGTAGAATATAAGATGTCACTGAGTCCACATACCTAGTTAGGTAATTAGTGAGTGCATCATGTCGCATAGGGCAAATTGGCCGATCTCCCTTCGGCGAAAAATTTAAGGGACAAGGCCTATAGTCGCCGATCGCCGATTCCTGCTCTGTACGTCGTCCATGGAAATTGGGATCAGCGACAACCCTGTCAACTAAGTCGTTTTACCCCTAGGTGGGAGACTAGTCTAATGATCCTTGTAGGTTCCACTGTTCTATACAGATAGGGAAGACCACTATGTCTCTATAGGGAACGGACTTGGCGTCCGAGACCACACCACTAACTATATTAGCACAGATTCCTCCTTGACCTGCTACTTACTCACAGATTTAGGAAAGATATTGAGTTGGATATGACTGAATATAATGTCCTAGGGTTCTAGAGCGCTTCGTCCAGACTTAGGTATAGTGATTGCTAATTTGTATATTTCTAGTGGATAAAACCAAGAGAGACCCACACTTTCGACCCTTGAGGGTCTCGCGACCAGGCAAACGTCGTGCCTCGGCCAAAAAAAAAAAAAGATTCTAGTCAGGCATGGTGACGGGGATTGTTTCTATACTGTTAGTACTGCGCCTCGCATCGCCGAGGATATCTAATGGACTACATAGTGTGAATACAAGGGTCCCATGCACTTAACGTGAGTGGTCTCTGTCAATTACATGACCAACGTGCAAGGAAGCTTTTTGGAGGCTATGCCTTGGCTACTTTACTCTGAGCTTAGCCAGACTAGAAATATGGAAAAGCATTCGCATAGGTCTGTATACAGCCCAATCTTTGTATGCACGCTTGTTGTGGCCTAGCGCTATTTATTTCCAGAGTATATTAATTATTGGGCCTTCGGCTATTTCTCGGTTAGTCCAGGCTACCCCTGCTCTCCTGCGACACCTGCGCTGCGCCGCACCGTGTACTATCTGTTAGTGGTCCCGATAATGTCACTATTGCATCCCCTAGCCATTCTGACTGCATGAAGTGGAGGTTACTAACCTGCGTCCACGTATGCTGTTGGTGGCTCAGGTAAAGCGGCGTGCCATGGGTGAGACAGAAACGTTATTAGGACAGTCTGACCATGGAAATGCCTCAAGTAATCGCACTGGATTATACTCATACACGACAGAGTGGACCCTGTACATACCCAACTCTGAAATACTAGAGATTGTGAACTGAGCATACCCCTAACTTGTCAGTATGGCCTTTAGCAAATCATCCATTCATTGATACGAGAAACCACTACAATGCAACAAGGAAAGGAGCCAACCAGAGGAGATATATATAATAGCTTTTGGACTACCAAGGCGTATCATCCTCAGTGGCCATTCGATGAGTATCCGAATGAGTCTCGACGAAGTCGACAATATCCTTCAGGGCAGACTTCGGGCCACTCTTATCGTTATACTCCTCGGTTTGATATCCATAAATCAGCCCATCAATACCAGCTTCACCCAGTAGATACCTCACCATTTCAGTATCGCCTTCGGCGCTAGTCCAGCTAAAGACCTTTCCAAGTTTCCCTTGGTCGCGCTTCCAACTTCCATACCGAAGCTGTGGATAGATGTCGACGCCTTTTCCCAGCCACGAATCACCAAAATCCATAACCATCTGCTTGACCGGTATACCATTCCCCGTGCTACTGTACAAGTGGAGGACAGTATTCGTCTCGCCACTCAAAACGACCGCTTCATTTGCGTTCAGACAGTCCCTGATCACCGTAAACCCGCGACTCTCCGCTGTTTCGAAAAAGCCATATAGTACCCGTATCCCGACTGGTTCGAGGATCTCCCGAGCTAAATCCCGCAGGCTTCGATAGACAGGCGCGGTTTGTGCGGCAAAAATCAGGGTTTTTAATGTCCAGCCATACGAAGGAAATATTGTAGTTGTTCGTCCACCGTTTCTCCGCGATGAACCGGAAGAGGTCTCGCGCTGTAGCGCCCGCACTGAATAGCTTCCCGTCGTGGTCTGCCCACCAGTCGAAGTACCAGGCTGTAAGGTCAACCTCTAATGCGTTGGCACCGTGAGACAGTGCAGCGGTGACTGCTTCGTTTCGTAGGACTCGGTGTGCGACCGCGTAGATCGGTCGTTGGGTTGCGGAGGCGAGTGTCTGGTTGAGTAAGTGGAGGGCACACAGAACACCAACAAGTGCCGACTGAAATTGCATAATTGAATAGACAGGGGAATCACGCATGTGGAGGGGTCCTGAATGATAAGGCTAGAGGCTGGGTATAGTCATTATATCCAACGTCTAGCAGCTTGAGGTCTGATTGTCCACACCCAACGGGAATTGTACTGTCGGTCTTCGAGCGAATGCAGCAAATCCATGGAGTCAGATTAAAACCTTAGCAGACTCAAAGAGCAGGGCAGTCTCTTTGTTTGGGTACCAAGGCATAGCCAGGGCAATCCGTGTGCATTAATATCCGAGTTAAGGCTGATGTCGGGGTGCTTCCATGCGCCTCCGTCCGCGTCTTACCCAAGCCAAACCACCCAGAATGCACAAACCCTCCACAATATCCCCTGCCTATAGTAGTACCCGCTACACTAGTATCCAATGTGTTGCTTCCGAACTAGTGGTGTGAAATGCCCTACCTAATTGGGGCGACCGCATTGATCCTGCTCTTGGCATGTTCGTGCTAATCCAACGGATCCGCAAATCTATTCCGTCTGTGGTAGGGCGCGAAAAGCGCTGGTGGAGAAGCAAGAGCTCGGGGGGCTACTCCGTATTACCGCCGGATATCACTACATATCCGTACTCCTATTCCTATTATACCATGGGGGAAATCTTTAGGAGAAGCAAAGAGATATGGACGCGCCCATCGGTCTCAAAGCATTCCTGGTGAACCCTATACTGCACTAACACTGTAAGAATACCCGAATGCAGCCCCAACTGGGGCCCTTCCCGGGTCGCCGACGGCTGTTCGCCTAGTCGGCCGGACTACCTTAGGTACGTACAGGGTATTCTAGCCAGATCGTGGAGGATTCGCTCCATCTCTGTGAAAATATATAAATCGGAAGACAGTAGGAAGCCTCTGTTGAAGCTCCACCCTTGGTAAACCTCAGTTACAAAAGCACGGGCAATTACAAGTATATATATATATTCCATTCTACAAGGGCATTCACCCAACATTATTTTTTACCCAAAGGAACTCAATTTTAGTATTAGATGACAGAATACCCCCAATTTTTCATGTGTTTGAAGGAATAAAATACTCATACAAGTGTACTCGCGAGCACATGTGCAAAAGGCCTCTCTTAGACATGACCGTTAGCTGCTGTCTGGATATTGTGGCCGCCCCTTGTGTCGCGATATTAATTGGTATGGCTATCCAGAGCTTGAACCTGGCACTGAAGGAAGACAAATGTTAGTTTATTGAGAGTTGTTGAAATCTTAACCACGGGTCTTACCATCTGCCAATATATACCCCTTCTCTGCAATAGTTCAGCATGAGTACCACGCTCAACGATACCCGAACCCTGGCCAGGCTCCCCTTCCCCGAAAACAAGTATCAAGTCAGCCTTCTGAATGGTGGCTAGTCGGTGAGCGACAGCAATTATTGTCATCGTTTTCCTCTCTGCCAGTCGCTCTAGGGCCTTCTGTATAAGCCTCTCGGACTGTGAATCGAGACTGGACGTTGCCTCATCTAGAAGCAGTAGCCGCGGTTTACGGATGAGTGCACGCGCAATACATAGTCGTTGCTTTTGGCCACCGCTGAGGGATAACTGCGCGTTGATGCCCAGGGACGTGGAATAGCTCTCAGGAAGAGATATGATGAAGTCATGAAGTTCAGCATCTTTGCACGCTTCTATCATCCGGGCTTCCATCGACGCTGGAAACTCCCCATTATCCCCCGGTTCGAGGCCCAGGAGAAGGTTTTCGCGAATCGTGCCTTCAAATAGCTTGGGCTCTTGAGAGACCAGGGATAATGCTCCGCGATAGGCGGCAAGTGGGTAGGATCGGATATCCCGCCCTGCGAACTCTATGCTCCCCTTGGTAGGGTTGTAAAATCGCTCCAAAAGAGAGACGATGGTAGATTTTCCACATCCAGATGGGCCAACAATCGCCACATACTGGCCACTGTGAATGCTGAAGTTCATTCCTGTAAAGACAGGTCCACCCCGAGAGGGATACTGGAAGGTGAGATCTCGGCAGCACACATCGGCCTGGTGGAAGGACGGAATACCAGGCATCGGTTCTAGACACTGAGTCCGATCATTGTTTGGCTCATCAGAGCTAGATCTTGTCCCCAGTATGCGGCGTGCAGATGCTGTCGTCTGCGCCATATTAGGACCAAAGCTAAGAAACTGGCCTGCAGCCTGGCCCCCTTGGATAATAGCTATGTAAACCACAAAAAATGCCACGGGGTCATATTCTCGAGAGGCAAGGAGCTGCCCACCGTACCTGAAAGCCGGGTTGATCACATTAGCCTAACATTCGGCAGATAATGAGAGGGAAACAGCAGAAAATTCGGTTACTGACCAGAAGGTAAGCGCCATAGCGCAAAGGTCAATGCTATCAGAAAATGCAACCACGACCGTCGCAAGCCATGCCTTGCGAATAGCCCTGACTCTTTGTTGTGACAGCAGATTAGTGTATCGTTGCAGGATGGTGTCTTCCATCGTGAGTGCAGTAACTGTTCGAAAGGCGCGAATGGCCTCCGTGGCGAACTTGGAGCTTTCGGCGTACACCTCCGCATTCATGCCCTCAAATTGGACTTCATATTGAATGCGAAGATACGAAGCCACCAAGATGAAGGGCAAAGCAGCGAAGAAGGCTACTGCAGCTAATTTCCAGCCGAAGCTGAAGGAGATAGCAACGCATCCTATGAGACTCCAAATCGAGATGAGTGGGAAAATGCCATTAACGCCAAACAGCTCCTGGAGCTGCTTTGGGTCCGTTGACAGCCTGCCCATGAGAGTACCGGAGGAATTTTCTTGCTGGTCATAATATGATACGGGCTTGTGTAAGATGCTCTGAAAGTAGTCTTGGCGATAGTTTGCCGCAATATGCTATTTTTTGTCATGTTAGCTCTTCTCTGAGGACGCCGTCTGGCTCGAAAGATAGATGTCACCTACCACTGACATTGATGTGGAAGCATAGCCTAAGTCGAAATAGAATGCGCCTATCGCGAGGGCAAGAACAAAAAACATTAGAGACCAAAAGTTCGCCGCTTCTTTTAACTTGTCGCCTGTAAACTGAAAGACCTGAACGAGCTTTGCGAAAAGCCAGCTCTGGAACGGAAAGGCAGCTATATCAATACGACGTATGTTAGTTAGTGTATCGACAACGATAGGTCTGTTGAGAGGGATTTGGCAAAGGGACTCTTACACCCAGCACCCATCGTTCCGATGACGGTCAGAGCGAATAGAGGCCAGTGCGCTCTTTGCTCGCGTATGATATTCCATAGGGTACGGAATGCGCCCTGCTCCTTCTTTTTCTTGATGACCGCCTCACTTTCAGTAACCTCGTAACCGTCCGCTGCGTAAGCTTCAATTTTGGTCTCCTCAGGAAGAGTGTAGGAAAGCTCTTCGATTGCTGCAGTAGCATTCGAGGACACAATCTCCAGTTGCTGTGCATGCACGAGGCTGTAGTACACTCCACCATGGTCCATCAATGTTTGATGTGTGCCCTCTTCCGCTTTGGAGCCATCCTTGATCACAATTATATGATCCGCCCGAATGACAGTAGAAAGACGGTGAGCAATCATAATAGTTGTTCGGTCTTTGGACACCCGGTCGAGGGCCGCCTGAACAACCTGTTCAGCTCGTATATCGATTGAGCTCGTGGCCTCATCGAGGATCAGAATTGATGGGTTAGAGACAATGCTTCGAGCGATGGCTAAACGTTGACGCTGTCCTCCACTCAATGTGATACCGCCCTCGCCCACCACAGTATCGTATCTCTACAGCCCCGGTTAGTGACAATAATTGTATGACTGAGGGACTGGAAGGCCGGCTTACCAAAGGGAGTCTGTCTATAAATTCGTTGGCAAAGGCGTCGCGGCATGCGTTGACCACCAAGTCCATCTTCACAGACCCTGGCTCGTGCTCCCATGGGGTTCCTATCAGCCCAAAGGCCACATTGGTAAAGACCGTTTCATTGAATAAAACGGGTTCCTGCTCGACCAGGCCAATCTGTGACCTCCACCATTTTATGTCCAGATCGTTCAGGTTATGCTTACCCACAAGGATTCGGCCCTCGCCCGTTTGACTCTCTGAACAGGCTGTGCCCCGAACCTGATACCAACGCTCGATGAGAGCTACCACGGTGCTTTTTCCGCAACCTGAAGGGCCTACAAGGGCAGTCGTACTGCCTCGCTGAAAATGGGCCGTAAAGTTCCGTAGTACCTGTGTATCAGGACGAGTCGGATAGGCAAAGGTAACTGAATCGAAGCAAATATCCTCCTGGCTGGAAACATCCGGGCTTTGGAGCCCTGTCGTCGTAACGCGATCGGCATCAATTACGTCGAAAAATGGGCCTGAGGCACTCGTGGCCTTGGTGATCGCCATTAGGGGGGACGCGATTCCACCAAGCACAGTGACCACTAACAGAACGGAGAAAAAGACCCTAACAACATGTCAGACTACTCTGAATGGCGAGCACCATGGAAAAGGTTCCGCGTACACAATAACAGTGTTGACGTTTGCGATGTTTCCCTCGCGATATAGCTTCAACCCAAACCAAAAGGCCAAGGCATAACTGCAGTACATAGCGAAGAAAAGCAGAGCTAGATGTATTCCAGTAACAGGACACATCTTGGCGGCACGTTTACGAGCCTCGTTCACCCAGGATGAGTATTTATGAGAGAGTGGGACCTCGGCCCCAAGAGCCAGAACAGTTCGGATCGCGCTGAAAACCTCCGCTGCAACGGCGGCTTGCTTTTCGTCGGCACGATCCACCATTTGCTGTGCCTTGACAATGATGGGAACTGTAATACTGAAAGCCAAAAGCACAAACAGAATAGCAGAGCTAACGACTAAGGTCAATGCCCACGAGAACCGGAAGGCCACAGCATAGGCAGCCACCAAGAGAGCGAGGGACTGGAACAGGATTGCCAAGCGATCAGATACACTCTGCTGGATCGTGTTTGACAACCCTGTGATAGCATTGGTCACCGTCCCGACGGATGTCTCGTCCAGCTTGCGGACGGGCTGGGAGAAAAGCGCCTCCATATATTCCAGGCGTAGCGCTGCTGAGGCCCGGAGGCTGATGACACGGAAGCAGAGCATAGAAAGATATGTAAGCACAAACTTCCCAATGAAGAGATATACAATGTAAAGACTGCGTGTACTATGTTAGTGATTGCAAGATGCGGTGTAGAGAGTTGAACTTGCCTGTTCTTATTCACAGATGCTCTGAAGGCGTCTTCATTGAGCGAGTCACTAGATGTGAAATAGCGATTAAATTCGCCGGTGAGGTTGCCAAATACTATGTTCATTAATGGCAAGGCCTTGTCGCGCTGAGTTAGTGGCAGGCTGCTTCTAGGGGTACCTGGGACCAACATACCACTCCGGAGCCCATTGCACACAACAGGCCAAGCACCATGGGACCAAGGCCACCCCCTCTAGCACCATACGAGAGTATCCTCTGGTAGCTCTGTTAGGGGGTACTCCTTCTCATGTGGGAATTGCTTGATACATACTATATAGCTCTTTAGAGAGGATGAATGTTTCCCACCATCTACCGGGGGCTGCGGCCGGCGGTCAATGTTATCCCCCCCAACATTAGAATTTGCGGGCAAAGAGGACGAGGACTCCATGCTGAGGATGTGTATTGGAGATTCCCGGATACCATGGACAATATTGTGAGAAAGAGAAATGAGCCAGGAGAACCGATGATCCTTCAGAAATAAGCATAAAGACACAAGAAGAGAAGCTCCGCCAGGCAGCTTGGATCACCTGAGGTCCTAATCGACAAGTCTAGACCTACTACAAACTACAGAACGTACATTAGTCTTTTCCAAAGATTGATATTCGGCTTTTCCCGCCCTCCTCAATCCAGATTTTCACGGCTGTTACATTAGCATCCTAGCTTTTAATAGATATTCTTCCTTCCTTTTCCGGCTCTAGAAAAGTAGAGCGATGTAAGCTTAGTAGTGTGCGGGATCGTCGCCATCCCATGGTTCCCAGCAACCTTGATTAGATAGTACCAAGGGACACTTCTGACGGCTGATAAATCCAGCCAGTAGCAACACACAAAAGCACAATAGCAGTCTCCTGACATGCTATTGTGGCTAGAGCTTGCCAGAAAACTTTGATCTTTATTCTCGTATCACCCGGCTAATATATCCACTGCCATGGTCTGGACTAGCCGGTTACATGGCATACTACCATTATGCATCACGAGGTAAATATACAAGCATGAAGGTCCCAATCATTCGAGATCAGCCATTGGCTGAAATAAACATAGAAGGATAAAGATCTCAACTAGGAGACCAGCCATCGAGCTCGTTGACCGAGGGGAACATACAATCATGGAGGTCTACATCGTTCGAGACCAGTCGACGAGCTCATTGATTGAGATGAATATACGAGGATGAAGGTCTGAATCGTTCGAGACCGGTCGTCGAGCTCCTTACTCGGGCTCATGGACTTGGCGCGATTGTATTCTGCAGGTAGCTGCCCTAGATGAGTCCCAAAACGCGTGTATAAAAAGCCGTACAGGATGAGGGCTAGGATAACGAGTACCGTATGGAATAGCTTTAATACTTTCTTCAATGTGAATGAGCTTGGCCGGCTTTCAAATTGCTTTCTTCTGGATTAAATTCGCTACAGTTCTTAAGTCATTTGTTCTACTCCTCCCCTCAAAGGTAGGTACCTCGAGGTACGCTTAAGGAAACATCTGTGTTTTACACCTTAAAGAAGATCAAATAAAGCCAAGAGAAGTGAAAGGAGAAAGGTAGGAAAGAAGAAAAAAGAGAGAAGATTAATTAATTAATACTAGCATTTATAACTCAAATAGCCCTTATCCGGTAAGAAGATGGGCTCCGGAGATTCTAACCCGCATTTCGTCCCCCTTCTAGCACAAAAGCCCGGGGCCATGAAACCTGCCCTACTGCCACTTGATGGCACACCTTCCGCTAATGAGAAAGAAACCCACAAATCTAACACACCCTGGAAGAATTCATTTGCAACGGCCAATGGCGAGAAATATAAGCATGCCGTCCCTGGAGAATGGTTGGAGCAGGCGTCCATAATAGCAGGCCAATGCCATTGCACGGTGAACGACATTGAAGATATATACCCATGTACCCCTCTTCAAGAAGGAATGATGGCGCTCACACTTAAGGACTCTACCGCATACACAGTGATGTACAAGTATCACTTGCCACACAGCATCGACATTGATCGTTTGAGGTCAGCCTGGGATCAAGCTGCCCAAGTGAACCCGATCCTACGAACACGGATAGTTCCCACCCAGCACAGCGGTTGTGTGCAAGTGGTGCTCCAGGAGCCAATTCCCTGGATAGTGTGCAAAGGGTATAATGCCCGTGACGAAGACGTGGATACACGAAGTTCAGACGGAAACACAAAGGACCAGTCACGTACCATATGGCAGCCAGGGTCTCCGCTCGCAAGGCTGATATGGGATCCCTCAGCGCATATCCTGACGGCATTAATGCACCATGCACTCTGCGATGACTGGTCAATGAGGCTTTTGCTGCAAGACGTGGATGCGGCATACCACGGGCAGGCATTGGTACCCCGACCGTTTCGACCATTGATCGAGTACATTGAGCAATCGAAAGAGATGTCTGCAGCATTCTGGAGAGAGCAGTTTGACAATGCGCACCAGAGCGAGATGAAAGCCTTCCCATCTCTGCCAGTCCCTGGATATACCCCTATCTTGTCACAGGAATTGACACAAACCTTCCCCTGCAGTAATGAGCGCAGGCTAGCGTTCCCCGTAAGCGCCAAGGTGCGACTGGCCTGGGCCATACTACAGTCTTTGTATACGCGCTCAAGCGATGTGCTCTTTGGAGCAATCGATACTGGTCGCGGCATTCCCTTGAAAGGCATTGATGAGCTCAGCGGGCCGGCCTTGGTCTGTGTCCCAGTACGAGTCCAACTTCAGCCGCAGCAGACCATCGCAGACGCACTTAAAGCGATTCAGTGCCAGTATGCTGATACAATGGAGTTTGCGCATATCGGGCTTCAGCACCTGATGCACCTTGGCCCTAATACAGCCGCAGGGTGTCGCTTCAACACGTTGCTCGCTGTGGAGCCAGAGCATAGTGACCCAGTCCCCTCGATGTTCAAACATAGTTGGGAGATCCAGAGGACGTATGATACGTACCCGTTGATTTTGCGGTGCCGACCATCGTCCCGGTCCCTGACTATTCAAGCGACGTTCGATCCGGCGATACTAGACCTGCAGCAGGCGGACCGTATTTTGCATCAGCTGGCACATATGTACTGTCAATTGGAGGGGCAACCCGACCTGAAATTGTCCGAAGTCGACATACTCAGCCCTAAAGATCGGCAGAGTCTCTCTGCCTGGAATCTGCCAGTTCCCTCGGTGACAATGAACACAGTGCCCGAGCTGATTCATGAGATGGCTCTCAAACAACCCCAAGAGGCAGCAATCTGTAGCTGGGACGGCATTCTCACTTATGACCAGCTTGATCGCCTCTCACATGCTCTTATGACTCGATTCAAGAAGCATGGCGTCGCGCCGGGCGTTTTCGTCCCGCTCTGTCTGGAGAAGTCAATGTGGATGGGACTTTCGATGATAGCAGTCATGAAGGCCGGCGGGGCCTTTGTCTTACTCGATCCATCGTATCCTGTAAGCAGGCTTCGTCAGATGTGTGAGGCTGTTAAATCATCTTTAATAGCCTGCACGAGTGACACCCGTAACATCGCATCACGACTCGGACCACGGATTCTACTGATCGACGAGGAAGATCCTCAATTGCTTCTTCAACAGGTACTGAGCTGTGATTTTAATCACTCTATAGTCAGCTGCTCTACCGAGGACCCTATGTATGCTACCTTCACCTCCGGCTCGACAGGAGCCCCCAAAGGTGTGGTGGTTGAACAAGGAGGGTATGCGACGAGTGCTACGGCCCATGCAGAACAATACAACTTCACACCACACTCCCGTGTTCTGCAATTCGCCTCCCCGGGGTTTGATTCATGTATCATTGAACATATTAGTACGCTTATGAAGGGTGGATGCGTCTGTGTTCCAAATGGTCATGAGTGCCACAGCCGCCTGGCGCACACAATCAATAAATACAGTGTGAACAACGCTTGCCTCACACCATCTGTAGCACGGATTCTTTCACCGGAAGATCTTCCTACACTTCAGGACCTTGCCCTTGTCGGAGAGCCTGTCCTTGATGGCGACATCGCACGGTGGGAGCCATTCGTTCATCTGCGGAATGCATATGGTCCAGCAGAATGCTCCGCGGTATTCAGCGTTCAACCAAGTTTAACCGAGCACGATCCGAAGAATATCGGTTTCCCGACGGGCGGCGTCGGATGGGTTGTACACCCTGACGACTCTGAGGTCCTGATGCCAGTGGGTAGTACTGGCGAGCTGCTGATTGAAGGCCCAGTTGTTGGACCCGGATATCTCTCCAACCCTGTGCTAACAGCTCAGAACTTCATCTATCCCCCGAAGTGGAGGCAGCAGTTTGGCGACGTCCGTGGCCGCATGTACAAGACAGGCGACCTGGTACAGACCACAGATACTGGCAGCTTCCGGTATTTAGGGCGCAAGGACACCCAAGTGAAGCTCCATGGACAGCGCATCGAATTAGGTGAAATAGAGCACCTTTTGCAATCCATTGCGTTTACCGATACTCCACAAGTTGTTGTGGAAATCGTACAACACAACAATGTCCACCCTCGTATAGACACACTTACTGCATTTATTTGTTGGCCAGCCGCGCCAGATGTTACGAATGATCAAGAGCTGGATGACAGTGCTTTCCTTGCTCCTAACGACGCCTTCCGCCACGCATGTACGATTGCCGAGTCCCGATTATCGAATTTGCTGCCGTCGTTCATGGTCCCCAAGCTGTTTCTTCCGGTCCTTCAAATGCCGTTAACACCTAGTGGAAAACTAGACCGTCGTCAGCTACGAACAGACGCCGGCACACTCTCTGCTGACACCAGGAAATCTTACCGGGCGGCGCCGTGCTCATTACAGCCTCCCTCCACTCCCGAGGAGGTTCTCCTGCAAAGCATCTGGGCACAGGTCCTGAACAAGAGCGCAGACGATGTTGGCGTAACTGAGAGCTTCTTCAGCCTCGGTGGGGATTCAGTGAGTGCCATGCAAGTTGGTGCCAACTGCCAAACCGCTGGCTATACGGTCAGTGTCGCCGACATATTTCAATTTCCCACCATAGCTCAATTGGCACACAATATGAAACCGGTCAGCAGCTATCATCCCAATGTCACCAAAGATCTCCCAGAGGATACCTGGTTTAGGCTTTCTCCCATTCAACAATTGTTCTTCGATGCATGTCCAGATGGGCATAATCGGTTTACCCAACAATTCCTACTCCGCCTTTCAAGATCGCAGGACCGCACTCGTATCTGGAAGGCAATAGAAGCACTTGTGCTTCGACATTCAATGCTACGGGCTCAGTTCCGTAGACCCTCTGTTGGGTCTTGGGAGCAACGAATACGTAAATATACTGGGGACTGCTTTATCTTTCGGGAACATACGTTGCAGCGCCTCGACATTGGTATACAAGACATTCTCTTGCAGAGTCAAAGCTTGCTCGACATCGCGGCTGGGAGACTACTT